GGTGCCCATGGCGCTCGTCTCGCGGCCGCCGTACGGCGCCGTCGACTCCAAGAACGCCTTTGTGCCGCAGAACGAGGCGTGGCTGTCGCTCATCCGCAACGCGGCGCGGCACGTCTTCATCCAGACGCCCGACCTCAACGCCGCGCCGCTGCTCCCCGCGCTGGCCGACGCGCTGCGGCGCGGCGTCGAGGTCACGTACTATGTGTGCTTTGGCTACAACGACGCCGGCGAGGTGATCCCGGGGCAGGGCGGCACCAACGAGCAGGCCGCGCGGAGCTTGTTGTCTCTGCTGCCCGAGGATGGACCAGAGCGGAAGCTGCTGCACATATACGACTACGTGGCCAAGGACCAGGACAGGCCGATCCACCAGTGCTTCAAGGCGCGGTGCTGCCACGTCAAGCTGCTGATTGCCGACGGCCAGGTGGGCGTCCAGGGGAGCGGCAACCAGGACACGCAGAGCTGGTTCCACAGCCAGGAGATCAACGTCATGGTGGACAGCGCCGACATCTGCGCAAAGTGGCGCGAGGGCATCGAGAGGAACCAGAACACGAAGCTGTTTGGGCGGGTTGCGGGCGACGGCGTCTGGAGGGACGAGGGGGGCAAGCCGGGCGACGGGTACATGGGGGACCCGGGGTCGGTGGAGGGCTTGATCAAGGGGGTTTGGGGGATGTACAAGAAGATGGAGAGGGCGTAGGTTGTTGTTTTCTTTTTGGTGGTTGATTTATATATCTTGGGGGTTTTTTTCTTTATTTGGTAGAGGCGTTGTTGGTGTAAGTTTTGGATATATGGTGCTGGAGAACTTGCATAAGAATTCAAGCTAGGCAGCAGATTGGTGTTGAATTTCACTTGCCTATATAACTCCTACTGAGAATATAATAAACTAGCAGTATAATCGAATGGCCGAGTATACGAGACAAGTAAGTTGAATGGATGAACTGATAGAACGTATGACCTCGGGACGGACAATCTCGACAGATGGAGTGTCAAAAAGAAGCAAATGTCTCATAGTCGATACACAGAAACCAAACTATCTCAACCGAAAAAAAGTCACATGCCATCAAACCACCATCAGCCATCCCCTCCCAAAAGGAAAAGAAAAAAAAACAAGCAAATTGTTTTCTCACAACATCTAGGTCCTTCTACACGACCAGGCCTGAATGTTGCGCTTATACGGTTTCTTGCTAGGAATACCTTACCTACTGTAGAGCTAACGGCCCAAGGTGCCTAGCCAGGCCAGGGAATCGAAGACTTGGACCAACAAACTACACCAACTGACAGGAATCAACCCTCCTGGACCTACTCCGTATTATATAGATACCTACCTTACCTACTCAGTTACATCATCAACCTCCATGTTCAAGATTGTTTCATCAAACTTCATCGATGAGTCAGTTCACCTGGCCTCTCCTTCATAGGTATCGATGGCAGTCAAAGTTCGTATTACCCCATGTGGACTAAATCGACGGCCATCTAGCACCAAGCACTAGGTACTTGTACTACTCCAGCAAGTATAATCATGAACAGTGTTGACAGTCAAGCCAATCTAGGCAGGCAAGGCAAAGGCAAAGGCAAAAGCAGTCAGCTTACAAATAAAAACCATGTTATTAATCCAACCACCACCAAAAGCAACCCGCAACAAGCAGCAACAACATGCAAGAACTCAATCCTGAGTTTTGAGTCCCAGCTCATCTCGAGTCCATCTGGTTCTAGTCCCTCCCCCCCGCCACACCACACCACACCACGCCCTACAGGTCAAATCTCGTCATCCCGCCCCGTGGGGAAACATGTCCAATCCAATACTACACTAACATGCAAGGTTGCTATCAACTGATGACTGGTAACGGCGGCAATCCATCCCAGGGCCCGGCTAAATGCCAGTTTCCGCTCACGCGCCCTAGCTTTGGCGCTGTCCTACCTAAATCAAGTATTACACGTATTCGGTTCCTTGGACGATCGTCCGATGCATGGGCCGATATCGCAGGTTTGATTCATACGTTTGATTTCACGGGCAACTCACGACGAATGCTGCTGGTTCACATGATGGTGCCATGTCTGGGGCATGTCTGTATGCCTAGCCGTCACCTGTAGAACATCACAGTAAGCAAAGAAAGACCAAAACATCACAAGAAGCAAAGAGAAAACCAGATAGAGTCATGAGTAGAATCAAGTCATGTTTAATATTATAACTTTTTGCCGATAGCTCTATATCGCACCATTCATGTCGAATGTCCGGACAAGTAACCATCTATGACCTCGTTTCGTAGACCAAACTCCAAAACATCAAGAGCCATCTGGGCCAGTATCTCTATTCGACCGTTCCATCATATGTACTCAACATACAGAAAACACCAAACAAGTATCCACAAAAGAAAAAGCCGTTTGTCCTTTGCTATAGGGGTATATAAATATCCGCTCATCAAAACAAAAAGGGTATGCAGCAAATATCGAAAAAAACAAGCCCGTCCGCTTTGCTCTCACATCCAGGCCAAATGGTATCCTGAATTGAGGCGCCCAGTAATCCAAGTCGTAGATAGAATATTAAAAGAAAAGTAAACAAAAGAAAATTAGGGTGTGAAGAGAATCATCGTGGGCTCGTTATAATTCTTGGCTACCCCTTCGGCTGTTGGGCGCTGTTGCTCGCGCGGCAACCAACTCCTCGAGATCGTAGTACTCGATGGGCGGCGGCACCGCCTCGTCCTCTGCGTACTCGGGAGGGCTGGGAGGCACGTCCTGGTAGACGGGAGGCGCCTCGTTGTCCCAGCTGACGCTCAGGCCGCCGTTGTCCGTCAGGACGACGGCAAAGTGCATGCGCAGGATCCGGCCGGTGCCCGTCTGGTGCGAGACGTTTGTCCTGCCCTCCTGCGCATACTCCTTGGACACGACCAGCTCGAGCAGCAGCGAGTGCGTCACCTCGGTGCCGTCGGGCGTCTTCATGTCGCAGGCGTACTTGAGCGCGTTGGAGTGCGGCTTGAGCTGGTTGACGCAAAACTCAAACTCCATGTCGACGATGCCGTCGGAGCCCATGTAGTCCGACTTCCACCCCTGGTTGAGCGTCTGCTCGCCGACAACGCGGGTCTCGCTCCGCGGCAAGCCCTTGTTGGCGGACTCGGCGAGCCCCGGGTTGTGCCGCTCGCAGGCAGGCGCGACTGTCTTGATCGTCTCCTCGAGCTTCCAGGTGAGCTTCTTGAGCTTCCACAAATCGACCGTCTTGACGCGCTCGTTGTGCGTCATGAGCCCGTCCAGCTTGAGCGTCATCTTGTTGTTGCCCGTCGGGTGGATGACGGAGACGTAGCTGGCCGCGGCCTTGATGTTGGTCGGGGGGAAGACGCGGACCGAGTTGTGGGGATACAGCGGCTCGGGGAGCGTCCGCTTGACGTCGATGATGCGCTCGAACTTGGCCGACGAGATGGTGCTGAAGCCCTCGGGGGCGGTGGGCGCGGTGAGGAACTGGGCCTCGGCGCTGAGGATGTAGGCGATGGAGACGACGGGCGTGTCCATGGAGGCTGGCAGGTGGCCCGGCAGCAGGATGGAGAAGGGGAACTGGTGCTTGCCCTTGCGCAGGGGCACCGGGTGAGCCAGCAGCTTGAGCTTCTCGACCTCGGTCGTCTGCGCCTGGCAGTCGCTGCAGTTGTTCTGGAACGGCCGCTTGTGGGTGACGACGAGGCTGAGTTTCGCCTCGAAGCTCTCGACATCGACCAGGTCCTCCTTGATGTCGAGGTACAGCTGTCCCGATACCAGGGCGCCGGTGCTGTCCTCGGCGTTGCCGTGGAAGACGACGGGCGGGCTCTCGACGCTCCAGTCGATCACGACGGGGGAATAGGGGACGTGTTGCTGGTGGTGGCGCTCCTTGGAGGAGGAGCGGCCAAAGTGCAGCGACAGGCGGTGGTGCTTCCGGATGGCTTCGGCGAGGTCGGGCATCTTGACGGCATGGCGGTCCTCGCTGTCGGAGGCGTGCGGGCTGGTGTTGCGGGAGGCGCTGCGCGAGGTGCTGCGCGAGGTGTTGCGGGAGCGCGAGACGGCCTTGATGTGGGGGATGGAGCCTGTCGACGAGCGCAGGAAGCTGGAGACGAGGTGTGGCATGATGGCGGGATGTGATGGGGGTTGTGTTATGAATGGCTCTAAGCCAGTGGTGGTGGTGGTGTTGATGGCGGTGGTGTTGGTGACGAAAACGTCACTAGGAGGAGGAGGACGGACAAAACAGCACGTTTTGACCTATACCCTTTTTCCTGTCACTCTTTGTTTTGTTCCTTTTTTTGTAAATGTTCTCCTTCTTTTTTTCCAACTCTCTCTCCCTCTCTCGTTTCAAGTCAATGGCTTTTATAAACCTGTCACGGCAAGCAAGTGCTTCAGCCCTGGCGGTGGTCCAAGTCCGCCGCGTTACACCGGCGAATGATGGTGATGGCAAGGGTCCCTCTCCGCTCGTCAAGGAGGGGCTGCGTCTGGGGTATTTGAATGGGAATCCTATTGGATCTTCCCGAGACGCTGTTTGGTCGGGAAATCTGGCGATTGGGAGCAAAGAGAGGCGGCGACGGTGCGAAGCCACGGTGTATGATGGTATAAGCCAGAGAGAAATGAAAGGCCGTCTTATATTATAGGTCTTTCGTAAGCGTGGCTGCTTTGGCGGGGGTTGTTGAGAAATGGGATGCGGAGTGATTAGTTGCTCCTTGGTCCTCTTTTCCTTGTAATTTTCGCTGGTTGCTTTTGTTTCTTTGTCTTGTCCTGTATATCGGGCGTCAAAGAAGCGTCGTGTCGTCAGATGGCTTGCGGTTGCTGACTGTGCGGCCAAGAAGGTTTCGATAGCTCTGCACGTGTGAGTGTAAGCTGATGGCGATGATGATGATGATGATGATGCTCGAGAACAGAGATCAAATGCAATTGATTGCAGGCAGAAAGTGAAGCCAAGTGAGTTGATGCAATAAACAGATTTCCAAAACAGGAAACCAGCATCGACAAGCCGGAGGGCATCGTCAACGTTATATAACCTCGTGCCTTCCAAACTGCCTTCGGCATGCGGCGGTTTGTCCAGCGGCCTGACCTGGAGCTACAGGTACCTTACTACAAGTACGTACAAGTACATGCGCCCCGTGTGTGTCATGGCCCGTCTCCGCTGCCGTTTGCGAATAGAATCAAGGTACCTGCACACGCACACACGCACACACACAGGCACTAGAAATCCCTGCTTGTGACTTGGACACCTCGACTCGATTCTTTTTTCTTTTTTTTTTCCCTTTTTTTTTCTCCTTCGGCCGCCAAACCGATGGCCGATGGATCTCCGGTGGGTCCATCGACAAACGCCTTTCGATTGATTCTGTGGGGCCCTCGTTTTTTTTCAATTTTTTCTTCTTTTTTCTTCTCTTCTCGCCTTTTTACCACTTCTCGAGTCTTCTCTGCTTTTCCCCATTAGGCACTTGAATGGCAGGTGCCTTGGTGCATGACTGGTACTCGTACAATGTACAGGCTTTAGCTTTCGCCGTGAGCTGCTGCGGCCGCATTGAGAACCTTGAAGGCATCAGCAGTTGCACACATGAGATGAGGTACCTCGCAGCTGTAGCAGCCGCTTGAAGCTGTTTGCAGGATACCCCTTGATTGACTGATTGGTTTCTTGTATTGGACTCTATTTCACTCCTGTTTCATACAGCCATAACGGCCCAGCTGTATGTAATTTCTACAAACCGAACAAAGCGTTAACTGGATCCCAATTCCACGCCTACCTTAGGTATGGAGCACTCACGGCCTTGTCCGATGAATTCACAACCACTGCAGTCCAAGCACATGTATGTCCCTACTTCCTTGCCCAGGTGTAAGTACTGTACCTTGTATGTAGTCTCCTCCATCCATCATCACCGGCTCATCACGAAACCTGCATCAGCTCGCCCAGATCCAATCCATACCATCACGCAAACAGCCTCGTCGCTGTTGTCAATTGTCACCGCCTGACTAATACCGAATACACATTTCCAAAAGAACCATCATTTCTCAGCGCCGACGTCGGTCTCACGTTGACATGTTATGTTCCCTCTGACTGACATTGACAGACGGAGGGCGCGGCCGGCGATGACTTACATGTACCTGACCCTCAGATCCTGTGCAGGACAGTACTTTGACCTCGTACTTCGCTTCGCCGTGCATGAAAAGTACCGGCAGCGTCCAAGCCACTGCACACCTGGGCAGTCTGCTGACCCAACAAGCGGGAGTCCGTCTCCGTGGTCGATCCAGTGCAGTGCGCTGGCGCTTCGGCTCACCAACAAGGGCGTCCACTCCCTGCCAGTGGCCTCGCGCAAAACGTCACAGGGCATCACGCCACTGACCTTTAGGGCGTGGATCTCGGTCTCAGCGCCCTTCTGCCGGCTGTTCAGGGCGGCTGCACCAATGGATCCCTGACCTTGGGCCCTGCGATTCGGTTTTGTAAGGGGGTCAAAGTCACATAGTGAGCGAGTGACTTGTCGTTGGGTGCAGCTACGGTGGCGCTGCAAAGTACGTTGTCCTGCAGATGCGGCAACAAGTACGACATGCAGTGGTCAACTGAGGGCATCGCCAAAGTGAGCTTTTCGGTCTTGTCTTGCATCCAATTCTTGTCGTGTCATCTGCTCCTTGTTCCAGGAGCTGACTACTGCTGCCATTGGACATTGGTTTGCTGACGCTCTGGAATGCCCAGTATTAGACATTTGCTTGACAGATGGCGTATGTTGGAAGGCGTGGAAAGGCGTGCTCGCATCCCATGATGCATCAATTGACTCCTTACTTGACAGAGAACTGAGTAATAACCTCTCTTCCATGTTACAGCTCGTCTCGTCAACACCTCCACCCAACATCAAACTCGCATCAACACACTGATCGCATACTGACCTCCCATCCAATCTTCATCCCCACGCAAGTGTCATCCAATCCACACGCCGCACAGCCAATTTCAGCTGGCCTCGATTCGTGCAATACCCGCCTTTCCCCTTAAAATCAGGTCACCCGTCGCCTCTAAATTTTTTCTCTTCATCTTCTCCTCCAGCTCTCTCTTCCCTCCCCCAGTTTGCCAATGCCTTGTTGTTCCCCTTGCCGCCCGCCGTCTTGTCTCCACGGAGATGCTACAGTACTGTCAAGGTACTCCGTCATGCGGATTGCAAAAAACACCGCCGGTCTACCATATAAATTTGTAGGTGATGGGCGGCGGTGTTTTCTGCCACCCACTTGTCCGTATACCAAGTACTAGAAAAATTTTTACGTGTAAAAGCTCCTTCGCCTCATTTTCAGAATACTACCTCGATTCGGACTAGACTCGAACTCCCGCCGCCGATGGGAATCGGCAGCCGGCCGGGTCCTGTTGTGATACTATTCCCGGTTTTTTATTTACTATTTTCTTTTTCTCGTTTGCTCCGTTTTGCCTTGTGGGACCTTGTCCGTGAGAGAATCCATAAATTTCTTCTTTTCGGCTTCTTCGAGATTGAGTGCCCGCGGTGGGTTGATGGCTCCTGATTCAGTGATTCAGAGAAACTCGAGATTACTTCCTTTTACGGTTGCATGTCTGTAAATTTTGTGTCTCTACAGGTCTCGTTCGGTGTCTTTACGGAGTCCACGATCGGTACCCCGTTGAACCACAACACGGAAGCAATCTGGAGTAAGATGGAGCCTTCTCCGTATACCAGTAATCCTCTGCTTCCTGACGTTTTCGAACCGTCTGTCCGTGTAGTAGTTTCAACAAGTGCCAGTTCGTCGAGTTACCCTTACCCAAGAACGGCCCCCTGAAAATTTTTCATAACCCGAGTCCGTTTCTTTTCTGATTTTTCTGCTACCCGTGCTCGATGTGGCTGTCCATCGTCGATCATGGCAGCAACCACGTGTGATGCTAAAACAAGGTCCCGAAAGCCTCAGCCATGCCGCTAGTAGTAGTAATGAAAGCTGCAGCCCTGGCCTGGTTGAGCCTCCTCGTCCGCTTCAGGTACCTACATAAGGTACTACTTACTCAGTTCCACGGTTCCCCCCTGTGAGTGGCTACCATATTACGTACCGGATATTGCGTTTTTTCGTTGCAACATGTTTTGAAAAATAGGGTCCAGAGTCCAGGCTCTCAAGGTTTCTTCCTGCTTGCCTGCGAAATAGTACCCTTTAAGGTAGTTGTCGTGGCAGTAACACAAACACATCACGATGTGGCGGCCCGTGATCCCGCTCCCGCAGCAAGCCAGCCCTCTCTCTCGCTCTGTCTCTTGTCGCAGCTCGGCAGAGGACCTGATATTAGTGCCGCGAATGTAACATCTCGGCATTCGATCAAGATGCCAGGGCTTGCTGCCGTTGATGCTCTGTTGATCACTTGCCAAGCAGGTCTCTGGTGTCTCACACACACATGCATACATACACACTCACACACACAGCCAAACGACATTGAAGCAACATGCTTCATGCTTCACGTAAACATCAGCTGGTGCATGACCCTCAGCAGAAACTCAATCGCCGAGTCATTCGCCTCGCCATCGTCACCAGGGCTCTCAAGGTTCTCATCTCAGCAGAAAAAAGTGACCGGCCAGGCCTCCGTCCGCTCGCTCCTCCGATTGGGCATCATCCCCCCTTTCCACTTACATGTACGAGGACGGAGTCCGAGTCCACGGCCGCAATCGTGTCAGACAAGCCTCGAAGCACGAATGACACAGGACCAGCTCCCCTCGTGTTCTCTACTCCGTACTCAATATTGCGAGTAGTACTACTACTACTACTTCGTAAAAAGAAAGCCGCAAGGAGAGCACATCGGTAACCACCGGCTACATGTAGAACAACCTGGGCGGCTACGCAACCGTCCCCAGAACCGCAATCGACCAGTCGTATGGAGTAAAAAGACGGAGTGATCTGGAGAGAGAGCTTCATTTGCCCTCCAATGCCGCGCGCCGCAACGGAGCACCGCCGCCCCTTCGTAGCATTCTTTTCCTTAAGCCGAAATGGGGCCCCATTTTGAGCCGAAGGCATCACCAAGAAAAGAAATAAACGGGCAAAAAGGGGAATCACGTCAGAACTGGTAAATTGTGCGATTCTGACGATGCTGCTGCCTGTTTTTTCTTCTTCTTTCTCCTCATGAACATTAGCCGTGAATCAATTCATGCTTTCCTTCCTTTTGACTTTTTTCCCCTCTCTTTCTCTTCATGGCGTGCGTTTTGTGTGTTGTCGTATAAATGGTGCCATTATATGTCAAGGTTTCCACTTTGCGTCAGGCGACGGGCTGGTGCTTACACGGGTATCATCCAACTGATGAGGTACATACAGACGATGATGGGCTCCGGTTCAACGCAGAACCGACTGCATCAATGCCGGTGCCAATGCCAATGAAGCTGAATCAATGATCATCTCATGCTGCCACCATGCTTGGTAGGGATCGTCAGGTCCGCCGTTCCGGGAGCTGTTTCGCAGACTTGGCCCGGCCCGACTTGCGGTCCTTCTGCGCTCGTTTCAACACAGTACACACATGACATCAGCCTTTGCCCGTTCGTACAAGATACATCATGCATGATCATGATCCTTTCATATGTAGAAGCTTTCTATGAATAGAAACTCCCCTCGCTCGTACGAGCATTATGCGCATGGAACACTCGGAAGAACTCCCGGAAGCCCCGAAGGACCCCCGGCCGCCGTAAGTCCCGGTGCGGAACGGAATGCCAGGGACCGGAAGTGGCCGGATGCTAAAGGGGATTCCGGACATCCGGTTACCGAGCTGATGGATTCCGGACTGCCGAGAATGCTCCCTCGTTGCGCTCATGAAAGGATCGACGGAGATTGTGAATACGAACGGTTATGAGGTAAGATGCGATGGAATTCATCAGCCATTCCCTTAGGCTTTGCGGTGTTTCTATTCCCTGCACTTCAATTTCATGTAGTGTGTTGAGGTTGAAGGGCTTCGATACCATGACTTTGTCATGTCAAGAGCCGCAGGGACACGCAACTGTAAGTACTTGTCCATAGACTCTGTAGGTCCGAGCCTCGTAGGTAACGGTTCTAATGAATAGAGAGACAAACAGTTTTGACATACGCAATCGAAGATAGTCACAATTGGCGAACAGGTATTCAAACGCTTGCAATGAGAATGAGCTTCTATGGTTCACATTTCCGTGCCCAAGCACAAGACAACGGTCCTGTTGCGCAGCCTTTTCTACAGACCAAGATATGAGTAGCGATTTGATATAGCAGGTGTGTATGCCAATTTATAAGCTCTGTTATTATGTTTTTCGTATCTTTCAACTGGATATTCGTAGCAGTAAAGGGATGCATCGCAAGCTCATTCTTTTGGCCCGGCCTTGAGCTTCAAGTCAGTGGAAGCGCGAAAGTACCCAAGTATCTTATCGGAGCTTATCGCGGCAAATCATATCTCCGCCCCGCCACTTTTGCAGACAATCGCTCTCAACACCAGCCCGAGCTTCTCGACAAGGTAAGCTCATCACGGCGACATCGCGACATCCCACGACTAGTCCATCGCACTCTTTCCCTCTCCATCTGACACTTCCGACAATTGTCCCTCTCGGAAAACACGCGAAACGATGACTGGCCGAGGTGGAGGCGGCGGTCGCCGCGTCTTGCTGCCGCCTATGTATGCAATTCTTCCAGCCGACGAGCAAGCCCTCCGCCACGAAGATTGAAGGCTGACTCTCTATAGCAACATGATTTTCAAGCTTCTCCAGAGCGTGAGTACAGGCCCTCTCGTTTGATCCCTTGTCGACTCCGCCGAACGAAATGCGCGACATATTTTATGATGGCCATGGCCTGGCCTGACGCAACCACCCGGGTTGAGAAAACGCGATTGGAAGACGCCCTTTACTTTATTGGCATGATGCAACAGGGAATCGTTGCGCTCTCCGTCAGAACTGCCAGGCAGACACTTGATCTCATGACTTCGATCGAGCCGACGACCCTTGGACGAGCAAGGACTGTTTTGCACATCTACTGGGAAAACGTTCTGACTTTTGAGTCTACTAGAATGCCACAGTTAGCGTCTGGCTGTACGAGCAGCTGTCAATTCGCATTGAGGGAAAAATCCGAGTCAGTAAAGCAAGCATGTCGTTGCTTTCCGAATCTCGAGCTAATGAGAGGCGTAGGGGTTCGACGAGTTCATGAACTTGGTCATTGACGACGCCGTGGAAGTGAAGCAAATCACAAAAACAAATGACAAGGAGACGAGGAAACCGCTGGGTAAGAATTGACGAGAGCGTCGTCTCTCTAGACGTGTCGGGCAAACAGACTGACGTAAACATAGGCCAAATCCTGCTGAAAGGCGACAACGTCTCTCTGATCCAGAACCTGTCAATTTAAACAAACTGCATTTTAATCAACTCTCTGATATGAATCACGGAGCTGCCTATACCTCCTAAAGATACCCCCGTCGAATGGCACGCAAAGGGACTATCTTCTCATGAACCACGTATCACATCTGGGTAGCAAACGATTGAACAATTGGGCTCGGCATAATGGAAAATTATTTGGTCAAATAGAGGCCACAGATCGATAATGAAGACATATATCATGGCACACGATTGCTTTGCATCTGTTGAAGGCCGGTTGCTGTAGATTGAAGATATTGCCGATGTTGTGCCGGTCTGGTGGCAGTACTAACACCAAATACCTATCCCGACTGGAGAGGTGACGATTCTTCGCACTTGCATCCTCGTAGAGACCAAGTCGGACCCTTCAGACAGGCATGAGCAACGCGCGCTGAGATGCGCGAGTTTATGGACTATGTCCACAGTGCTTTCTACGAGGCCACGGGATGGAGACGCGACAATTCGTACGCAGCGCTGAATTCGACGACTGATGGTGATTCATTCCATGCCCGCCTGCTCTGCTCGAGCTGTCACGGAATCCTCAAGAACATCAGCTAACGCCATGGCCAGCTCTGTTGAACTTTCGCACTCCTCGAGGCCTTCGCCTCACCCTCTCGGCACTCGCAAGCCCCAACTTCGCCACGTCTTACCAGCTGGGCTCCGTCGGCGTGGTCGATGGCTCCATATCCTACCTCTTCTCCTCAGTTCCTCTGCGACTCCTCTTGACGCCCCAGTCCGAAAATGTCCCGCTCCCTGATCTCCTGCGGTCCTATCGACCACTGACGCCGGTTGCTCGCCGAGACGTCCCCTCACTGCGACGACCCGACGACGAGGACAAGACCAACGAGTCGCTTCTGTACGGCAGACTATATCTACCCCGGTCGCAGCTGGAGGCGCTCCTGGTGAGACGGCTGTCTCCCGCTTTGCAGGCCCAGTTCAGCGCCGTGTCGGGCCAGCATCTCAGGGACGGGGGCACGGCGCTGGGATTGCTCCAGTACGACGTGGGACGGTATGCGCTCGAGGGGTTGGCGTCCACGGACGGTGGGCTGCTGGGCTTCAGAGGGGTGTACAATTTCGGGGGCGACCTGAGCAGCAAAAAGCACGCCCAGCATCACCCGGCTGCGTCCCCTGCGGAGAATAATGGAAACGGCGGTGGCAATGGCGACAAAGAGAGGATATACGGGCGTTTCAGCACTGGAGGAGAGATATACTACGGCACGCTGAACAAGTCTGGGGGCATCAGCATCGGCGCCAGATTCGCTACGCTGCCGGATCACAAGGGGACGCCGCTGTCTGCCACGCTGACGCTGAATCCTCTGATGGGGAACATTGCGGCTAGCTACGCGGTCATGGCTGGCAAGGACTGCAGCCTCGCAACGCGCATGGAGTTTAACATTTTCAGCTATGAAAGCTCCTGGGCTGTGGGGATGGAGCTCTGGAGGAAGCCGTTTGCTCGGTTGGCGGTAGATGATGGAGAACCCTCTGACGCGGATCTTCCTGCGAAGACGACGGCTTCAAAGTCAATCTCCTCCGCCTTGAAAGCACGGACAGAAGGAACAGCACCTGCAACGAAAACCACCACTGCAGCACCAGTCCTGGCTTCAGTAGCAACACCGGCTGAACGGAGTTTCAATGCCAAGCTGGAGTGGAGGCTTGACGAGCCGGACAAGGCTGCGGAAAAGAAGACGGGATCCAAGATGAACGGAAGCAATGCCGGAAAGTCAAAAGGTGGGAAGAAGGCATCTATCAAAGGGCAGCAACCCACCCACAAGGTAGAGAAGGCAGAGGCAGAGGCAGAAAAGGGGGAGAAGGAGCAGGAATACGCCGGTGTCGTCAAGGCGAGGCTGGACCAGAATCTCCGGCTTGGAGTACTATGGGAAGGGCGAGTAAAGTCGCTGCTGTTTAGTCTGGGCAGCGGGATCGATCTGAGGATGATGAACAAGCCGTTTCGAACACTAGGTCTCGAGGTTCAGTTTTCATCATAATGCGCAGGCTGACCCGCCCTCGGTAAGTCAGCACTTGTGAGCATCAGCCTTGAGACGTCCTCCGCGAGACTTAATTCAAACAATTCACAAGAGAAACGCGTGTGTCTACTGAGGTGAATCCTACTGCTTGATGAACGTCGGCGCTTTTCCCCGGCTGTCTCCCCACATTGAACAATTTGCCGACTGGATGTCGGATATGACCGCTTAACACCGAATTGTCCGCGGGTTTCTGATAGTACTATGTCGGCTTAGCATCCGCCATCACTCTCACATTCTCGGTCTTATACTGGCAAAGCAGAACAGCTGCCATCCGCGTGGACATACGGACATACCGGGACATAGCACGCGGACAGCAAAGACGAAGCTGAGAACCCCTGATCATCTAGTCTATCGCGCACGTTCAACGCCGCCCCCAAAACGGGACCACAAGCCCGCATGGGTCGCCAGTCGCGGCGGCGGCCACCCGCATGCGCGCTCTGCCGGATCCGAAAGCTGCGCTGCAACCGCGGCTCCCCGTGCTCCAACTGCTCCATCCGGGGGGTCCCGTGCAACCTCGATGGACCGTCTTCCGGGGCCGGAGCCGGGGCCGCCGGGGCTGCTCCGGTGCTTCAGGGGAACGGGGGTCACTTCGGCGGCGGCGGTGGTGGGTCGCAGGAGGTTCTGAACCGGAACCACTTGGCGCCCTCGTTGCTGGCGTCTTCGCAGCTGCAGCTTGTGACGGCGGACGTGCTGGGGCTTGAGAAGAACTGCTCGAGCCAGAAGGTGTTGGTGAGTTAGTTGATTGTGATGGGGGACATTGGCGTTTCATGAATCCAGTCACTTATATGATGACCCCGTTTGCTTTCAGGATGCATTAGCGCCTCCTCCGCTCACCTTTCGCACTCGTTCCATCCGCACCATCACCAGCCCTTCCTTCTTCGTGCTGCATCCCAGCAGCTCTCCCGCATTGACCGAACAGGTCCGGGTCATCAAGTGCATATGCCTGCCCCTGAGGGCAGACGCCCACATCCTGCTGGACAAGTTCGTCAAAGACGTCCTACACTTCCACCACATCTTCCACACCCCGTCCCTCACCCGTGCCGTCGACCGCTTCTACGACGCCGTGGAGCAGGGCGAGGCGGTGGACACTGGCCAGCTGATGGTCGTCCTGGCGATATGCTGCAGCAGCACGCACACGTGGACCCGGTTCGACGACAGCAAGGGGCTCTTTGGGCGTTCGGAGGACGCAAACGCGCAGACGGCCGGGTGGCTGACCACGGCCCTCGACGTCATCCACCATGCGCACCTGGCGGCGCACGCGTCCATGGCGTGCATACAGGGCATCATCGTCGTCTTCTTCATGATTTGCAGCCTCGAGGGCATCTCGGCGCGGGCGCGGCTGCTGCATGCGCAGGCGGTGGCCATGGCGCAGGAGATTGGGCTGCATTATCTTGATGCGCCCAACGCCAGCGGGCAGGCGAGATTGCTGAAGCAGTCTACGATCGAAGCCGAGGTTGGGCGCAGGACGTGGTGGTATCTCACCGATACGGACTGGTGAGTTTTGTGTATTCGTTCGTTTTTTGCCGTTTGTGGTGGCAAGTACTAAAAGAGTTTGTGCTGCTTCTAGGATGCTGTCCAGGTTATCAGTCCCTCAGCAAGGGGCATATACGATCCTGCCCAGTCAGATGGCTGTACGGAAGCCCAGCAATGCAAACGACGTAGACATTGTCGACGGCAAAGAAGTCATCGACCGTCCTCTGGACGAGGCCACGTCAGTGTCCTATCTCCTCCAGCGGACTCGTCTGGCGGAACTCTTCTACAGCCTCGGCAGCCACGACAAGTCTCTCAACTGGAACTCGGAAGAGGCCGACTACGGGAAGATCATGGAGGCGGACATGAAGCTGCGGCAGTTCATGCGAGAGCTGCCGCCCTTCTTCCGCCTCGAGAACAGCAGCACGCTCGCCAAGCTGCCGGCCTCGGACATGCGGCGCTCGTCCGACATCACGATCCAGCGGTACATGCTCAACATGATCTTCTACGGCCAGATCTGCAAGCTCCACCTGCCGTATCTCGCCCGCGGCACGGTCAACCCGGGCTTCGCCTACTCGCACGACTCGTGCCTCAAGGCGGCGCAGCGCATCATCTACATTGAGCACCGCATGAGGGCCGAGAACTCGACCTTTGTGCTGTTCCGGCAGCGCATGAACGTCAAGTTCCGCAGCATCTTCATCGCCTGCGTCGTTTTTGTGCTGGACGGGTGCTTGGCTACTACGAACGAGGGCGGCGGCGGCGGGAACAACAGCGCGGCGGGAGGAGGAGGAGGAGGAGGAGGAGGAGGGGATGCGACGATGACGGATGCGTGGAAGATATTGCATGAGGCGAGGGGACAGTCGCCGTTGGCGTCGGAGCTGCTGCACATGTCGATTCAGATTCTACGCAAGTATAGGGCGTCGCATCCGGCGCTGCAGGCGTTGCAGGTGGACAAGTGTAGCAGTCAGGAGGCGACGACGTCTTTGGGTCAGAAGGACGCGAGGAGGGATGGAAAAGCCATGCCAGGAGGTGATGGTGTGCTGGTGGATTCGGGGCAGCCTACGAGGACGGATACGATTGAAGTAGAGAATGTTGACTTGGACAAGTTGTGGGAGACGCTTCAGGGGCGTGGGAGGGACTGGAATAACCTGTTTTGGAGCCTGGGCCCTCCACTTATGTGATTTTTTTGATGCTGGCTAGGAAACACGGGCTTCCATGCTTTTTGTACTATAGTAGTATGATTGAGGATTGTCCTTACAGCTCGGATAGGAGTGCGCCCACAAAGCATAGCCATGCCGGCACGTCGGTTGTCAGGGTCCTGACGGTGTGCAGCCGGATCCAGCCCGCCATCTGGCCCTGCGCCAGCTCCGGTGCAGACAGGATCTTGTCCATGATGGCGAGCACCTAGTTTTTGTCCCTCGACATGTAAGCCAAACAAAAGATTCTAACGAGACAAAAAGAGGTTCAATCAAAACAAAAAAGAAAAAACAACTCACCGAATTGCCAAAGCCAAAGTGAATGAGCGTAAACACCAAGCCAGCAATCGCCCACCGCGACGCCTTCTTCGCCTTGTTGTTGTTGCTGCTGTCGTTGTTGTTGGTGGCCTCGGCGGCGGAGGAGGAGGAGCGGGACCCGGACCCGGACCCGGACCAGGCGGCGCGGATGCCGGAGGCGATGGTGACGGCGCTGAGGGAGGTGATGCCGATGAAGCCGGGCTTGAAAAAGTCGTTGAACCAGATGGCGACGGCGGGGCCCGGGTAGGCCGGGTTGGCGAAGGGGAGGACGGTGATCCAGGCGCCGAGGGCCATGCCGACGTTGAGGGAGGTGGAGATGGCTGGGATGAGGGATTTGGGGGTTGTTGATGACTTGGAAGACGACATTTTGGCGGCTCGAGACTTGATTTGGGGTCTATTGGAGTTGAAGGTTGATTCCCTACTGTTTCTTTGAGATGTAGATGATATATTATGGTAGAAGCTATATATATGTAGCTTTGAATAGGAGATTGAAGTGGAACGACGTATAGGTTTTAGGTTGAGCATGGGCTGTGGTAATTGGCTAATGGCCGGAGCTGATTGATAGGGTATTACATGATGTTAATTACGGCTTCGGGGCTGTTGACTGCTTTTGAAGTGCCCATTGCTGACGGGCATTTCCTGAACGGGAGGTATCGTATGTATGTCAGAGGCGATGGGGCAGCTGAGCTTGTTATCGTATGAATAAGCAATGGCTGTAAATAGACGGACATGTGCATGGTGGGTGGTTTATATGAGGACATTGAGATGGAAGCGGACAAGACGGAGTAGAACTCAATTTCACGAGAACTAGTGCGAGTAGGTGCTTGAATGGTGTGGCTTTTGTGACATCTCATGAGCTATTACAAGATGACTTTTTCCACAACTCTCTTTGCCATTCTGGCCAGCTGTCATGAACCAATGCATCTTCATCAAAGGCTGGAGCAGTGTGCTTGATACTCCACACAACCAAGCCAGACAGCGGGATTGGCCGACGACTCGGCGTGGTGATATCCAGCGGCTGATCGACTGACGAGTCGGAGAATATCCGTCGACCCAATCAATGAATTATTCTCCAGCTAAGCGAGAGCCGTGATACCATACTGGCGATGCATCACCTCACTCAGCCTCACGCTAAGAACCGTTGCATCCGTCTCCACTCCAACTCAACTCCAGGGTAGCTTCCAGCGGGGAGAGCTCCAACGTAAAAGCTCCAGGTCAGCTCACACAACACAACACACACAGTGCACACAGTGCCCGAATTCTCTAGAAACTTCGACCCTCCACCAGAAGCATCAGGAGAGACAAGTCGTGATACCGCCATGAACACATTGTGCAGACACAGTACGGGGACAAGATGCTCCTCCCCCGGGCTTTTGGCGTCTACACGTCATTGTCAGTCGACTTTGCGATGGAATCGAGACGTGTGCGCTACGTAATTGGGCGATGCTTCTCGAACTCTGGAGAGGAATCTCCGGGACGAAGGCCATCGAGACTCTTTCGAAGGGGGGGATGGGGGATGGCTGAAGTATAAAGAAGTCGGGAAGCTGCCTCTGACCTGAAGCTTGACAGAATCAGATCATCAAGAAACAAACAAACACAACAAACAAACAACCACCACAACAAACCACTTCCGCGCGCTTTCGAGCCACCCAGCTCTTTTTATGCTCAAGCGATCCCTTCTTCGCAACAACAACAAGAACCGCATCGTCAAGCACCTCACCACCACTTCTTCCACCACAGCTACCGCTAGACGACCTTTTTCCACAGCTCCCAAAATGGCATTCTTCGGACGCAACTTCTACCCCGAGACCTCCTTCACCCCCCTCTTCCGCCTCCTCCAGGACTTTGACGACTACTCGCGCCAGACCAACGGCGGCTCGCAGTCGGGCCGCCGCACGGGCATCGCGCCGTGGCAGCCCAAGTTCGACGTGCGCGAGACGGACGCCGCCTACGAGCTGCACGGCGAGCTCCCCGGCATGAGCAAGGACAACGTCAACATTGAGTTCACCGACTCCCAGACGCTCGTCGTCCACGGCCGCGTCGAGCGCACCTACACCGCCGGCACGCCCCCCTCGGGCGCCATCGAGGGCTCCAAGTCGGGCGGCGCCATCACCGAGGGCGGCGAGAAGGACAAGAAGCCACCCAAGCCTACCGTCGAGGACGAGGACGCCGCCAACAAGGGCGAGCAGCAGGTGTCCAAGCAGGACAAGGACAACAAGCCTACGGACAACGCAAAGTACTGGCTGAGCGAGCGCAGCGTCGGCGAGTTCTCGCGGACGTTTAGCTTCCCCGCGCGTGTCGACCAGGACAAGGTGTCGGCCAACTTCAAGGACGGCATCCTCAACATTACGATTCCCAAGGCGGCCAAGCACGAGCCTAAGAAGATTGCTGTCAACTAAGGGGGATGATGACAACGATGTGTGATGGTATGACGATGAGAATGGATGGGATGGATGTTTCAAGCATGATTGATGAATGATGTTCACGCTCCTTTTTTTTCTTTCACTGGTGTTTGGTTTTTGGTGTTTTGGAATGTATGCATGGGAAGTCATGATACTGGTTTATCAGCCCTTCTTGTCTCTTACAAACCATCAAACTTACCTGACTGCTGTGAGGCGGAGGAGATTTCACGCAGTCACTCAGAAACCTTTTCGTATTTACAATCCTTAATACAAAAGTGTTTTCATTCCTAAGCTACATGACCGGATCGCCTGTAAATGTGCACTAACTCTGAGGTACATGACCGAACAGGATCTTTCGGCTATATGGCAAGTCATAGATACGGCTGAAGGAGCTTTTGCGTATGCTCCCAAATCTTTCCCTGATCCTTCTCTCTCAGCTTCGACATGATCTTGGCATTAGGCGTGCAATCGCACTTGTTGTTGACAAGAAACAGCCCGTTTTCTGATCTTCCCAACGAATTCACTCCCGGCTTGCCTCCCCACGGAATCCCGTGACCACCAAAAGCAGCGCTGGTGCTCTCAAACAAGTGCCTCTGCCCAGACTCCTCATCGCTGAAGCCAATGAAGTAAAACAGGGTCTCGACGATGAACACAAAGAGCCGGCCGATGATGGAGCCCTCATCCCAGCCTCGCCTCGCGTTGCCCGTGTTGACCGCTCCGGGGTACGAGTGGATAAAGGTCACGTCGGGGTTCTCACTCGCCAGCTTCTCCAGGAAGACGGTGTTCATGGCAACGTATTGTATCTGGCCCTTGATGGCGCCGAAATTCCCAGGCTGTTTAAGGTCGGGGTCGTCGATGTTGAGGTTTGCGCTCTCCATCCCGCCTCCAAGGACACTGATGACCCTGGGCGCTTCCGATTGGTGCAGGAGCGGGAGAAGATGCAGGATGAAGGACATCCGCGAGTAGTACTCCAAGCTCTGGGACAGTTCCAAGCCCTCGCTCGTCTCCTTTCGCGTCCCAAACGGTGCATAGCCCGCCGACAGGAACAGCAAGTCGACGCGTGATTCCTTTTCCTTGATGAATTCGCATATTTTTTTGACGTCGGCGAGGAGCGAGACCTCGCCCTCGGTCCAGACAATGTCCGCCTTGGGGTTGATGGCGCTGAGCTCCTGGATGAAGGCGCGCATAGGCTCTTCGGAGCTCTTGCGCCCAACGAGGTAAATTTTGACGCTCGCGCCTGTGGAAACGAGAGCCCTGATGGTGAACTTTCCGACGCCTGAGGTGCCGCCGACGAAGACGGAGACGCGGGGGGCGGTTGCGTCGTTGATGAGTGCGTTGGAGGCTTGGATTTCTTTGTACGAGACCATGTTGGCGATGAGCGTGGAATGTCACCTAAGGAAACTGTGTTCTCAGTGAAACATATATATATATATATACAATAGTCAAGAAAGGGAGCTGTATCAACTTCAGCTGCGGCGGAGTGCTGGCTGCCTAGACGCATCCTTCGCGCTACCGGGTTTCGGATATGCGGATTCGTTGCGGACAAGACTAGCATGTACATGACAACTGACAGCTCGTCTATTTGCTGCTGGCCGCACCTCGCGGTTCGTAGCACGACAGGATCACGATCTTGTCACACGTTGTACTGCTGGCAGGGCTGGAGCGAGACAATACAGCCAGGGACTTTGATGCCTCAGCCGCGGTATCCTTGCATGTTGGTTGACGCAGCGGAGGGCCACTGCTTGCTGCTGGAGACTGCGGTACCTGAGTCTGCGTCTGTGTGTGCATGCTCGGCTGCATCAGTTAGGTAGTTGTCACTCGAATTGGCTCACCAGCAGTAGGCACAAAATAGGTCAGAGCAATAATGAAGTCCTGAAATTGAATTGTAGAGTTGACTGAATAGAAATGTCAAGCTGCAGATAACGAGACTCGGTTGAGTGATGAACAAGTTAGGTAGGCAGCTTTGTCATCTGTGAGAACCCTGATGGTCCAGAACTTCGTCAGCAGCCGGCCAACATGGGCCTCCCAGCCTCCGCAACTCCGCTCGGCCAATCGCAGCCCGCGCAATTTCACGCAATGATGGATTCCATGGATTACCTCATCATCCCACGTTCTTCGCTTGTCGTGCAAGTTCCTCGCATGTGAGGTCGTGGTTACGTTGTGTGGGCGTCTCGTGACGGACTGCAGATGCCATGCCGTGTGACGTTGATCAAGGCATTTCCAGCAGATTCCATATCCCGGTGACGGATGCAGATGCAGCTGCACTTGGTGTTGATGATGATTCGCGAATAGAAAAGGGGGCAGCGACCACATTGACTGCGAGACTCGACGAGGATGGATGGACGGCGCTGGCGAGGGCAGAGCATCACTACGACGGAGCGTCTCGTGATGCTACTATCGAGAGTCTTGATCCCAAAAACGCAAGGACAAGCTCGACATCAGCCATGACAGCCTGGTCATACCTTACCCAAGATCAGTACTAGAAGCACAATGCCGGGCGCTGCAGAGAATCGGTGGAGCTTTTTGCTGGAATCCCAGGACAGAGGCCATCAAGGTTCTCATCACACCTTTGCGCCTGCGGGGCTAAAAATAAGACGCTGAGTCTTCCCTCCAGAAGCCTCAAGACCCCGTTTTCTCTTTATTCATTCTCTTCAATCACCAAGCTCGCACATAGACGCTCGTTGGGGGTTGTCCGTGCCCTTTCTTCCCCGTCTGCACAACATTTCTAGCGCTCCAACGCATCTTCGACTCTGAGGCGTGTCAGACTCGACTGGTCCCTGCTCCACAGCCTCCTTTTCCTCACTCACAGCTCTCTCCGACTTTCTCGGCCGCTGCTTAAGCCTTTTCTACGAGCTGTTTGCCTCATCCCGGGCTATACACTGCGTCTATTACCAGAATTCACTTTCTAGACAAGATCTATATCGATCGTTTTTTCTACTCTCCTTCAGCAGCTGGAGCGCGACTCTCCTCAAGTGGAGCATCCTCGTTCTTGCCTCGCTGCCGAGGTCAGACTGGCGGCCAACTTTTTGGACGCCGTGACATTCTGCGAGCATATACAGACGAGTTTTCGACGATTGTCTCCATTCCAGTTTCCACGGCAAGGTATCGCCGAATCTGCTTCTGTTAAAGCGCGAATATCATACACCATTCTGGCGTCATTGCATATCTCTCTTGCCCGCACGCGTCCGCCCTCGTTGGACACGAACACAGAGTTACCTATTGCTTCAAGGTGCATCTCTGCAACACCTCTCTCAACTATTTATGCTGCAATAGAGCATAGCTTTTGGTGAGCGTTTTGGGCTCACTTGGCGCCTCTGGCCTGCAACTCGCCATATCAACGACTACTGGACTTTGGTTTCACAGCAGAACTACCATCAAGATCGCGAGCCATGGCGGACGTCGAAGATGCCTGCAATGGAGACGTTGTTGACCTCAGCAATCGCGGGCTGCGCATCGGCTCCATATTCATCGTCATGGCGGCCGCGACCTTTGGCGCATTCGCGCCAATCCTCTTGGCTCGACAACAGAAGATGCACGTACCCAAATTCACATTCTTCATCTGCAAATACGTTGGTACAGGAGTCATCATTGCAACCGCCTGGATGCATCTGCTAGACCCGGCCGTCGACAATCTGTCCGATCCCTGCCTTGCCCCGCGACTCGGCGACTACCCGTGGGCTTTGTGTATCAGTTTGATGACGGTGATGGTCATGTTTTTCGTCGAGCTGCTTGCCGCGCGAATTGGAGGGGAAGACGATGCGCACAGTCACTCGGTGGGCTCTGACAGCGATTCCGACCCTTCTCTGGGCTCAATATCTCGAAAGAAACCGCAAGAGAAGGGAGCAATCTCGGTCGACTGCCCCCACGACGTCGAGAGAGGTATCCTGCGTGGACCGGATCCGAAAACCATTCCTGGCCTCCCCGACGATGTCAGCTACCCGCCTGGTGGTGAGGCTCACCTTGCACACGGCCATGAGCATGATGACGGGGACTCTCACGGCGGCCTCGCGGGCCAGCTCACCGCCATCTTCATCCTTGAGTTTGGTGTCGTCTTCCACAGCGTTTTCATTGGTCTGACCCTCGGTACCACGGATGACCTTGTTGTCCTCCTCGTTGTCCTAGTGTTCCACCAAATGTTTGAAGGCCTCGGTCTGGGCTCTCGGCTGGCAACAGCCCCCTGGCCCAAGAAAAAGCAGTGGATGCCCTACCTGCTCGGCTTCATATTTGCCCTGTCGACTCCCATCGGCACGGCCGCCGGCATAGGAGCACGGCCCAACAACGCAAACACTCAGAAGTTGGTCAATGGCATCTTCGATTCGATTAGCGCTGGTATCCTCATGTACACAGGCCTGGTCGAGCTGCTCGCACACGAGTTCATGTTCAACCCGCAGATGCGCAAGGCGCCGTTGAAGGTGCAACTTTTCGCATTCGGATGCGTAGCTTTTGGCGTCGCAATCATGTCTCTGCTGGCAAAATGGGCGTAACGGTAAAAAGTTTGGAGTTCTTGGGATCTTTTGTTGCTCATTTACGACTGTATAATATGGACGACATAGGTAAGCATAGGGATCGGTTTGCTTGGATGCTTTGTTATGTAATAGAAGAGCGTTGGTCACTGCAATCTGGGCTTTGGCGAAAAGGAAATAGACACATATCTATTCCCATAGACTTTTCAATCAAGATTTGCATCTCAGTCATGGATACTGCGGTTTGGGTGCGTCTCTCAGCATTGTGACAGCTTCTGACCGAACTCGCATCATATCATGAATTCCGGCAAATTGTTTAGCCGACCGTGGAGTATTCTATGATTAGGTAACGACATGTGGCATCGCTAGCGATCTTCAGTCTTAGTCATCATTTCGCTCACCAAAATCTACGCGTGGGCGCTAGGGTCACAAGCCCTAGATCAACCCAAAGTCCACCTCCGCGCTCAGTCTCGACGAAACTTTCTGGATCCTCAAGCCCAGTCAATTTCCAACCAGCTTCACCACCCTCCAATCCAACCACCCAACACCGAAAAAATGGCCGGCGGAATCACTGTTCGCGACGTCGATGTAGGTTCTCCCTGACAGAAACGAAATCTCTAGGATTTTTCCCAAATTTCGACGACCACCTCTCGACGATCTCGCAACTTGTCCCCGAAAGAAAAACCTATATCCCGAAACCTCCGACACTGCGATGCTTGTGGTTTGGCCTCGACGAGCCGCAGTGGCTTCAGGGAATCTGAAAATGGTTCTCTCGACAAAAAAGCCCAGCTGTTTGAGCCGCGGGCCTTACTGCATGCATGGTCGTCTACGAGCGTGGAACATATACATACATATATAATGGGAGAAAGAACTTCTTGAAGGGATCTGGGAGCAGGCGCGAGGGAGTCGCAAGACTTCTGACGACGGAATATTTGCTAATGGGTATTGTGTGATCAGGCGCAGAAGTTCATCACTGCCTATGCTGCTTTCCTGAAGCGCCAGGGCAAGCTGCCCATCCCTGGTGAGTTTCTATATCTGCATTCATATCTCCAAGAAGACCTAGGCTTACTGACATCCATCAGGTTGGGTTGACACCGTCAAGACTGGTCCCGCCAAGGAGCTGCCTCCCCAGGATATTGACTGGTTCTACGTCCGCGCCGCCTCCGTCGCCCGCCACGTCTACCTCCGCAAGACCGTCGGTGTTGGCCGTCTCCGCAAGGTTCACGGCACTGCCAAGAACCGCGGCAACCGCCCCTCCCACCACGTTGACGCCTCCGGCTCTGTCGACCGCAAGGCCATGCAGGCTCTTGAGAAGATTGGTGTCCTCGAGCAGGACGAGGAGAAGGGTGGCCGCCGCATCACCCAGTCCGGCCAGCGTGATTTGGACCGAATTGCCCAGACCACTGCTGAGGCTGAGGAGGAGGATGACGAGTAAATCAAAATAAACAAAAAGGAGTTTGCTTTATTTTCCTTGTCTTTCTTCAAAATGTCATGGGATGGCGGCATTGGAATGGGCGTACGGTCTTAGATTTTGAGATGTATGAACAAGATTCCCTCTGGTTTTGGGCTTTCGGTTACCAAACTGGACGTGCCACAGCCGTCTCTTGATCAATCTGCGTTTCCATTCGCTTGTGATGTGCCGTGTAGACAGTGGACATGTGATGACTCTTCCAAGTCGTCGAATATCCGATGTTGCTTGAAACTTTCCAGGGTTCAGGATGAAACACACGGGCTTCTGTATGGCAGTGAATCGGTATACTCAATAACTTGAACTACTGTTTATCTCGATTTGCAAAGAGTGCTGTTGAGCATCTGTCGAGTACCTATGAGATTTGATGCACAAAAGTGATACTAGCAGGATCTGGACCGTGATAGTAGATATTCAGGGGTTCAATGAGTCTCATGTCGACTTCTTCTTAACATGAGCTAACAGCTTATATAGGCTGCAACCTTGGTTGAGTCTTTCACGTCTGTATAGATCGAAGAAAGTGAAGACTGGAATCACTCTTGTTATTAGTAAGTTCTTGAACAGTCTTCTGTATCAATCCTTATACGCCAGCAGCATGAGTATTCCAGCGTCTGTTCTTAAAAGTCGTCCAAGCCAACAATTGTTTTGCTTATATAAGCTGCTGGTATACCTACCTTACCTTAGACCAAAACACCACGCTTCACAATCTTCAACGTCACGATACCCTCTCTCCCTTTCACTGAATCACTTATACGCACCCGCCATCATCATAAGATCGACCACCCTCCTTCAATTGCCTCAGAAAATTGTTCAAATTGACGCATCTTTACACTCACAAAATGCCCATTCATTCTCCAGACTCATCTCACCCACGTTCTACCCTCGACATGTCCCATCTCCCCCTCGTCGCACAAAGAATCACAGCCGTTGTCCCGGCAAAGTGAAGACCGCTACTCGAATGCCAGTCCAAGTGCTCGATTAGCTCGTTCACCATGCAATTGCTCAAGCAAGGGCTCGCCGCAAGCTCCCTCGTGCACGGATTCGAGCAGACGCAGGCTCCCTCTTCCGGAGGCGGAGAGGCGGGATTACATGCACTTGACCGCCTGCAGCGCTTTGCCCTTGATATAGAGATCTCTCTAAAGAAGGAGCTTATACGATTCTCGAGAAGTTCGCATCAGCACACGCTCGCAGAGGGAGATGCCCTCGTGAGTCCTCTTCAGTGAGTTTCACTCTTTCCCGCCTTGAAGCAGAACCCTGACGATGGCAGCTCTACTATAAGAGACGGCATTCCACCCCAAGCTCTACAACCCACGGCATAATCATCTCTTTGATGCCAGGATGGAGGTCGTCATCGAGGAAGAAGAGCCATCTCAACGAAGGCTCCCCGAGTTTGACGCCGGCTTTCACGATACGCTATCGCCTTGCTACTTCCACCACGTCATCGATCCCACCGCCGCCACCCTCCGAGTGGAAGTTCTCGGTCCAAACCTCGCGTACACGTTCCGACACGATCGTGCAAAAGAACTGCGCCTCGCCTCCTCCAACATCACCGCGCGATTAGAGGCAAAAGTGACGGGCTTCCTCGCCCTCAAGACCGGCAACGGCCAGCAGCGGGTCGTCTTGGCTTGGGCACAGAGCGGGCATGGCGTTGGGAGCAAAGGCGATCTTCTGGATGCTGATCCGAACGTGCTTCCCAACGATCTCTGGACCAAGAGGGCGATTTCCATAGGCCGCGCTCTCGCTCTGCGAATGCGCCGGCCCTACGACGGGAGACTCTTGCAGACGACGGGCATCAGGATGGAGGGCGTCTACCTAGGCAGCCACGTCGAAGTGAAGCTCGCCTCCTACGCCATCTCCATCCTGCTGACCAGATTCGGCATCACGCAGGACTTGGACAACATCTCGCTCAGGGACCTCACGGCGCTGCGCGAGGCGTCGTGGAAGGACGGCTCGAAGCCTTCGTTTGAGATTTACTTTTCGCGCAAGAACTGCAACTTTTGCGGCAAGTTTGTGCGAAAGCTGCAGAGCGCGACGGGCATCTCGCTGAAGCTGATTTAGAGAGAGCGGTTGGTGAAGAAGGTGTATGAGAAGAAGGACTTGCCCAAGAGAGACCGCCAGCGGCAGCGTCAGCCGCAGGAGGTGATTCAGATTGACATTGCTGATGCCGAGACCGCCATCATTACGGACGACGTCTGTATTATCGAGACCATTGATCTTTCTGATGATCTTCCCACTCTTGCCGAACTCGTCAACCTCACCCGCGGGGATACTCACGATGCTACCAACAACAACAACAACAACATCATCATCACCAACTCCAGCAACACAAGCACAATCGACCTTGTCACCACAGAACAAGAGCTCCCCACACGCGCCGTGACGGACACCTTCATCGAGGGCCTGGCATATTGTGTCGGCCAAATCGACGAGTGTCCCGCCGGCGCGCGCGACGCCATCGTGAGGCTCGCCGCCCACAACAGGCGGCGGGAGAACATCAACAAGCCCCTTCCTGCCACGCCGCAGATGGCGCCCCCCGGATATCACTCCGCCGCTTCTTCGCCGGAGCCCGCAGACGACCACCAACAGGGTGCACCGCTGAACGAAGCTGCGGTTGTGAATGGAGGGAACTTGCTTACGCCGCCGAACGAAGCTGCGGTTGTGAATGCCGGAAACCTGCTCACTCCGCCGTCGAGCGGCCGAAGGGCACGAGTCTCGGTATCGCCTCCAGAAAGCACGAGGAAATCGTACAACCTTCGCTCGCAAACTACCACTCCGCGGGCGCTGCAACAACAACAACCCATCACACCAAGCCGACCACCGAGAGAAAACCGCCCCGTGCTGCTGCCTCCGCCGCCGCCGCGCAAGAGTTCTATTATCAACAAGGACACGACGGCGGTGAAGAAAGAGGCGAGGGAGGCCAGGCTGGCGAGCCTCAGGCCCAACGCTGGGTATCGTCGGACGAGGAGGGTTTCGTTTTGCGTTGCGATTCCTGCTGCGCCTCGGCGGCGCTCTGAGTCTCCTGATCCGTTCTGAGCTAAGGGGGGGGTGGAGGTGGAGGGTTTCTCAGTTGCGATGTGAGAAAGAATCATGTAATTGTTTTTCTTTTTGCTCGGCATGAGCAAGTTGTCGTGATACGTATGGCTTTGGGAGGGCCTGTTTGCGCTCGCTTTCTTCGTTTTATTCATTTATATGCATTTTCTCTACGCATATCTTATCCTACACTACCTAGCGTACCTACGTATATAGCAATTACATTCACTCCAGCCTCTATTTCCAGAATTCCCAGCCGATCCAAACAAGCAATTAGAGTCCGTATACCAGAAAAAATCCCAGAAAATCAAACCCTGACCGACCCAATCTCCCTCCCCCTCTGCCTTATCACATCCCGAAACGCATCCCCCAAAGCATCCACAACAACACTCACATCCGGCGCCTTCATATCCTCCTCCTCCTCAGCGCTCTTAGTCCGTCCTCGTCTTCGTTTCAGGTTCCCTCCCCCCAGACCTAGCTTCCCCATCGTAGACACGTATTTGACGTCTTCCCCATGACGAGAAGGGCCACGTTTGGAAGAGGGCGTGATCTTTGTCGAGTCCAGCAGGGACTGCCACTGCGAGAGGTAAACCCCTGGTTCGGAATCCCTCGTCCGAAGGGGCGCAGATGAAGAAGAATCCGCCGAAAGAGAAGCAGCGGCATCAATGACCGCCTGCAAACGCCTCTGCGAAAGCTCCGTGATGGAAGCGAGATACTCGGCATGCTTGTCAACAGCCCGCAAGACATCCTCCTTCGCCGCCCCATCGAGAGACCCAACCAACTCATTCAGCCGCTCCTCCATGTGAACCTTTGCCTTTTCATCATCGCCGTCCTCCTCCTCCTCTTCAACGTCAGGTTTCCGGAACCTCGTGGCAATGGCCTGGCCCCAAGCCGGAAACTCCCTCCACACCTCAGGACAGTTCTTTGCAAACTCGTGCACCCACTTATACAGCATCCCACGATGCTTCCTTAGCAGCACGACGTAATCCTCCACGCTCGCCCCCGCCGCATCATCATCTTCCCCTCCATCATCATCTTCCTTTGAGCTGGCAGTTCCATCCCCGTCCTCTCTTTTCTTGTTCTGAGACTTCCCCTTCTTGAGCCTGCTCACGCGAATCAGGTCCGACAGGAAACTCTGCACCGCCTCGAGATAGAACCGGATATCGATCCGCGAATGTACGATCCGAATCATCGGATCATACGCACCCACCACGTCCCTGACAGCCTGCGTAAACAGGTCCGGCGGCTGCCGACACAAGACGCTCGTGATCGCCTCCCGATCATGGATCGACAGCAGCGCAGCATAGTACTCCAGGCAAAGCGCGTGCTGCGCCTCCGTCAGCCCCTCCACGAGCTTCTCGTCGCAGCCCTCGAGAATGGCCACGACAATCGACTTGTTGTCCCGCAGGCTCGCCTCCCTCGCGGCAAGATGCTCGCCCCTCGGCAAACCGACGTGCCTCCGCACTGCCTCGAGCACGTCTTCGGCCAGCGCGCCGTCCCCCTTCATCTTCTCGATCCTGTCCACCGTCTTCCTGAACTCGGACGCGTCCCACGAGAGCGCGAGGGAGATGATGCGCTGGAGCAGGTTCATCCCGTCGTCGGCGCTGGCCGTCAGGCCGACCCAGTTCGTGATGCTGGTGACGCTGAGCTTGGCGAGCATGAGGCGCATCATGCCGCTGATCATGGTGGCCGCGTTGCCGATGCGGAGCGTCTGCTTGATCATTTTGTAGGGGATTAGGGTGTTGATGTTTTCGATGAGCTTGAGGAGATCCTGGCCCTCGGGGGACACGGTGAAGATGTGGTGAGCAAAGGTGGCGATGCTGCGACAATGTCAGCTATAGGTACTTACTCGGTCTCGCCTGTCGACAAGTCGCCTCAAGTAAACTTACTTGATAATGGCATAGTTCAACGCCGCCTTCATCGCCGGGGAAAAGCTCTCGAGGTCCTCCGTCTCGGTGACATGCGCCGACACCCGCTCCATCAAATCGCCATACGCCCACTCCTCCAGCAGATCCCCAAACGCCCTTGACAGATCCTCCGCCCTTGATTCGTCATACTCCCTCTCCTCCGTCGTCTTCGTCTTCTTCTTCTTCTTCTTCTTCTTCTTCTTCTTCACCCCATCACCACCACCACCGCCAGCCCTCTCCACGCCGCCCAGGATCCCCCTCCCAACCATCTCCAACACGCTGCTCGCCCCCGTCGCCAGCGTCTTCCTCGTCCCCATGGCCCCCTTGTCGAAGCTCTCCGAGAGCTCCGCCTCCGCAAAGCGCGCCAGCAGGCCCTGCGCCCTGACGTTCCAGAACTCGGGCGGCAGGTCCCGCACGCCCGGCAGTGGCAGGACCAGCCTCTTCAGCATGAGCTGCAGCAGCGGCGATGTCGAAGAAGATGAATCCGCCTCTGCCTCGTCGTCTTTGGCCTTGTCATCATCACCATCATCAGCCTCGGCCTCAGCCTCAGCCTTGTCCTCTACGTTGCGGGCCCTCACTCTCCAAAACGACACCGGCGTCCTCGCCCGCGGCGTGGCCTGGCCGCTTCCACTGCCGCCGCCCCCATTGCTGGTGGCCGTGGCCGTCGTCGTCCGCGCAAAGGGGAAGCCGTACCCCGTGACCGCATCGGGGGCCTTGAAGCCTTCAATCTCGGCATATGTCTCGTGGTGAGTGAGGATGTCGAACAGCGCATGCGTTTGCTCTTTGGTCAGCGTGGATGCGGATGCTGATGCTGCTGATGCTGATGTAGATGTAGATTCCATGGCTGCAGGCTGCCTTCATATGAATGACGTCTTGTCGGCCTATCTAGCGATTTCCACAAAGCAGCCCTCGATGCCCTTGATAGTAGTGACCAAGAAGAGGTAATTATCGCATCTCCTCCAAAGTGCTCTGTATAACAAGGCGGTGAATCACGAGTATCTCATAGAAATGATCTCTTCAAATACTGATAGAACATGTAGCAGCGCATCAAAGCCAAAGCATTCCAGGACGCTTTCAATGGCGGTCAACCCATGTAACACATGACGAAGTTCGCCTCAGGGACGCCGTGAGTTAAGTAAGCGTAACCATAGCGTCTGTGTAGGTACTTAGTCAAATCAACCAGCCGTTGCAGCCCTTCCATTCCCTGTTCGATCGGCATTTCGAGCTCAATTCCCTTGCAGCAAGCATCCTGTTAGACCGTTCATATCGGTACTTTGCTGCTAACAGCTCCGCACCAGCCGAGCACTGGACCGTGACCTCGTCAGAGCGTTGGCGTGTTAAGCATCCAAGTAAGCTGCTAAAGCACGGTAGAAACATGTTTTACGGGACTTCCTTACCTTAGCAAAAACGGCCGAACCCATTGATACGTCGTCAATCCACTGCCGTAAAGCCAATTGGGCATAACCTCAAGCCGCCGAGATCATACATCCATCTTTTTTCAAACCTTTGCGGTAACGCTTGCGTTGCGTATCAGTTACCGGTATCACGACCACCTACACCATCATCACAGCCGTCACTTACGTCATCAGACCGACCAATCTGACGCGGGCCCCGAGACAATCTCAAATCATGTGAACTCGTCATTTAAAGGCTACAACTATTACTACTACTGTGGTATTGGATAGGCGAGTGCCCAAAAGGAGCGTAACGGATATAGTAGGAAAAGTCGAGACAAAACTGTCTCGAATCAAGACTCACAATAGGGCATTAATCGCAGTCTTGTAATATCCTTCAAAGAAAAAGCGTGAATTAAAAAGCAATCAATAAGGAAAAGAACAGAGAAAACAACACAAAGACAAAGGAAATCTGTTTGTAGGAACTCTTCACGCCTGTCCCAACGGGTATAGAATCTGCACTTCATCAGCACCCAGTGAACGCTGACTGCTCTTCTTCCACACTCTCGAAATCAGCCCGTCACTGCATCCCTAGTAGGCAGTGAGACCCTGTCCGCCAAGTTGGTGGCCGCTGGTGCCTTCGCCAGGAGCGTTCAGGCCCCTGAAGTTGGCCGACCCGTCAATGTTGCCGTTGGCGCGGCCGCCAGTAACGGCATGCGCCTTTCTCTCGATGCGCGGCACGGGAGGAATGTCGGTGCTCCGCTTGGCGCTGCCAATAGAGAAGACGGGGCTCTCCCATCGCTCGCCCTTGGCTGCAAGTTCCCTGTATTCCGTCGCCTTGGAGCTTATGCCGCCGGGCAGATGGATGTCGGGGAAGATGCTGTCCTGCTTGGTCACAGCCATGTTGACCTTCTTGTCCTGAGTGACGGCCTTTGCCTTCTCCTTGCCCTGAAGGATTCTCTTCTGCGCGGCCTGGTAGTATCGGTTGTAGATGTTGGGCACGTTCTCAGGATCACTCTTGGCCTCCTCAAGGGCACGGTCCGCTTCCTGCTTGACCTGGAAGAGGAACTCATCGGCCTTGTCGCACTGATCCTTGATGGCCTTCTCAATGGCCTTTTGCAGCGCCGGGCGGATTGCCTTGAGAGCAATGGGCTTGAAGAGCATAAACAGAAGCTTGTGCTGGGACCTCTTGACCTTAAACTTGAGGCCCTTGACGTCGACGTCCACCTTTTCCACCTTGAAGACGTGCTGAGCGTCCTTCTTGTCGGGCGTGGATACCTTCAGCCTAAAGGAAAAGCCGTCGCCGGGGAGCAAAAGGTCGAGCACGCCAGTGTCGGTGAGCGACGGGAATCCAGTCTTGCGCTTGACGTGATAGCTCACGTCTCGGAGGTCCATCTGGACACCCGTCACCTTGATGTCCACTGAGTTCTTGCGCTTGTTGGCAATCTTCTTGCGGCCCCATCGGAAGTAGTTGTCGCTGGCGACTTCGAGAACGTTGGGCATGAAGTTGTCGCTCTCGAGCACCAAGTTCTCAATGACGGCGTCAAAGTTGGGATCCGAGTACTCGATACGTGGGATCGGCACGTATGCGACGTTCTCGAAGATGGCGGGCATGACGACGTCGGTCAAGTCCTTGATAAGGTGAGGCTTGAACGCCGGCTTTCCGTTCTCATCGGTGCCCAGATCATTGAAGAGCTTCTGAATCGCCTGGCCAAAGGCCTTGTTCTGCGGATCTTGGTCGAACTGATCCGTAATGAACTTGACCTCGTCCACAACGCGGTCGGTGTGACCGCGGTACTTGTCACGCAGCAGATAGCGGCCCTTGTCGTAGAGCCGGTTCCAGTCCTCGGTAGACTGGTCTTCGAGGACGTAGCCCTGCTCCAAAAGACACTTGCGGATGTAGGTGTCGACCTGCTTGAACCAGTCTCTGAGCTCCTGGTCCCTGTCGGCATCCCTGTAGATCTGAGAGATGGACTGCCAAAGATCCTCGGTCGAGGTGCCGTTTGCGAAGCGCTCAATCAGCGTGCGCAGATCCTCCTCGGCTGCAGAAAGTCCAGTTCGGACGTCCTTGGCGGAGTCAGCAGAACCCTTTCCAAGGTTGCGCCCATGTCGGCCGTATTCCTCAGCCAGCCGAAGAAGGGTCTGCACCGCTTGGGAGTAGTCGGGGTGTTGCTGGCATTCGAGGACGATCTTCTTGAGACGGAAGATAACCTGATCCCTGCGCTCTTGAGGCATCTTCCTCTTCAGGTATTCTCTGGTCTTGCGGCGGTACTCCTCGTTGCGCCTCTTGACCTTCTCTTGCGTCTCGTCGTCCAGGTTCTCGTTCAGCTTCTGGTTCACGACATTTTGGGCCGTGTTCACACCAGAGCTGGGGTTAACCTGGTTGGTGTTGTTGATACCAGAGCTCGGGTTGGCGTTGAAACCAGAGCTCTGGTTGACCGGAGTGGTGTCTGTGGTGACGCCCTGGGGATGCACAGATTGGGGAATTCCACCAGCCTGAGGTGCCATTCCGTATTGCGGTGCGGCTCCGACCTGGGGAATAGTACCATTCTGAGGCGCCAGTCCCCCTTGAGAAGTCACGCCCCCTTGAGGCAGAGCATTTCCAGTGGCAGCCGAGGCGACATCTTTGGCATCCTTCTTCGGATCGCCCTTGTAGATATCTCGGGCTTGGTTCTTGAGGGCCTCCTTGGACAGCTCGGGCTTCTCGTGCCAAGTGTTGTCAGGGGCGGGTTCGTCCATGCGGCGAAGCTCTTCGTCCGAAGGGCGAACCCGTTCGGCGACGTTAGTAGCGCCGTCTCCAACCATGTCGCGTACGAGAACGGTGGCATCCTTGACTGTAACAAACAATTAGCCGCTGTCTAGAGCAGTGGGAGGAGCAGCTTCTACTTACGAAGTTTCCGGAACTGGCCGTTGGTGATGAGCAAAGTGCCCAAAGTCCTCAACCCTTCGAGGGCTTCATCCTTGTGTCGAGCAGCAGTGTCCTTGGTCACGGGAGTGTTGGGCGCCTGGAGGTTCTGCGTGTCGTACTGAGTAGTCTGCCAGATGAAGTCCTGGATGAGGTTGCCGTCGTTCTTGGACAGCAGGAGCTGTTTGGCAAGCTTCACCACTTCTTTCGCATCCTCCACCAGCAGTTTTCCCTCGTCGGACAGCTTGTCGGAGGGGCGGCTGAGGGCTCTGGACTGCAGGAAGCTGTTCAAGGCCACATCGATTTGCTCATTCTGAAGATGTGAGTTAGCGACCGGTCATTCGATGATTAGGTATGACGAGGTGGGTAAAGAAGACATACCGATGGGGTCTTTCCATTCTTGAATGCATTGATGATGCCGTAAATCTGCAGCTTGCGGTTGATGTCCTCCTCCTTCTTCTTGATGTTGACTGGCTTGTTGACGTTTGCCATGGTGAAAGACGAAGAGTTGCTATTCTTAGGGCTGTATTAACTTGTATCGCAGATCGATCTCGAAAGGAATAACAAGATAGTAAGGGGCTGCCCTGATCGCGTAGTGTAAGATGGTCTCTTGGTGAGAAGAGGCAGATGGACTAGACCAAGAAAGCAAAAACAACAAGTGAGAAATCCAGTAGGGTATTTTGTCAGGCGTGGGTGAGAGCAGGAGTAACTCTCGGGGTATCACAAAGATTAGAAGAGTGAATGGGTATTAACAGTGGAAGTTGCACGTGTTGGTTAATATGACGAGTTTGGGAGGAGGAAAGAAAAAGGAGAAGCCGAGGGCAAGAGCTGCAAGCGGAAGGAGAGGGTTTATAGCTGCTGCCGTACAATACAAGAATACAAGTTACGTAGTTCTATCTGGAGAACTGCAATACCACGGAAACAAGCTCCCCTCGCTGCTTCCCTCCATGACCGGCTGCAATCAGGAGAGCAGCTGCCACGGCAATCCAGTCCCGGCGCCTTGCTCGCTCTTTCCTGCTGCTCCAACTGCCCTTTTCCTTGGCTGTAGCAAGTTTGGCTCTTCATCTCACAGGGGAGTGACGTTGGACTCGGGTAACAAGTACGTCATAGCTGCCTCTTTTTGCGTTGCATCAATTGCAGCCAGGCCACCAAAAAGGGGGTGTACACAATTGACGAGGTGTGTGAGAGCTCTCGCCAGCTTATTACCTGCGGTGCTACCTGCAGCAACTTGGTACATGATCGTGTGAAGCCACGGCACAAGCAATGCTTATTGGGGGCATTCCTCCTTGTTGATAGGGGACGGTTCTGGCCTGGTGGCGTTTGCATAGAAGGGAGGCGTACGCGGATCGAGACATGGCGACCTGTTTTGGCCAATGGGGGCAGGATCTGCGGCGCTGCAACCAATGGCGGCGTAGCACGAGGGCGTGGATTGCGGCACGTTGAATGTTGATGCAAGAATCCAGGAAATTGGCACAAGGGCGGCGCGATGGAAGAAGCTGGAAAACTGGTCATGTTTGTTTTGGCTGGGCTGTCTGGTACCTCGCCTAGTCCCTCAGCTCACCACCTGCTCACCGTGCTGAGCTCTCAGTTCCGCGAAACCACCAGCGCGCCGGTTAGTGCTCTCACTTTCAACATAACCAATCGCCTCACCTCGCCTCGTCATTTCTCACCCCAATTGAGCCGCCGTGAATCTCGTCAAAGCTCCCGTTCTGACCCACGTGAAGAAGATACAGATCAGAAATCTCCGGCACTCAAACCTGGAGTCACCCCCGCTGGCCCGCCCTGCAATCTGACTGACAATCGCTTGACCCGCTGTGGCAACGCCTTAAAGCGACCACGCGTGTAAGCGTCATCGACAGGCCAGATCTTTCTCTCCTTGTGCGTCCACCACATCGCAGCTGGTGCCGGTGACGGAAATATTATTGATGGATTGGCACAGCTTGGGGCACTGACTGGCTGCATGATGCATGATGCAACACCGAAAATTTTTTGCTTGTGCTGCCAATCGTGAATCTCTTCTCTCTTCTCCCTAGTATGTACTCTTTTTCAGCTGCCACAACGTCTTCCAAGTGCCGAGCTATAACTTCTCTACCGTTTCATGTGCTCGAATTGGATCAAAGCGAGATCGGCTGGAATGTGACGTCTCTGCCAGCCTCCGCACTTACAGTACTACTAGGTAGTTGCAGACGACGTCATCCCGTCATTCAAGACATTGAATCACACCAAGATCCTTTGTTCCTGAAATTGGGAGGTGTGCTGAACCAACTGAACCCGAATGGACAAAGCAGTGTATCTTGTCCTATCCCAACAAGACCAATATTAGCACGCACATTCGATAGAACCAGTGATAATGTTGCGCAGGCCATTTCATTGGTGATAAAGAAAAAGCAAAGAAGAAAAGCAAACGCAAATTGGCCCATTGTATTCATCAGCTCGTAACGCCTCTAATAACTGTCCGTTAAACGTAAAATTGATATGCAGCTACCAAACCATCACTGCCAAAGCCCTAGTCTAGGCAGTTGCTGAGTCGGTCGGTGCCGTCTTTGTTCCCAAATCATTAAACACTTTGGCCTTGATCTGCGTGGCCATCAATCCAGACATCTCCTTGGTAGCGATCAAGTTTGCATCCTGGCCAAGCTTCTCTATTGCCGAGTTGATTTTACCTCCCATCATCGCAGTCTGGGCGACTCTGGACCGCACCAGACCCGAAGTGGCTTCCTTAATCTTAGAGCTCAGGTCCAGCATCTGCTTGTTGCCAAAGTCGCGATTCGTCAGCAGCGGGCTCTGGCTCAGCGTCTGCACCCAGTATTTATGCCACAGAAGCTCCAGCAGGTGGGAGTCCAGCGTGCTCTTGAAATGCGAAACCTCGAGGCTGTAGTATCGACTTGAGTGGGCGCCAAATTCGGCAGCCTTGTCGAGGGGAACTGCCTGGAAGCCGTCAGATGCATAAGGGTCGGCCCTGTGATTGGCAGGATATGTGCGGAATGCTCCAATCTCGACCTTGCCCGCGCTGATGGTACGATCCGGGTCGATCACCACCGCCAAGAAGGGGTCTTGGAACTGCTGCTGCAGTGCCTCCGTCTCGACGTCGATGCCGCTCAGCCAGCATCCGTATCCCGGATGGCTGTGGTACCATCCAACAACATTCTCCTGCCTGCCCTGCTCTCGACACAGGTCCAAGTATTCAATCAGGTATTCGTTCGCTTCGTTTTGTGCGTTGACTCGCGTCTCGGTTCCTTCGACGGGCAGCCGGAAAGCATCCGTCACCACAAACGTTTCGGCCTCGATGTAGCCTTGCATCAAGCCCATGACCTCGAGATTCCCCCCAGACCGCGCATGCATCGTCATTTTGATCAGGGCAACGGCGCTGATCCGCACCGACTTGAAGTAGCCTGGGTCTTTGGCCCACGGGCGGGCATCTGCTATGGCCTTTTGGGCACCGGCATCGTAGTTGTACAGCGCATCTCGTTTGGCGTCAACCAGCTGGACGTTGTTGTCCAGCTCTATCGCGGGAGAGGTACAAGTCAGCGTATGAACACAACCGCAAGAGGATAGAGGTCATTTCCATCACGTACCCCATGATCGAAGAGCTGTGGCCTCCATCTTTGGCTGGCGTTTGAGAGACGAAGATGGGCTGAATGATAGCGGAGGGAAGCTCGTCACGCTTGCTCGTGCCCCGCCTGGAGACACATCGCATGCTTTATCGATAAGCGATATGATCAAAGTGGGGCATGTGTATCTCCACGGGTCTTGGCTCTCCTTGGCCTTGAAACCATGCTTCCAACCTTACATAGGTACATATTCAACAGTGATATTTACGGACACAGAGGCAGTTTCTATTAGAGGATCCATTGTATCGATTTCTGTCGTTACATTTGACAGGGATCCATGCCAAACGTCTTCCCAAAAATTGAAGTGACAATCATGTGGGATTATCACCAAAAGCTACCTTACTACCTACCCTGAATGATGACTGAGCGAATCAGTTTCTCACTAGAAGCACTGCATCACCGCTAAGCATGTTCTTATAGGTATCTGTGAAATGGCTATGTCTGAACTTTGATGGAATTTCTGGGATAGATCCTGTTCCTTCAAACTGTTTATTGACATTTCAGCTTCCGAGGGATTGTGGCCATCAACACAGAAACATTCGACTCTGCAAAATGACCCAACCACGAGAATGCCATGCTCATTGGCAGCATAATGATTCAAGTTGGAAGCCTGCTCGTCTTCCAGGCTCGTATCCGGCAAATACAGCAGAGTTCTACCACTATGCCGTCAAGCCGCCATGAGGCCTGATCAGCCGAGGTAAAGACACCCGTATCCGAGGCAAAGACGCCCGTAACGCCAAGCTTGACAGTTCTGTCCGACTTACCGATGGCTGTCGAGGTCAAAGGTGCTCTCAACCCATCTGCCGTCTACGTGGTGCATGTATTCAAGCAGGTAGTTCTGAGAGGCCCCGAGAGGAGGACGTTGTGAAGGGGTCGTGATTGTTTTGGTAGATTGCTTGTATGATCAGGAAAGTTGTCTTAGTGAAGAAGTGGGGGGGTTTACAAGGCCTGGCAGAGTACATGTAATGAGCCTAGACTATACGACACTGTTTTCATCTCTTCTTATAATGTCAATTGCCATGTACAGAGGCATAATCTCCTACAGACTTCAAAGAACACGAAATCGACATGCCTCGAGTGGACGCTCGTTGAGACCTCGAGAATCACGATCAAGTTGGCTCACTACATGCACCTTATGTGCTTCCTTGATCGAGCCACTGCTTAACTACATGTAGCTTCTAGCCGTCCCGATCCCAGGACGGAGGATTAGCTTCATGATCTTCATGATGGAGACTACGGGACACTGCAGATCACATCCTGGCATTAGACTCGCTCGGCTTTTAAACTTCGCGAATCTCATGAGTGGAGTGTGTCACTGGGCTGAGTATCGCGACATCGTCTTTAGGAGTGGATTGGTTCTCACGAAGCGATCCAAACTGGACAAGGTTGACATAACAGGCCAGAGCTCATGTAAAGAATCGGAGAGCTTGAGAAGGAGTAAATAAAACTAAAGACAGCTATGGTATGGTATAAAGTATAAAGTACAATGCAAATGACTTGGAGATTTCATTCAATCTTCGCAAGTAGGCTCCCCATTTGTTAGATCCAACGCCGTGCTTATCATAAAAAGAAAAAGGTCCCAAAAACATTCCCTACATAATTAATGTGAAGTCATCTCAGACAAAGCTATTGAACTGCCTTTGACCTCTCTGAAACAGAAATGAGAAAGGCTTGTAGCAAAGAGCTGATGGGCAAGTTCTCCAAAACTAGCTCAGAACGATGGCAGCGTGACACTCGGTTCCGATATTAGGAGTCGACAAGTTGGCCTTGGTCTGAGGTCCCGGCTTGAGGTAGCAGTCTCCGGGAGCGCCGCCGGCCACGGCCACGGCTATGTTACCCCAAGCAGGAATGAATGAGACGGCCACACAGTCGCCCTTGGTCGTGTTATAATAATTCCACGCGGCGCAAGCGTCCATGCAGCCGTTGAAGTCGGGGGCGAACACGGAGAGCATGGTCGGGTTGATGGTATCTTTGTTGCAGTACATGGTGAAGTGAGGCTTGCCAAAGACTACGAATCGGTCAGTCAGCGTTTGAGTTCCTCTCTCGTCATAAGACATTTCAGGAAGATATAGCCTTGGAACTTACATTGAGACGTGTAAATGTTTCCGGTAACATCATCCGCGTCGGTGGAGCAGCCGTTGGTGATGTTGCTAAAGTTGGGCGTGCCGGAGGGGAGGGCGGCGGTCGCAGAAGGTGTAGTACCAGTAGGCGTGCTCTCGGCTTGAGCAGCAACTAGCGAAGCGTTGAGGGCTTTCACCTGGGACTTTGCATCGTTGTAGTTCTTGGTGGCGACGCCAGTACCGGCTGCCAGCCCGATGACCGCCGCAGACAGGATGCCGATGATGATGGAGAGGAAGAGAACCAGCGAGATACCGCAAACAGTGCCGGTCGTCTTCTTCCCTGGGACGGTCGACTCAGGAGGCGCCGTGTATGCTGCGTCTCCTCCGGCCTCGGTTCCAGCCAGGGGCCCCGTCACGCCTCCGGCGCCGGCCACTGCCGGGCTTTTCGCAGCGTCCGAGTACGTTCCGGTGGTGCTGTATGCGCCGTTGTTGGCATACGGCTCGGTTCCGTAAGTCCCAGAAGGCTGGGAGACATATGTCCCGGCAATCGATGGCTGAGGTGACCAAACTTGCTCCGCAGGGGGACTATGGACGTAGGCCTCGGGCAGGTCGTGGCCCTCGGCGAGCTGAGGAGCGTCGTCGTACTTGAAATCCATGTCAGTCAAACAGCTTCTCCCTCACTCGATTAGACATTCGGCATTTTGCAGACATACAGTCGGAGACATCCTATTATATGCGTATGGATACGCCTTGAACATTCGAGCAAGCCCCGAGGAAACAGGAGCTCTGCAGGGGAACAGGGGAGGCCAGCTGGGGGATCAGCGAGCTTATGAACGAATTTGGGGCCGCCCTTATGAAGTCCAACCGTCTTTGTTTCAAGACAACGAACACATCCATCAGGAGATAGTAGAACAGGCAAGGGTCACGGAGCCTCCACCTCGAAAGTTGCCCCCATGCTCACTCTCACGGCGCCGGCTTGCCATATGGACAGCGGAGACCTCCCTCAGCCCTACGAATCATGATGCTGCGATTTAAGCATAGCTCGAGTTGGGTCTCCGTTCAGGGGCAAGGCTGAGGAAGTAATTAAGTCAGCTACAAAGAGGCTCCGTCTGTTTCGAAACAGAATCCTCGAGGAGGCCTGCACCATCCATCTTTCCATGGCCTCTCTGACGAGAAATACGGTTGCAGCCACGGCAGAGTTTTCTCACGAGTTCTTACCCCAACCGAACGTCCATGGCCCTGCTCACTAGCGCTGACATGTTGACAACGTACGAGGCCTGTAAGCTGCACGTCGACAAGGCGCTGCCGGTTCTTTCCAGCCCTCTCATTAGGCACCGTCCGACACAAGACAGGACCGCGCCGCCGGTTACCCGTCTCTAGCTTGACCGTCTTGCACCTGATTGGGGGGGTTTGTGCCTGTTTCTGGCAATTGATTAGTTGAACCCCTGCCTGCAGCCGCACCACGTCGGCTAAGTATAGAACGCCGGGCCACGACAACGCTCCTGCGGTTGGCCACTCACATGCCTCATGAGAGGCCAAGAACACTATAGTCTCGTGGCAGTCCTCTCGGGACGGCACAGCCGCTGTGTTATTCTTGGAGAGAGGGAGAGAAAATCAGGCCGGTTCCGTCCAGTGAATATACGGGGTATAAATCGGCAAGACAATATCAAACAGGTTTCTGGATGATCCCAAGAATAATACACGCATGGGAAAATTTGCACAGATCCATGGCTCGGCTTTACATGATTCCAGAAAAACCTTGCAAAGCCGAGCCGTGGACTTGTTTGCTACTCGCAATGGAGCGACGTGTAAGGATAGGGGGGTTGGGTCGCCAGCCCTTTAACCAGCTGGCGCAGAGGAAATAGACGAGGACTCTTTCAGCCTCTTCTCCCCAGTCACCGCAAAAGGAGACTGCTATGCCGAAAGCTATTGAGCGAGACTATCCTGGGAGATGGCAGCCTTTCTATGTCTTGGCAGAGTCGCAGTACCAGCCACTGGGGAAATGAGAGGGTCGCATTTTCAGGATGATTACATATAGTACCTAGTAGTAGGACTTTATTGGATTAGCTAATGGCATGCTTGGCGATTTATTTTTATAGATCCGTGAGCTCGTTTATTGTTTGCTTACCAGTGCGAAGTTACCATAGAAGTTGAGCCTCGACTTGGCTTAAAGCAGGCAGCTGATACATACATGTGAAGATGAGCGCCAGGCTCAGGATTCCGAAATGAGCTCTTCTACACTGGACAGTGAAGAGTGTTGTTTATTTCGATATATCTAGTTTCAGTCTCATCTGTTGCAGTACATTTATGTCTTATTTATGCGTCCGACTCGTGGTTGACCTGCTTCCCCTCGACATTGAATATCGGCCATCAGAGCCTTTTTACCACCCACGACGAGATTGCACCGAGTCATGTATCGTATGATATTTGTAAAGGACCAGTGCCGACTCTCTTATACATATCAAGCGGCATAGACGCGTTCACAAGCGCGCACGAGAGTGAGTGAATGGCGCTTATCGTGTAGTTAAGGGATCTGTCAGAACGACGGGGAGCGCAGATAATCAGCTCGCAGGTGGCAACGACTCGAAGGCTGAAGACGTACGACGTGAAATGTCGTTGAAGAATATCCCTACTAATATGCCCTCGTGGTCGAAATATGGCTGTCTGTTGTATTTATGTACTTACATATAGTCTGGCCTCTTGGAGGAGGCCAGTCTGGTCTGAACGGGAAGTCTCTTCTTTCGATTACGATATAAGTACTTGGTAGCACAATTCTACATGAGCATTGATCCCTTATCGATCAAAATGTATCGCCGCACATAACGATTGGTCAGGTGCCTCTGTGCTCTGTTATCAAGTCTTGATTCCCCTTCGAGTTGATTCTGCATTCTTTCTTTCTTTTTCCTTCATTTCTTTCTCCTTCATCAACATGGGCGTTCTCCGTGGCAATTCAAGTCATCCCAACAGTCACCCGTTGGCTGACAAGCACAGAACTGACGGAATGACGGCCCTCCTAGTTTGCCCAACAGAAATCCTGAATTTCATCTTCAAGTGTCTGCCTGCATCCTCTCTCCACGCCCTCTGCCGCATCAGCAAGGGCTTACGCCAAGTGGCCGAGCCTCTACTATACTCTGGGATTGAGTTGATATGGGATACACTTCGGCCTCCTACCATCATCGCGCTTTTATGCACTCTTCAACTTCGGCCTCAGTTGGCCAGCCTTGTGAAAAAGCTTAGCCTGCAATCGCCATACAAGGTTGTATGTGGCTGGTACAACGGGGACCTCGAATTCCGGACGGTTTTCATCACAGCCAGATCCCCCCTAGTATTTCAACTGAGGGCGCTGATTTGCACGGCTTCGTTGCAACAATCCTGGGAATCAATGCGCCATTCCTTGACCTATGGATACAAGAATCAGAAAACCGCACCATGGATGCGTTTGTTATGCTGCTGTTGTACTTCGTCCGGAATATAACCAATCTGCGGCTGACTGGTGCCTTCGCCAGGGAGAACGGCCTCCTTGACATGATGCTGAGAGCTTCCCTTTGTCGAAACGCATGCCGCAGACTCCCGCAGTTGCGGTTTCTACAGACAGCGATTATCGAACCGCAGAGGAGACCCTCTCGGTATTGAAATGCAAAGAATACGGCCGATGTTCTCCCACTCTCCCACCTTTCATCTGTCCGGTCGATTACAGCTGAGATAGACAACACTGTCGTATTGGAGTGGCCGACGTATACACCCAATCCTTCCAATATCACCACACTGGACCTTAAAGTCTTACGAGAGGGCCATTTGGGTCGAATTCTAGCTACAAGAAAGAATTTGAAGACGCTCAAGTGGGAGTGGAGTTGGGAGCCATACCAGACAGACGGAATTAACAACCATGTCATCAATCTCCACCAGATTACCGCAGACTTGTCCTTCGTTCAGGGAACATTGGAGAGCCTGCAGCTATCTGCGACAGTCAAACTCGAGCATCAGGACCCCAGACCCCGTATCAATGGATCTCTAAAATGCCTGGAGGACGTGAGGAATCTACGCAAGCTCCAGGTACCTCAACTGTTCTTGATGAATTCCTCTTCAGAAGACAACTGGAGTGGCCTGGAAGACTTGATGCCCAAGAATATACGTCACCTGACTATCAATGAAGATATGTCCCGGCTAAAGGAAATGATTACCTGGCAAGGCCGTGACCTCTTCAACCGACTTCAGCAATGGTGGGAGAACAATATGCACCACACCCCTCGTTTCCACAGTTTCACTCTATCATTGCATCGCTCCAATGACCAGTTGTGCGCTGGTATTAGAGAAGAGCTTTCGAGACTCGGTGATCAGCTTGGTATTCAGCCCAAGTTCTTCGAGCCACAAGAGGACTTATTAGACTAGATATTGAAAGAAAGAATGTAATGATCATAGGTCATGAAGGCTTTTAACAGATATTAATCCAATCTCTCTATGAAATTCGCACCCCCCGCCAGAGTGCTGAGATTGTAAGCTCCTGCTACACTATCAACATCGAGAGAGTGAATGTTATTGTCAGCGACAAACGTGTCTGTAATCCCAAGCGGCCTATTGAGTGTCAGTGAGACCAGATGGCTTAAAGACACCGAAGACTCTTACAGTGTTGACTGTTCCACAATCCGGGTTGAATCTATGGTTTATGAACCTCTGTCGAAGGAACGGGTGAGAGCACGCACTCTCACGTTCTCCAGCGGGGTGTCCTGATGCTCATAATACTGATGAGCGTACATAACCTCTCCTCAGGAGGCGTCTCGAAAGTGGCATTTATTCTCCTATCCTGTCTCCTCTCTTCAAAACGCCGTATAAATGACAATGACAATTCTCTGACGGGGCCGACAGGCAGCATAATCACAAGTGGATGAGAGTCGCTTTTGAGAAGTCCTACAGGACAATTTCATGGGCAAAAGCAAAGAATGAAAACGGGTTTGGGCCACTTCCTGTGGCCATAGCCATATTGCTTGGGCCTCCTCATTGCATGTCGCCCATTGCATGCATGAGTATGTTGTACCTGCTCAAAATCCATTGCGGATAGTATCATAGAGGAGAACCCAGCTTCAAACAGGCTCGCTGACAAGGACGGGGCGAGGAGCCGTGTAGACCCTGACCTCCATCATCAACGGGATGCCAACTATGGCACCTTACGTACTATAGGGATGGGTAGAGACGGCTGCATCCATGTAGACAGCAAATGGGCGGCTTAAGGGTGTGGTATAATCGTGGAAAAGCGGACACGAGAATGGTCATCAACGACATCTATTTCGAAGAGACCGAACTTCAATATGGCGCTGAAAACTGAACGTAGTGGCCAGCGGATGATTTAACAGATACTCAATGCCCACGCAGAGTCTCGTAAAACTCTCAAGACTTACATGTGACATCGCGACTCTCGATCAAGCCCAAGCACATTTCATCGGCACCTCAGCTGAGAAGATCGAGAGAAGTCATCGACAATGGCGGGCCCCAGCGCATCAGAATTCCGACTCCGTCGAGCAGACAGTCGCCGATATGGGAAGAATGTTCCGGGTACAGTAACCGCAGACAGAACGAGAAACTATCGCGATTCAAGACAGGAAGTACCCAAATCCGGCTGGGTGATACAGTTGCAAGCTTTAACTAGCTGATATTGAAGTCATTAACCGGTGGGTAAACAGGGCATGCGCAATATAGTGTTAATATAATATGGAGTCATAGAGAAGACGGGCTGGAATCGTTTGGAATGGAGGAGAGAGTGTTGATATGAAGAGGAGGGGTGATATGAGAGGCTAATGATGGTATATGACATGTACTTCGTATTACAATGTCAGTCTGACTCTTTCACAGAGCTCGTTAGCAAACGCGCCTGAGAATAGGAAAGGACGGGCATAAAGAACGAAACAATGAAGAAGAGGATAATAACGAAATACGCGTGACAGTGGAGTATGATTTGAGAAACACAGAGTTAGAGAAGACAGGCGAGAGATGGAAAGAATAGTCTTGATCGCCTGGGGAAAAGACTGTCACGATGCCCCAGATTGTACAAGTAAAGCCCCGTATTCATGGAAATAAAAGGAAGCGGAGCATCGTGGAGAAGGCTGGCAGCCTCCCCGCATTCCATGATACGTACCATCAGCTCAGACCTACACTGTACCTATCACGAGCGAACACCCACCCGTTAAGAGCAGGCGAAAGGGCAGATAATGAAAGAACCGAAGAAAAGTGGTGGGGAAGCGAAAGCTGCGAATGCTTTGAGGTTAGTACGACGATGACGGCATAGTCAACAGCAGCGAATGAGACACCGTTGATAAGGCGGCTTGAGATTGGAATAAGGTGAGACAAAAACGAGGGACCTGTCCTTTAGTGACGGCGCTACGTATCAAGAAAAGAACGCCCTCTAGGTCATCGAGGACGAGGTGCTCCGTCCGTTAGAGTGGTTATTTGGTAGCTCGATAACTTCGAGTTCCATGAAGCATGTAAAAAGAAATGATGATGGGTAAACTCTGTCAGAGTCGGGGGTTACGGATAGACATTTCGTTCAGGGCGGGCGGCCGGGCGATGCTGTGCCCGCAGAACTCTTTTCGTCCGTGGCTGCATGAGCATGAGAACCAAGAGAGTTCCCCCCCCCCCCCCCCCCTCATCTATCTCTGTTGATAAAGATGGTGTGAAGCGTGATACGGCGCATGGATCTCACACACTGGAGGGAACGTGTCGATGCAGGCCGGACAGAATAGAGCGACCACCCGCCGCCGGAATGCTCGTGAGACAGCAAAGCATGGCCGAGCACGCGGACTTGCACGTGTGTGGTTGCCTGACCCTCTGGCTGCGAGTGTGTTTGCCTGCTATTGGGTATCAGGCGTCTTGGGTCGTTGTCGTGTCCCTAGCCGTGTGATGCGGTATCAGGCCGTGACTGTAGGATGGACAAGTGTAACGAATATGACTCAGTTCCGAGGTCCAAGGCTGACTTGTCGTACAAGAAGCAGACACGACAGAGGGCCTTGTCAATACCTGACATGCAACCAGCAAATGCAAGCAAAGGAATGCTATCGCTTTTGCAAGGGTCAGCCAATGTTATACGGGACCATGCGAGACCAAGACCCCCAAAAGGGTCAAATTAGACTCACTGGGACCTTTGTTCTCGAGCTGGTCAGGCACGATAACAACTCCGACCTTGTCCGAGAGCTCTTACCAAGCAAGATGCTCGGCCAGCCTCATCTCGATCTATTGGCTTGTACTGGCCGGCACACCCAAGCCATCATGATCAGCCAGCCAATTAATCCATGACGCTGCATAAGCCATCTGACGATGACTGCTGCTCAAAACGCACAGTGCCATCTCATTAGCCCATCCAAAGCCGCGCCCTCCGCTGGTAAAACACACTGGGTTCCCAAGCACTGCTTCGCTGCCCGACAGAGGCGCACCATGCCAGCAAACAGAGCAAGTAATGATCTGTTTTGTATCTTGGGGCCGTCCGGACGCCTGCACACAACGGGCAGCAGCTGCACTCGTAGCATCGCTAGCACTAGCAGCACCGCTTCGATTGCGACATGCCCAACTCGAGGTCAATGCAGACGGGGCCGGGAGGAGAGGAGCCTCGGGAATGGGGGACTTTTTGGGGGTCCAGGGAACTTTGTTGATCATGTACGAGCTGTATGCGTGCGTGAAGCATCGATGCCTCAAAGTTGCGGCTCTAGCGTTTGCGTCGTGCGTCTCGACCCCTGCCTGCTCGGATCTTCATGCGCTGCCCTTGTAGATAGATATACAAAGCAGGCCCGTCGGCGTCCTCGTCGTGTGTGTTCTGTCTCTTCCCTTCAGCTGCCTCCTTTGTTTCCTCGTCCTTGTGCCGTGATCCCTCTGACGTGCATCAGCTGGCCCTCTCTCGTCTGGCGTTAGTACAATAGTAGTCGCTGAGGCTGGTGCAGAGCGTCCCGGTTTGGCCTAACGCACGCCGTCTCGACGCGCATCGTCATCAACCCCGTACCCCATACTTTGGTTCTTTTTCTTTCCAGCAAAAAGCCATTTGGATAGGAGATTATTCGTCGCCCCGATTTGCCACCTCGAAGACGATCGAATTCCAGCAAGCCAGTCATCAGTTTCTCTTATTCACCCAAACGCTCGAGCACTCCGTCAATCCGTTTATCGGTCGTCTGTCCTTGGCTCTTTCCTCCCCTCGCAGCGGCGAATGACACGCCGTCGATAAAGACGAGTCGGTTTCAGAGGCAATCGCAATCGCACTCGCACACGACCGACCGCTCCGTCCCTCGGAGAAGGTGCCACCGCAGGAAGGCACGGCACTGTGTGTCACCCTTATCGCTCGCAACCCGCCGAGTCTTGGCTACCGGGCCCCGCCGCCTGGACCCTCGGGCTTGACGTGTATTGTACCGGTTACACTGCAAGGCACCACCGCCGCAACCGACGCCCATTGCGCCTGACACTTTGTAACAACCTTGAACCTGCGCCTGCCCAAGCCCGCCCCAGCCGCTAGCCCTAATCGCGCGTCTGTCATTGGCCAGCCGACCTCCCTGGCTCTTGCTCTTATTCACCTCCGGGATCGACCTTTTTGCGTCCACGCTTGCCGCGGTACTGCCACGGCGCACCCGCCCTGGTACCAAGTACAGCTCTTAGGTGGCACTGCGCGCTGCACAAAGGGCGACCCGAGGGCCCGCGCCGAGTACGCAGTACAACCGCCTGTAGTACAGGCTTCAGTCGTATTCCAGAAGCCCTCGGCCTGGAATACAGTGCTGGCCCCCCTGTGGCTTAGGCTCTGGAAACTGGCATGTCTCCACTGTCGCGGCCTGCCTGCATCGTCCCCCGGCTGCTCGTGCCTACAGGTACGCCATCATGTTACAAGTCTCTCCTCCTCGTCTTCATCTTGCTCCCCTTCCTACCACCACCACCACCGTCTCGACAGCCTCTCACCCTTCCACTCGCTCTGCCGCATCGAAGCATTCGCTCTCCTCGAAGCCTACCGTAGCCGAAACGAACCTCGCCATCTCTATTGCAGCCATTTCCACAAACAAGTCCGTCGTCACCATTCTCCCGCCGCACACGACCAGTCCGAAGCATGCACAGGGGCGGAAAGGTCCATCATCGATTGCTCCTATCACGCCCGTCCGATCTCAGTCGCCATCTTCTCTCAAAACTGATGCGGAGATGGCGAAGTCGGGAGTCTCTTCACCCGTGTCGGCCGTCTCAGATACTTTGACGGCCCGGCCAACAACACCGAGCAGCCCTGTCCAGATCCCAAGGACGACCAGCCGCGATTCTTACTTCGATACCGCCCACCCCGTGCGACGCCATAACATCCCTCGCCGCAAGATTCCGAGCCATGTTCGCACGCCGGAGTCTCTGTCACCGTCGGTGGCTGCTCTACTGGCCGTCACCGACATCCCACGGCCTCGACGGACGCAGCGGAAATCCCGGGGACCTGACAAGTTGCTCACAGCCGATGCCATCATTGCCGATGAGAGGTCTCTTTCCGAGAAGGAGTTCAGCTGGTCGCTGAGCCGTGGAAGCCCCATGGAAGTGCTGATGTCGCCTCCTGACAGCTTGGACGAGGAGTTCATGGGTAGTGACTGCGGTAGCGTCTCCATGTCCAGGACACTCTCTGTCGATTCCATGCCATCTCTCGGCAATTCATTTGGCACCGAATGCATCTCTTCCGTTGACACCCCTCGAAGCTCGAGCCCTCAACCTCTTCACCGGAGAAGGGCCAGCCCCATCCGTAGCTGTTTGGGGCCCATCCGCTCTCCCCCCGATAGTATCATCGACCATCCGCTCTCTCCTGAGCCACACGACGAAGATGGACACGATTCGCTGGGTCTTCAGAGCACTGGGAGCGATGCGACTACTTCCTACCAGTTTATACCGTTCAAGCCCCTCCGGGCTGTCTTTAAGTCCAATCTTACGGCATCACTACGAGCACTGCGATCGGCAGCCAAGTCCTTTTCGAACCTCAACTTTCCTACTATTCCGCCCGACGACCTCATCACCCGCTCCATTCTTACCATGGACCCCAAGGTGCCTTACGCTGACGAGCGCCGACCACCCGTGACGGAGGAAATTCCATCCGCCGAGCTCCGCCGCTACCTGAACCCAACGACGAGGCTGTCGCGTGAGACGCAGTCTCGACCTCTGCAGCAGCCCGGCACTTTTGCCGCATCCATCCAAATGCAAACCTACAAGATTCAGCGCACCCGACCCACAGACGCCGCGGCGCGCAATGCGTATCCATCCACCTCACCGCTGTCTCCATCGTCTCCCGCGGGCCAACCTGCACCGACGCCGACCCAGGATTCAATGCCGCCTCTGCCTGCGATGCGCCAGCGCGAGATGCGAGAGAACCCGGACTTCATTCGCATTGCCGTCATGGAGATGCTCATGCGCAGGCGGGGCAAGCTGGACAATAGCAAGCCTGGACGTGCGCGCTGGGCACTGCCACCCAGGAAGACATCGACTAAACCCTACGCGATCGGACCCGATGGTGTTCCAGAGCGATGGGTCCCTCTACCGGCTGCTGCTTAGCTGGAATGCTCGGATTCTGGATTCTTCGGCACAATCCGCCCCAACACGGTACCGCCGAGGCATAGCTGGTGAGACAAGGACGCGTCTCGACCATGCTTCTATTGGGCTATTCGACAACGGCCAACTCGTCGGCGAACCACGCACGACCCAAGCAATCCGAGACAGACCCTGATCTTCTCTTTTCTCACCCAAAGTCGACGACGGAATCCACCACGCAATTTTCGGTGGGGAACCACTCTGATTTCGCTTGCCAATGGCGAGCCGTCTATTCTCTGCCAGGGTGGCAATCAAGCTCCAGTGACACATGGCAGGTTCCGGCACTTGGGACGGAGGTCAACAAACACGGAGCGCAAGCGCACATTCGGGACTCCACATGGAAGGGTTTTGGAAGCGTCAAAGCCCTGGACCGCCGGAACACGAGTCGGACAGCATCCACTTGCGGCAACATGTCACGAACTTGCCGAGGGCGAAAAAAAGCCATTGAGATGCTTTTTGGGCCGTCATACCTTTGCTTAGACTGTGGGCATTGGACCGATGGACTTGGCGACTTATTGGGGCCAGCTGGCATGCTTTGACTGGATGAAACACCAAGCGGAAAATTTTTCGAGCAATTCGCGACACGACCCAGCGCATCGCATGCGCGGTTTAAAAAATTTTCGACTTCATGTCGCAAGACACTACCGGAGGTCTTGAGCTCATTTTCATGTCATAATGAAAACCTCCACATCAGGTACGCTGCAGATATTGGATGGCAGCAAAAGGTCGAGTTTCAAGACAGCAAGCCCTTGCTCAATCTGGAAGGCAAACATATGACGCAGCAGCCTCAGATGTTCAAAAGGGCAGCCAAAGGGGGCATTTTGTCGTCGACCTGCTTCTTCTGCTTGACAGGCCGCAGGAACCTTTGCCAGATTGGCGTCTACCGGCTAATGGGATCTAATTGGGGTGCGCACCTTTGTCTTTGAGGCTCGGCCATATTCGGAACCAGAATTGGATGCAACTCCTTTGGGATCGGCGATTGGGCCCAAATGCGAGACAAGGGTCATGATGGCATTTGCGCCATTTCCTACCGTGACAGTCTCGGGTCTTTTCTTCATCTACAGAACCATGCGTTTTGCTCTTGGGCCAGCTGATTCACGCTTGGCCGACATTTTCTTTTTTCCTTTATTTTTCTTTCCTTTCTCGACAACTTGCATTGCGACGGTGGAGTCATGCATCAACTTTTCCTGGAGTACCAAGCATTGCGGGCTGGCGGCGTATGAATTGGGTTACCTTTTTGTTTGGTGCACGAGGCGCTTGTTTCCCCTTTGCTTCAATTCTTTTTTCCTTTTAGATTGACGTTGTACGAGAAAGGTTTCTACAAGATGGGTGCTATGGATCTCCATTCGGTTGCACAGCGAAACATCATGGGAGAGGATGTCTCAATTTTCCCGGGGATATGACTGGATAACAAGATAAAGAGATGGGATGGCAACGTCGCAAGGCGGACATGTAGCGGTGATTTATTATTGCTTTTGGCGGCATATGGGTGCTTTTTATCTGGGTTTATGATGGTTTAGGTAGAGAGAGGCGTGCGTTTGACTTGCTTTTGATAGGTAATCAGCGAGATTTGGAATCAGTAGAATTTCTACTTCACATGCCACGTTCATCTTTCAGGACTGATACTCCGTCGCGTGAGTCGTATGAAATTCATAGACTACCATGATAGCACCTTGTGTCGAATTCGCTTTGAAGACGATCACTCATTTGGGTGACTTACTTTCTTAAGAAGTAAAGTCCCAAATCACGACAGAAGTTATCAAGACCCCAACAGCCAAGGATGATGAATATATTATCAATCCCCAAGATAATGGTCAGGAGCATGCACGTCACCATTCTGTTTGTATTAGAAGATAGATAATCCGGACATATTTTCCAAGAAGTGCCCTACACTTTCTTTTCTTTGACATGTTCAAAAGCATGTTCAAAAGCAGTATTATGCCGCCTGTACGCCGATTTCATGCCTCAAAACCCAGGTTGTATGTACTCTGTAATATGTGAAGTGGTGAAATGTCGACTTCTTCCACCCGGCCCTTGATATGTATGATACAAACCAACAAAAAAGCACGCACGCTTGCTTGCAATAAAGTAAATGAAAATAAGATGTGACGGGAAGAGAAGTGGAAGTTGAAAGTTGAAAAAAAAAGGGAATCATTTCTGGGCCCACCAGGATATAAAGTTTGCATAGCAATGCACCTTTCTATCCCACAGGCCTCTGCGCGCCGCTGCCAGATAGACCTCGAGCTCGGTGTCGTCCCATCCCAGCGTTCTCAGAGGCTTGGCTGCCAGAGCGCCGACGAGTTCGTGGATGATGTCTCTGAAGAGAATGCCGATTTCGCGCTGGCCGGGATCCTGCAAATACGGAGAGAATAGAGTTGACACGTCAGTTCCATGTTTCGATCAAGGAATAGCAAAACAGCAGCGGCATCGGTGACTAACCCTTGGCCATGCGCCGATTGGCGTTTTTGTTACTCGGCACTGAATGTTCTTGAAGCCCGCGGCTTTGTACTTGTCGTGGAGCTCGTTGATGACATAGACATTCATGCCGTACCCCCGAAGGGCGCGATGCATCAACATGGCGACCTGCGCCGGCGGATGGTCCTCGGGCATCGTCCCGTCGTCGCACCGGATGTAGCCGCAGTAATCGGTAATCTCCAGCCAGCCGCCTTCTTTCAGGTGCGCGTAGCAGTTGGCGATGAGCTTGTCCACGTCCTTGAGGTAGATGCAGGAGTGGCGCAGGTGGATCATGTCGTAGCCGCCGCGGTCCATCCACTCGTCCTCGACGTCGTCGATGAGGAAGCGCACGTTGGGGGGCACCATGAGCGGCTGGATGGGGCTGAGGTCGAGGCCGATGATTTCTGCGCTGGGGAACATTTTTGCGACTGTACGTCCGGCATTAGCATTTGACGCATGCTCAAAGACCTCTCCTGAAGACGGTGTTTGGACGCAGGGGGGCTTGCCTTCTATTGGCCATAGGCCTGTGCCGGTGCAGAGATCGAGTATTCGCTGGGGATTCGGCGCAATGGGGGCGTTGAAGAGCTTGCCGCCGGTGAGCTGCATGTGGATGACATGCTTCATGTACTCGCGCTCCTGCTCGATATCGTCGTTTGGCAAGGGGTAGCGACCGTGTCGATAGTGGTGATACTAGCCGCAGCCAAATCTTCCCTTAGCAAAGCAATGCTTCCTTGTACGATGTAGACTCCTTTGTCAAATCAAAAGCATATACGCACCCTTCGCCCGCCCTCGTACTCGTGCTCCCATATGCTGCTCCGCACAGTCACGGACTCGGCAGAGTAGCCGTCTGTGCCATCGTCGTAGTCGTCATCGTCTTCGCCGTCAATGTCTTCGCTGTCAGTAGCGGCGTCGAGCGGCGGATCCTGTTCCTCGATATTAGGAGGATCTTCTGAGACCACGATGGAGGGCTTTCGAGGCGCTCCAACCTTGGCTTCTGCGGGCTCTGCGCCTGTTGCAGGCGCCTTGCCAGGGCTCGGACGGTCTTGGTTTCTCGAGGAGTCTCCCATGGTTTTGGGATGTCGCTATGACGGTGATGGCGGTGGTGAGAGGAGCGAGGAGAGTAGTCGTAGTGGCAGCCGTGGTCGTATAATGGTAGCGCTATGGTTGAGTAGGCGGAGATGCGGGTATGGGAGCATGCTGGGAGATGCTGGGGGATCGAAACATGCAGCTTCAGCCCGTCTGGGCCTAAGCGAGGGCCGGCTGTCGATTCGGTTGAGCAACGAGGACGCGACTCGAGCGTCGGGATTCTCCAAGGCTAGCAGGCGCTGAGCAAGTAGTCGAGCGCTGGCTGTTAGCACATTTGCGCGCCCCCCGCCAACAAATCCGGTCAGCTCGGTCAAAAGTCGAGGTCGAATCGGTTCAGCTGTAGAAATCGTTGGAGGTTTGTGACTGGACAGGCGCAATCAATCGACGACGCAGCTGAGCAGATCTGGCGCCTGCAGTCAGCTGATTGGAGATGGCGGGACGGCGTACGGGGTACCTAGGCGATGCGTCCCGGGTACTCCACAGCGGCATGCGGCCAGCCAATGGGCGCAGGTAGCTGCCGAGGTAGTACGAGTATTGGGTACGAGGCACGGCGGAAGGGTCCCACGGGGGGCCTGAGTTTGCGCTAAGAGTCGACGGCGAGCAGCGGGTTGGAGAGCTAACGTGCTGTACTTTGAGGCGAGTTGGGGTTGATTATCGCGAGAATAGGGGAGGGAGGTGAACAACTGAACCTTGAAGGGGCGGAAGGAGGAGATTGAATCGATAAGGGCTGGCACGTGTGATTGATAAGGGGGGTGAAGGCTATCATTACTCAGGTGCGGGATAGAACAAGCATCGGGCAGATATGGAACCACTCATATTCAGCTTATAGGCAGCCAGTCTGGTTTATTGACTCCGACAGCCATATCAGACGGGTAACACACTCGACTCTTGATGCTTCTCGTTTCCCTCTGCACGTCTCCATACCACCATCCTTCGATACCAAGACGACGACAACGCAGTCTTTTTCTTGCTTCTGTCCTGTCTCCACCAAAGCCAGCAAAAGGACAAGACGACCATCGCCAGCGTCAACGGAATCGAAATGTACCACAGCAAGTAGAACAGCGGCGTTGCACTGACCTCCCACGAGCCCTCATCGTCTCTCTGCTCCGACAACAGCAGCCGTGATCCCGCAATTGTTGCAACCGTGATCGTGGGCAAGAATATCAAGATTGAGGCTGCTATGAGCTTCATCGAAACGGGACCTTGTATCACTGCCGCCGACTGCTGCTGAGATACCAGGTTGGATGCCAGCGCAATTACAGCTTTGATTCTTTTCTGAAGGGCTGAGACTCTCAGTTGTGTTGAGCGGAAGAGCGTGCGCCGATACTCGAGACATTCTTTCAGCTGCAGGTCAACAAGTGGTCGGCGATGTTCCCCGGGGTCCCTCGAACATGACGCAGCTGTCGAAGAGATCCCGGCGCTGGTGTTATGTATGAGGCTCTCGTTGATCATCAAAGCGGACTCAAGCGCTCTGGACAGCTCCGTCGTATGTCTCGTGAAAGAATACGCCTCCCCGAGTATTGCCCTGAGGCTCGAGTCCGTTATGTGGGAGTCTGTGGACTGAATGATGGACTGTTCCGTGAGATTAGCAAAGGCAAACCAACATGGAGAAGAAGGAAAACCACATGCACCCTGGGGAAGAGTGTTAACACACCTGCTCCAGCGGCGCAAACTCCTCCTCGAGCCTCCACGCCACATCATCTACTTCTTCAAACAGTCCTTCCAAGGCAACATCAAACAGTGTCTCCGGATTGACGCCAACGTCACTCCATTCCCGGCTCTTGATCAAGTCCTTGATCCTCCTCCTCACCCCTGGTCCTGCGCCGAAACACAGCAGTGTGATGTTCGTCTTTTTTGACGCTTGGAGGAAAAATGCCGCCTCTCTCACGGGGTACTTGTCGGGCAGCGGTGCTCCTTCAGTCGCATCGTCCTTCCCATCGGGGGACTCGTCATCCGCCACATAGGAAGCCGCTGAAATGCAGTAATATCGAAACCAAGAGCTGAAGCCATCATCGTCGCCGCTTCTACGGCTCAGGCTATGGTTTGTAGAACGTGCTCTTTCTGCGGTAAAGTCATGTGGTATACCAAACTTGTGGAAGAGCTCCACCATCAACCCTTTTGTTTCTCGTCGCGGCGTATCTGACGGCGCAAAGCTTTGGTTCCAGAATGAGCGTCGGACGTCAAACATCTACCACGGGGTATCATGGCGCGGTTTACTTACACTATCCTCACTTGTGGTCTCCCGCTGAGACGGCGTACAGTATTCTGGACATACTCGCGCGGCTGCCCATCTAAACCATCATCAAAACCATCATCCACAGACGTCATATTCCATTCTTACCTTGGGATATATCACAGACCTCCAAGCTCCACGGCTTTTCTGCTGTAACTGGCGACTCGGCTGCGGCTTTCTCGGTAAAGTCCCTGTACAACACTTCCTGTGACCGCTTTGTCCAAGACATGACTTATTCCTATTCCGAGAATCCGTGCAATTCAAATCTTCCGATTGTTTCAGCAAGAAAGACAAAACTAATGCGCTGTCTCAACAGGGCGGACACTTCCTTTATGTATGGGCATCTGACATACTACTACCCCGTATGGAGTACATACAACGCACAGCACGCATCCATTCATCCAACTTTCGGTGTGGTCACACCCCAGTTCTTGGCATCCGAGAGCGCGGTTCTCTCCTCCATCACGGCACCAATATTGTCCATTTCTCTCCATCCTTGCCACACCGGCAGGCCTGCCCATACACATTCAAATCGCTTACCTAGCGTTTAACCCCTTACCGCACAAGCATGGGGTCTCGATCATATTGGACCACCCTATGGAGCATCAACCCCCTTCAAAACGAAGCAAAACCGAAATACATCCAATCCGGATGAGTTGCAACGTGCCCAACTCCCTTTCCCAAAGGGTCCATGATTCACCGAGTCTCCGGTGATGGGTCATAGCCAAAGCTCATCCCTTGCCAAGCCACCCCCAGTCGGAACTCTCCATTGCGAGCGCATCGCTGCGCACAGCTGACGCAGCGGCTGAGTTGGGCAAAAGAAGCGAGCTTTTAAGCTTGTTTTTTGTGTTACTCGGTGGCGGATGTTGGGTGAATTTGGTCTCCTTGATTCGTGCCCGCTGGTCAGATGAAGCATTTCAGCTGGGGGGGTCCCGCCCCCAATGGAGAGGCGATCCAGCTGCGGAGGTGTGGCTTCATGCAAGGGAGGTTTTGGGATGTTGGTAATAGTAGCATGACACGGCACTTTTCGGGTTGTTTGAGAGAAGCTAATTATAGGATATGCGGACGATGGAGAGAAGGAAAGTATAGCTACGTAGTAGGGAGTAAGAATCATGAGGTCTCGGTATTCGGATGACCACATGTAGGTCACGGTGACTAGCGTTTACGAGTGCCATGGCTCTTCAGTTGCTGCTGTCGAGTTGTTCACCATGAAGCTCGTATACAGAAACGATCCACCTCGAAGCTGCTACCCCGGACGCCCGTCTCTCATGTACATACAGCTGAAGCTTGGCTTCAAGCCCGACGTTGCACAAAGGCGCCAGCGGTTCGCGTTCTCCATTTACCGGGTCGACATGTGGCGTGACAACTGCTCCCTTCGATCGAACGAGGGAAGTTGGAGACTGCTTCTTCATTTGATTCGTTCATTGTGGCTATTTCATACGTAAAACCTGCCCGTGTAGTTCCATGAGCGAGCCGGCAGTTTTGGTAGACGAGGCCTTGGAGATGCTATACAATCCACGAAGAGCTACAAGTGTTTCTTCTCGCATGTCTTGCTAAAAACTAAAGCTATACGTACCCATTTTCTTTTGTCTCTTTTGCCCCCGTCACATCCATTGTTCGCCGTCATCTCTAGCAGCCGTATCCTCACAAAGCCTAGATCAATCCCAGTCTCCAACCAAGGATGTCCTAGATGCAGACAGGACACTTATAATGAACCATCCGAAGTGATCTCCCTAGTCGAAACCAAAGCCTTGGCTCGCATCGTCATCGTCCGTAACCTCGGCTAGATCCTCCCCTTCGCTCTCATCCTTTGTATTCTCACTCTCATCTTCCTCATCCTCATCGGCATCATTGAACCCTAGCATTCTTCAGTAATTAGTTTAAGCTCAGAGCACATGAGATAGGCATAGGGTGAATACCCAGGGTCTGGAATCCAGAAAACTTCTTGCAAGTCTCTGAACCGTCGTTGAGAAGCTTGAGCTTGGCCTCGAGCTTCTTGCGCTCCACGCGTATGCTCTCTTTTTCGCCGACAATAGCCTCCATTTCGTCGTCGCTCATCTTGGCTACGGCCAGCGGGCTGAGAATCTCGCGGATCTCGGCGACTAATCCTGTTTCAATCACCTGGATCGAGATCTCGTCAATGAATCTCTTGAAGGCGATCTAAGAGGTGCAGGGGGATTAGCAGACGCTCCATGTATTCGACTAGATGCCATAGACTTACTTCATAATAGGCCTCGGCACTATCGAGCGCCTCTGCCGCACTCCAACGATACAAGTCTGGCTCAACGCTCTGCACCAACTGCCGCCTCAAGCTATGAAAATCCACAGTGGCATTCACACGTACGCTGGTGTCGCCAAGGGAAGCATATGGGAAGAATGACTGCAAGATTCCATCAAGCCTGGCGGAATGCCGGTCGAGACGGATTTTCTGAAGAGCCTCGCTGAAGTCACTGTTGTATGTGATTGGATGATCCTTTCGATACAGCTGGAGTAGATTTTCTGTCTTCTGTTGGAGGCTGGCCAGCACGGCCTCCATCTTCGGCTTCACAACAGCTGTCGTAATGGCGTCGTTTGTCTCTAGATCGGAGATGTGTGAAACCAAGCCATTCACAAACACTTGGGCCGCGCTCCAGACCTGCTTCACATGGCGCTTCACAATCGATTCCCAGAGTTTCGACTGCTCCCGGAACAAGTCCGTGACAATCGTCGGGCTGAAGGAGTTGGGAAGCTCTCGGCCACGTCTATGGGCCATCATGTCGACGACTTTGGTGACGAATTCATCTTTCGTGAGCCGGATATGGCTGCTGGTCGTCTCACTCTCCTCGGAAGAGTTCACGATCCTGTAGAACCGACCGTTTTCTGTCATTTCCTTGGCAAAGTCACGACTGAGGTTCTGAATGATGGCACGGATGCGCTTGGGATAACCGCCTTCGGACTCCGAGTCGCTGAAGAAGGGATCGGTGTAAGTGCCGTCAACTGCAGCCTGCATTAAAGATTGAAATGACTGACTGATCTGGATCAGGTAAAGTCGTTGCTCTTGGGGACTTGTGCGAGGGTCGCCGAATTTCTTGAGCTCCGTCTCGCAGGAATCAACCTCGCGGGAAATTTCATTCATCAGGCTCGGTAGTTCAGAGGCAATCTGATGCAACAGCAGTTTGCTCAATCGACTTCGAAGAGACGCGATACCCAAGCATGACTCGGGCAAGATCGACCAAGCGCTCTTGGAGAAGAATTCTTTCTCTTGCGTATCTCGCTGCGCCAGAGTCCATTTGTCTGCGTCCGTATCTCTGTTCCTCAGAACGTGCCATCCAAGCCGGAACACCACGTCCATGTTTGTGGCAAGGGAGATGTAGCTCTTCTCGCTTGAGGAACCAGGAGCGAGAGTGTCTGGCTTGGTAATGATGCCGAGCGTGCGAAGCCCTCGTGGGTCAGTATCGCGGGCAAGCTTCAAGACGATCTGGTTGGCGTAGTCGTTCTTTGCGGATATGACCGCGAGGATGATGCTTCGCTTCTTCGACATGAAGTTCTTGACGATCTGGGTGATGAGGTGCACATCCGCAGCGGACTGATTCTTGGTCTCGGAGTGAATCAGCCCAGGCAGATCGACAATTGTGAGATGGGGACGATCCGGTCCACTAATCTCTATGCGAAGGACATCGTTGGAGAAGGCTTTGCCGAGGGTCTTGATTCCCATGTATGCCTTTGCGTTCTCGATGAGCTCCGGCAGCTGCTGAACCGAGTCGAGTTGCTCGTGGAAGTCGGTAGAGGGGGACTGCTTGTCTCTTCGAAGTGGATTATGAGGGATGATGGAGACCTTGACCGATATGTGCGGTGCCGTTCGAAGGATGAGTTCCGTCGGGAAGCGCGTGCAGAGACCAGTGCTGACGGGAAAGGAGACACCCGAGATGGCCTCGAGGACAGAGCTTTTTCCCGAGGACTGGTCGCCGCACACGATAATTTGAGGCAGAGAGATGTAGTGGCTGATGCCCTGCGATCGCAGCGAGTCAACCGTGTTGAGGAGCTCAAGCTGCTCCTTGGAGCAGAGGCCCTCGAGGTTCGCCGATGCAAGCTGTGTCAGGACCATGATGGACTGCTGGGCAATGGAATGGAAAACTGACTTTTGTGATGATGCTGAGAGCAGGCATTGTCATAGACACAGGTAGGGGCAGAATATATACATAGTGGGCGCCCAATGTGGTGCATTCTTGCTGTTGGCATTGGGGTTGTCGGCCTCCCGTAGGCCTCCCAGAAGGGAGTGACGGTACTCTGCTGAACGCGGAAATCTGCATCGGCCAAGTCACTTATTGGGTGTCTTGCAGCGGCTGGTGATAGGTGAGAGACGTTGTATTCACTAACCATCCTGTACGGATACTGGCGCCTATCAAACGTCTGCTGCCGTGGACACGCCCGAGACGAGTCACCTACCTTTATCCATTGGCGTGACACATTTAGAGATAAGCACGAGACAGGAGAGAGACCAATGGAATATGTATACATCCCTTCCACAGTAGATTCGACCTTGTATCTGTGTACTTTTTGTCTAACAGAAGCAAAGACATGTTTTATGAGGAATGCTCAGTTTCTTTCCCTACCCGTGGTGACTGTAACTGTGCAAGGTTTTCTCTTCTCGGCAATTTGCATTGAGACGCAGACATACGGCCTGGCGATGGAGTGTAAGAGGTACGAACCCGGATCGAGGAGATTAGAGTCGGTGAAGTATTCTTCTCTATCCTAAACATGAAGAAGCATTTATAGAGACAAACGAATATCAAAATGCTTCAGAGAGCGTACGGCCGCCTCGAATTACATATGCGCGAAGCTACTGACCAAAGGCCTTGATGGGTTAAAAGAAGATTTGAGGGGGAAACTAAGGACGAGGTCTCCTTTGATAAATTGCATATGCCATTGGCTGGCTTTTTAGACTCAAACTTTATATGCGAACAAATCTTCTGAGTTGAGTGTTTATACGTTGACATCCACATGTCGTCTTGCTTGGTCGTGCCCGATGCATGAAACTCTCAGCACTCACTTTTTCCGCCCACAGGAGGCACCGCTTGTTTGCTCCAGTGAGAAGTTGACGGTCTGTATTACTGGAAGACGCTGGCCTGATTGTCTAATAAGCCTTCTGCATCTCTCACAAGTCCCGCCCCCCCTTTCGGGCTGACAAGGCCAGCGATTATTCCTAGAGCGATTATTTTGGACCCTGGCGATAGCGATCACGAAGGCGGACGTGACAAGGTTTGTTACGGCGATATCTGGCAATATCGTTACATGTATGTTAGAGAATAGAACGAGAGCTCAGCCCTTCTCGGCGTTGTGGACTGCGCAGGAATCCAAAGAGCTACCTAACTCAGAATGCTTAGCCGTGCAGAAAAGGCAAGGGGCCTCACTAAACTCCAGCAGATCAAGTAGTAAGTGGTGAACATGCATACGCTGAGCCCTCTCCTTAGCAGCCCCTCCAACATCTGAATGTTTCTCGCTCTTTAAGCTTGATGGTCAACAGTCGAGCTGCTATAACCAGATGAAAATCATGCTCTGAGTTGTTCGCTTTGTGAGTCCTGCGACCCGAATTGTATTCATGTTGGGCGGGTTTGGTCGCCATAGTAGGCTTTGTCTTGCAAATCTACAGTGAAATGAGAAACACCTATTAACTAATCCAATCGTTTCCAAACCAGCCAGCTGGAGCACAGCCAGAATGGGCTTGTAGTTCGCCTGGTCGGCTTATAGCATGGGGGGTTAGCATTTTGACAACCCAGACAACTCGCTCTGTCTATTGCTTGCTGTTCAGTCAACTGAGACAGCCTGATAACAAAGATGACACACCTTTTTCTTGGCCAGGCAAGGAGGCTAACAATTATGAAAGGCTTGATGTCATGGGTGGCATGCCGCGGTGAGTTACTTCCGCAAGATTTTGTCCAGAGTATCCCACACGTCGTGGCGGCACGGTGAGCGACGACAAGAGTTCGTGTGAGTGAAGATTCGGGCCCCCCTCATTTGGAGGAGAGTGTGAGAAGCGCTACCTGCGGACAGACACGTCCGTAGCGTAACCATCTTTCTCTTTAGCATCCGACTCCAACGGCGGCGGTACCGGAGGATATGAACCTCGATGGGCATCAACAGATCAGATCCGAGGGGAGCTTTATGTCCCTTGAGTCGTGAAACGATGGAGTATAAATGAGTCAAGAACGCCCTCTCAAGGATTCGGGGATGGAGCATAGATTAATAGAATAGACGGCCGCCTCAACCCACAAGTCGCCCCAATCCACAATGTTCCGGTCAACCACGTACCACTTCGAGTTGACTGCGAACGATTCCTTCTGAGATCATACACCGGCCTTGCTCAGCAGTTGCATGACACGGCACGGCGGGGCGCAACACAGCAAAGACATCTCAGCGTAACAACTGGGTATAGCCCATATACTTTGCTGGCTTGGAATACAATTTCACCAACGAAGAGTTGTGTGGAAATCATCGGCACAATGAGGTATGTGATGCAAATGAGCAGGATACCACCAACGGAGAACGCATTCTAATAAGCATCCGGGAAGCGATGAACAAAAGCCAGGTGGAGGCGCCGACATCTAGACGTATAGACATAGAAGGCCAAACTTGGGTCCTTTAGAGAGTAGAGCCATAGACGGTATAGAATCACAACGCAAGAGCCCCATTTCACTCATACTCGATACATGTATGCTATGCTAAAAGTACAAAATCGGTCATGCAGCAACGTTTTCTCATAAACCGGCATCATCATCATCTCCTGTTGATCAACTGCAGCGCCACATTCAGCGTATCATTCTGCACCGACTCCAACGGCGGAACAACGCTGATGATGGTAGCATCGTACTCGTCAATCCGCGGGCGCTCCAGCGCCTCGAACTGGCTGTGCACGAGATTCGCCTTTGCAAAGTGGTTCTTCCTCGCCTCCGTCCGCCGCTTCAGCTCGGCTTCTGGGGCGTCGAGGAAGAAGAAGTGCACGAGCGAGTAGCCGGCCTTGAGGCAGCTTTCCCGGAGGACGTCCCTGTGGGCTCGCTTGAGGGCCGAGCATGTGATGATGAGGTGGTGGTGGTTGGGGGACTGCTCCTTGTCCTTGTTGAAGGCGGTGGCTTGCTCGTTGATGGCTTCGAGCCAGCCTTGGCGGTCTTGGTCCGTCAAGGCTTCGCCCCTGTGCATCTTTTCAATGTTGGTTTTGGGATGGAGCTGTTTTTTTCGTGTTAGTCAGCCTCACATTTCAACATGCTGAATGGTGTATTCGTGAGACAAGAACGCACATCATCGCCCTCGATGAATCGGGCTTTCAGGTTGGAAGCGAGAAATTCCGCAATAGAGCTCTTGCCCGATCCAGTCGGGCCTGAGATGAAGAGGATCCAGGATTGCTGTCCATCGGTGCTTTTCCGACCATTTTCGCCGTTCACGGACGACGTGTTGCCGTTTGTGGAAGTTGGTGAAGCCGCCATGTTGTTTGTATCTGATGCTAGGTATACAGAAATGCGATTGTACAGTATACCATACAGGAAGATGCAATCTTGGGCCACCTTCTCTACTGCCAGCTTGACATGAGCTTACATTCATGAGACATCCATCATATCAGAAGCTTTGTTGCAGTGGAAACGCGAATCACCATCTGCGGGATTCCATCTGCCTGGGCGGGTTCATCAACGATAACGTAGCGATGGCGTAAACGTCGGAACCCCTGCTCCTCAACGTGACGTCAAGACTGGGGCTTTCCAAAAGGGAAGACAAGTTGATTGTGGTGTTGTGGCCTGTAAAAAGACGGGACTTCCCGATTTGCTTTTGATTTGGCCCTTTCCCTCAAGAACTGCGGGTTTGCCACTTTGCCGGATGTCTTGCTCCAGCGTTGGGCTTCTGTAGTCCAATGTTGAGGAGGTGGTGTTTTGGGGGGTCCTGCTCTTATACAGAGATATCCACCTGACTCGAGTTTCCTGCTCTGTTTTTGGCGTTTTGACAAGCCCATCAGACTTAAAGCAAGTTCAAGCACACGCGCCACTTGTTGTCAAGCTCCAGGCCAATGGGAACAATCGAGATCTCCTGACGCCCCAGGCTTGGTGTTCTAGCTGCTTCCGGGGAGGGAATTTGGAACAGTGTCTCGATATACTGTATCTAACTCATGACGGGGGGGAAGTCAGTCAGTGCCCTCAGAACGACTCGCCACCAGTGCCTCGCCAAAGATGATTGGAGAGAGCTGACGATCGCGATCGTGCTCCACAGGTCGATAAGTTGGTGTTTGACAGAAGGCCTTCCGCTTCTGTGGTTTTGCAGTGCCCCCCCAAGGGAGGAGGAGGAGTCATGTGCTGCCCTCTCTACATACATACGCATCTTGTCCTGTTGTCATATCTTTCTTACTACCTTGTGCCCGATCACATCTAACCGCTGCTGTACCCAGTCATCCACATGGTGCATTGGGCGACCATACATACTTGTAGGAGTAGACCATGGGCAGCCCAGTTAGTGCCGTCCGATTTTGTACGGATGCATGTGTCGGGTATATAGGCGCGCGTAGCCACTTACACCATATTTCTGGAGTTGCGCATTTCCCATGTCTGTGAATCATACATATTACCCAAAGTAGTATATATCCACAAAGGCGGAATTGATCAATACTCGGGGCTCCCTTCTTATCAAGCCGACGGGCATCTCTCTTCTCATTGCAAGCAATAGCCAAGCTCAGCCCATTTACTTTGCCCTCCAAAACACAACAAGACGGACGGGGAGGAAATGCACACAGACCTGCCAAGGCTTGTTGTCCAGCTGCACGATGTCCTCAATCGATTGCAGTGATTGATCTGATTTCCATCGATTCAACGAACGGGGGGTATAACATTACATGCTTTAGTTCGGGAACCGAACCAGAGTATGATGGCTCGGAATGCCCCAAGAACACCGACGACGAGCCAGCAGCATCCGCCTTCTTCCACTGAGAGCAGCAACACCGTCGATTCGCAATTCAGCACGCGTATCTTCAACACGAACCCCAACACGTCGGGCGACCCGACAAGTCGCAAGAAGCTCAAGAGCTGCCCGTCTGCTGAGCGGAGCAATGCGGCAGTTCCTCTCGATCGGCCTCGACGACATAGCAGCAGCAGCAGCAGCCATCGTGCCCCCGTGAAGAGTGACCTATTATCACGATATAACAATATCGACCCGCACATGCCCCTCCAGGGAGGAGCTCCAAGCTTGTTGGAAGCTACTACGACTTCACCGACTAGGATGAGACGGCAGCAAGCTGGAGGAGGGGGAGGGGACTCGTCAGACAGGCTAGACTGGGCGCCCCAGCCTGGCCTGGGCAAGGACTCGTCGTTGGGCCATGTACCGCGGATGGCCCCCTCGAACCCGGGAAGCACCGCGCCGCCGGGCGCCCAAGAAGAACCTCTCCTTACGCAGCATGCTCCCGGAGAGAGGACATCCAAGGTTGACGATCAGAACATCACGTCCCTGAGTAGGGGCAAGGCCAGCGAAAGAGGGCTGAAGAGGCGCCTGCCCATTGGCGAGGCAGAGGCGGAGTTTAGCCAGAAGCGATTGCTGGATATCGTCCAGGATCTGGACAAGCTCGAGAGGGAGACAAAGGACTTTGGCAAACAGCAGCTCCAGGCGATCAGGGAAGGGTTTGTCTAGCGCCGTTGTGCTTTTTTTTTTTTTTTTTCGAAGGTGGTTTTGACTTGACGGGTTTCTACGTTTTGAGCCAGAGACAAGTACATGTATGTTTTTCTATTAGTAAACGTAACAGCGATATGAGCTTGATAGGATTCTCCTGGGGACCCAGAGTTCGACGGCCTTGTTTGTTTACATTAACCTTAACCTGTGATGTCCGGGGAACCCTCGCCGCTTGCGATGGATATCCACCCGTAAGGCTGATACCATGAACTATGACCAACTACCACGTAATCATGAGATGGCAATGTTGGCGTTCCCAATAAGTAAGTAGCCAAGATACGCTCTCCCTATACATTTTGGCATGTTAAGCGATCTACTGCATCTGAGGCACCATCAAATAAGCTACATGTATAACTTTAATGTTCAAAACAGCAACTCCGATCGGCCACCAGGAGGCATCATCAAATAAAGTAGAAGGAAGCAAAAGAAAGGTGATTAGCACCCGACAATTTGCCAATCAAGCTGTTTCCTTGGACAAAAGCTGCCTGGAACAATGATTCAACACTAAAGCAGTCGTCCACGTCAGTGGTCTATCACTACCGCCGACTCCCGCCACAACTTTTCACTTTTGGGCTTTGCGTCATCCACCGCTGAAACCGACATCACCGTCTGACCTGCGTGTAACGGAGCTGCGATGGATTGATATAATATGTATCCAGGCAGAGAATATTACGTCCTACAGCTCACAACTTTCCAAGTCATCGTGCCTAAACCACCCACCTCAATCTACAATCATCTCCAACTCACAAATATCCCATAACTACCAACATCCCTAACATCGACATTCCTCACATAACAAACCAATCTACGGAATACGATATGTCCCGGGAAAGACTCGCAATGACGGCCCTGGCCGGCGTAGGCGTCGTGGGCGCCACCATCTATGCCACTCGAAGGGGAGGCCCCAAGACCGACGCCCAGGACAGGAGAGACAAGGCGCAAGAAACCCGCGAGCTCGGCCTGGGCAGCGCAGGCGTGGGAGGCAACCGAATGGCCGGCGGCCCGAGCAATTCAGCAGCGCCGTCAGGCCCCGAGCGGGATCCCGCCGACCGGCAGGTCACCTCGTCGGATGCCAAGGGCAAGCTCCCGTCTGGCGGCGTGGGAGGCGGCGAGGCGGGCAGCAAGTCGGACCACTCCAAGTGGCCGAACCCGGCCAACATCCTGGGCAGCACGGTGCAGAAGACGGGGCCGAGGACGGCGAGTCGAGAGGATGCGGAGGGACATCACGATACGAGGGGGATTAGCAAGATGGGGCCGGAAGTCGAGACGAAGCGAGGGCCTGCCGATGCTACGCGCCATTGATGCATTGAAGGAGTTGAAGGTTAGTGAATGAGGAACGGGGCTCAACGACACCATCCAAACTCCTCCTAATGTCGCTTTGGGGAACAGTTGATTGGGCAGCTGTCGGGGTTTGTTTGTACGATATCAATGTTTTCCCCTTACCCAGACACGACGCTGTATATAACAGACCTACGGAAGAAAATGATGGTTCTTGGGGCAAAAAGCATCATCTCCACGGGTTTCTCCATGGATTTTCCCATTGTCTTTCCACCACAGATTGGCGATTCCGTGCATCGTGAGCTTGTAGGTATCTACTCGTATCTGCCCTTCGGCCCCCCCTGTCACAGGTCTAACAGTATTTGAACCACTGGCGGGCGATCGTGTACAGATTTAGTGCCGCCGATCCACAGATTCTGACGACGTCATGATCACCAACACATGATGGCGTGAACATGTCGCTTCTACCGTGCAGGTCTGATGGGATTTGGAGCTCAGAGTAGCAATAGGGGGAAATAGTTGTGTAGGCTACCTCGAGGCTGAGATTCTACACATCAGTCTTATCATAATACCCGTAAGCGTTTTCTGACCCGTCTGCTCTAGAATATACTCGCGATGGTATCGTCGACAAACCCAATCGCGACTTCTGCATGAATGATCCATCATCTGAATGACGTTGATCCAACGTCATGAAAACAGTCCATGGATCACATCGCCATTCACCAAGTTTGGAAACCCTTCTGACAGACCAATGTCGCCATTGCCCAGCGATTCACCCATGGATTTCGCCTCGCTAAGGCATCCATGATAACATGAATCCATATCCACTGCAGAGCCCCAGAATAGAACAAGCGCAGCAAGTGCGGGAAGCTGCGATATCAACAACAGCCCAAGCTTCGTCGCCGACTCTTCCACTGCAAGCGTTCTAGAACTGTAATATTACTCTCTCTGCATGATATTCCGCAAAGAATCACTGCTGTTGTGAACCTACAAGGAAAAGAACGCCAAAATGCCCGGAGAAGTGATTGACCAGCCGAATCCCCCGCCGCTTGCGAGCCAGCTCCCGGACTCAATAGAAGAGCTGGCTGTGAAGCCTGCAAAGGCATCGCTGAACAACCTCGACCTATGCTCGCTCAGAGACTTTCAACGGGCAGCATGCTACATTGCGAGCGGTATGTTGCACCAAAGGCTCATCGATATCCCACATAAACAACTGACAGCCAGCAGCAATGATATTCCTCAAGGACAATGTCCTTTTGGATCGTGAGCTACGGTTGGAAGATGTGAAACCAAGACTCCTGGGTGAGTAAACCAGCGCACCAACTGCCTGCCACTGCATCGTATGACAGTCGCTGACCTGCTCCGTCAAGGGCATTGGGGTACTTGCCCCGGGCTGATTCTCATCTGGTCACATTTGAACCTGCTCATCCGCGACAGTGCCCAGGACATGCTCTTCGTCGTTGGACCCGGCCACGGAGCCCCTGCTGCCTTGGCCTGTCTCTGGCTCGAAGGCTCGCTCGAGCGCTTCTATCCAGACAAGTACAGAACCGACAGGGAGGGGCTGCATAACCTCATTACGCGCTTCTCTGTTCCTGGAGGGTTCCCGAGGTGAGTTGATCCTCTCTCATCACTTCGTTCGAGACGACAACTTCTGACGAGTCCCTAGTCACATCAACCCGGAGACGCCAGGTTGCATCCACGAGGGCGGAGAGCTGGGCTATGCCTTATCAGTGTCCTTTGGCGCAGTCATGGATAACCCAGATCTCATTGTTACATGTGTTGTCGGCGATGGCGAGGCCGAGACTGGCCCTACAGCAGCGTAAGCGTCGACTCGCATCCCTCTACAGGCAAACTTCACTCACTGACAAGACGGGCAGGGCATGGCATTCCATCAAATACTTGGACCCCGCAGAGTCTGGAGCAGTCATCCCCATCCTGCACGTCAACGGCTTCAAGATCAGCGAGCGGACCATCTTCGGCTGCATGGACAACGAGGAGCTCGTCCTGCTCTTCTCGGGCTACGGCTACCAGGTGACCATCGTCGAAACCCTGGATGCCATCGACGTCGAACTGCACTCGGCCTTGTTCTGGGCCTTGTCGGAGATCAAGAGGATCCAGGAAGCCGCGCGAACGGGCAACCCCATCACCAAGCCCCGGTGGCCCATGATCATCCTCCGGACGCCAAAGGGGTGGACAGGGCCTCGGACGGTGGACGACAAGCTCATCGAGGGCTCCTTTCACGCCCATCAGGTGCCGGTGACGCAGGCTAACAAGAACGAAGACCATCTCCACATCCTGGAGGACTGGCTCAAGAGCTACGACGTGCGCGGACTGCTGCCCGACGGCAAGCCCACGCGCGACGTCCTGGACATTCTGCCGCGGGAAGACGAAAAGAGACTGGGCCGATCCAAGCTCGCGTACGATTGCCACCGCGGCCTCGACCTGCCGGACTGGACGCCTCATTCGGCCGAACGGTTTGAAGAAGCCAGCAGCATGCAGCAGGCGGGCAAGTTCCTTGACGTCGTGGCTAGGAAGAACATGAAGACGTTCCGCATCTTCTCCCCCGACGAGCTGGAGAGCAACAAGCTCAGCGCCGTCCTGGACCACTCGAGCCGAAACTTCCAATGGGACCAGTACTCGCGCGCGCAGGGCGGCCGCGTCATCGAGATCCTGTCGGAGCACTGCTGCCAGGGCTTCCTCCAGGGATACACCTTGACGGGGCGGACGGCCATCTTCCCCAGCTACGAGTCGTTCCTGGGCATCATCCACACCATGATGATCCAGTACGCAAAGTTCTCCAAGATCAGCCGCAAGCTGCCCTGGCGAGGCGACCTGAGCTCCATCAACTACATCGAGACGAGCACCTGGGCGCGACAGGAGCACAACGGCTTTTCGCACCAGAACCCTTCCTTCATCGGCGCCGTCTTGAACCTCAAGGCCGAGATAGCGAGGGTCTACCTGCCCCCCGACGCAAACTGCTTCCTGAGCACCCTGCACCACTGCCTCCAGTCCAAGAACTACGTGAACCTGATGATTGGGTCCAAGCAGCCCACGCCCGTCTACCTCTCCGCCGAAGACGCCAAGGAGCACTGCAAGAAGGGTGTCTCCATCTGGCGCTTCGCAAGCACCCACAACGGCGAGGACCCGGACGTGGTCCTCGTCGGCATCGGAGTCGAGGTGACGTTTGAGGTCATCAAGGCCGCCCAGCTCCTGTCCCGCCTCGCCCCGAACCTGCACGTCCGCGTCGTCAACGTGACCGACCTGCTCGTCCTCCCCCGCGAATCGCACCACCCGCACGCCCTCGACGGCAAGGCCTTTGAGGACGTCTTCACCCCCGACAAGCCCGTGTGCTTCAACTACCACAGCTACGCGACGGAGCTGCAGGGGCTCCTGTTTGGCCGCCCGGCGCTGCACCGCATGAGCGTGGAGGGCTACAAGGAGGAGGGAAGCACGACGACGCCGTTTGACATGATGCTCGTCAACGCCGTCAGTCGCTTCCACGTCGCTTCGCGGGCGTTGAAGGCCGCGGCTGCGCAAAACGAGGAGATTAAGGAGCATCTGGACTCTTTGCTGGCAAAGGTTGACGACGAGATGACGAGTGTGAAGAGTTACATTGAGGAGCATGGCAAAGGTGAGTTTTTTCTCTTTATATCCCGATCTATACCATGTTTTGTGGCAACAGATGTTAATAACAAAATCTCGAGCAGACCCGGATGATATTTACGAGCTGGATTTCTTGAAGAAGGATTAGAAAATAGAGATGGAATATCGACATGATGGTTGACGAATTTTTTGCCTGCTTGAAGAGCGAGAACCAAATCCCATAATAATACTCCCATGGAACTGATAATCACACAATACAATAAACCCGACGAAATAAAAAGTACAGATATGCCTCTCATTCATTTATCAACATGTCTCAACGTTTCCGGATTATGCGAAACCCCATGTCCATGCTGATCCGTAAAAAGAACCTATATATAACCCCATCACCAAAAAAAGTCAGCTCATAACCAACCCCTTTACTCTCTCTCACCTTGTTGTGAATAACAGATGGGCAGCAGCTTGCGAAAGGGGTGTTTGTTAACCTTTGGCGGATTCTTGACATTCTCGGCCTTGGCCTCCTCCTGCGTCGTCACAATCTTTTCCACTTCGCCTTGATGCTTGCCGCCTCGGATGGGCGTAAACACGTCGTCGCCCTCTTGGATCGGCTGGCCGTCCTTGTCTTTGATGATTTCCGACATGATGGTGTCGAATTGTAGGTAGTCCATTCAAGCAAATCAGTATGTACATACGGGTAGTCAACTATTGCATACACGTAATTCAGGACACACGACATTAATATACTTGATTGGAAAGGGAGAATTGAGTTTCAATTGGTGGTGATGTAAGAGCCATGTCATTTGAAAGGCGGGCATTGACACCCCGTTTTGCAAATCATTTCCCGGTGTTGGTGGTGAGCAATTAGTGGGAAGAGCTAATCATGACAAGCAATGACAATTATCAGTGCGAGAACTATCAATTCCCAGATGCTGCAAATCCCGTTGTGATCTCGATGAACTGAGATCCCAGTTGATATAGCATTGCTCTTCCCGTATGATCATCCTTGAATCCCAGACCAAAGCAAGGGCTTTTCAAATCATCGCATCCTACAAACCGCATCGCCAACAAGCCCTCTCACTGTCCCCCCTTCTTCCAAGCATAATCAGCATCTACATCAAAAACTCCACGTTAGCCAAATCCTCAAAGAGCTCCCTGATCACACCGAAGCGGAAATGAATACTCACCCTGATGAACCTCCGGCTCCTCGATATCCCTCCTCCCCATGGCCTTCTCCCGCGAACTCACCCCGAACCGCCCATCCCGCTCCTCCACCAGCCTCCAGTCCAGCTGCCCGTCCGCCGTGTAGCTCGTCATCAGCTGCGGCTCCCCCAGCGGCAGCTCGTCGCCCCTGTCCGTCTGCCACAGGTGGTACGTCTTGCCGTACAGCGTCACCACCTTCCCCATCTCGCGCTTCTCGGCCAGCTCCCAGGGCCCCTGCGGCACGAGCCGGTTCGGCATCACCAGCATCCCGGATTTCACCTCGTACACGTGCGAGTGCCATAGGCGGCGCTCCGAGGCGGGGAGCGTTTCGTACTTTTCGGGGGTGATCATGTATTCGATGCCGATGATGCGGGCGTTTGCTTCGGGCGAGTCGTAGATGATGCATTGGCGGACGTCGTCACTCAGATGCCCGCAGTAGTGGTTCGCCTCTACGGCTCGTCTCGGGTCATTGGCATACGCGTGAAAGGCATTCAGATGGGCGCACACGTTCTTCAGGGGTTTAAAGTCCTGGCCACTCCCCCAGTCAGTCGAATCATTTCCCCCATCTCATTAGATCCTCCCAATGGAAAGATATATACCTGAGTGAGTGCTGCTCCGGCCGAGAGCACGGTCTCCTCCTTGGGCAACATCTCGCTCGGAGGTGCATTGTGTTCTGAGCCCATTTTGACGTTGATTCTTCCAGCTTTGCGAATGATTTGTTCACTGCGGCTTTGCTGAATATGATAAGTTGCACTTTGGCAGAGGATGAAAAAGGTTGAAGATGGTCGTGATAATTGAAGGTTGCCTAGGAATTCGGGTTACACCCAATGACGTTGGTGATTCATCATGATTATCCCCAAGATTCTTGGTTAGTGCGTGGCGACAGCATCGCCAACCTCGTCCTTTCCACAAATTGATCTAATGATAAACTTGAGTTGCAGGACGTCGATCAGCCGCATCTCCTGGACCGAGCCCTGGAACTCGTCATGAGTGTACTTGCATCAAGAGTAACACCATGCTTAACACAAAAGCAGCCTTATTTATACCTTGTCAGCTCTTCTAAAGGCCAGCATCACCAGCCATGACGCACACAGATAAGACACAATCATATACAACGGAAAATCACCGTAGGGATCTAATTCCGAAATAAATATATGCAAACCAATCAGAGATGGCAAATAAATAAACAATAAGTAAAGATATAATATAGACGCTAAATCCGTCCCTCCATCCATCTCTTTTCCCTCCCCTTCTCATTTTCTGTATAAACCCGTATATAATATATTCGCCCCAATCCCTTTTTTGATACACTTTCCAACACCATTGCATTTTGACAAAAAAGTACAGCCAAAAGAGAGCATAAAGCACATCCCCACGCAAAAGCCAGCACTGTATCGAGCATCTCCCGGAGTTGGAGTGTTCCCCCACCATTGTTCAGTACATGTATGTGTTATGCCATCAAAGAAAAGCCATTGGCTGCCAATTACAATTAAACCTTTTTCATACGCTTCGCATAAACCAAAACTCAAAAACTCAGGGAACAATGCAGATATGCAAGCGGCCGTAACAAGGTCGTTCAACCAGTCGTCTTGGATCGTGTCTGTGACCAGCTCATCCTCTTGGCCCTCAATGACCTTTCTTCGCTCATATCCACAGTCGTGGTGGGAGACGCAGCGGCCTCCTCGTCGTTCATCGGCTCAGGCTCGTTGGCCTGCACGGGGACGACGATATCGCTACGATCCCTCATCCTCTGCGTGAGAGCAGAAAGCTTGTCTCTCAGCCCAAATCCTCCGCTGCTGCTGCTGCTGCCGCCATTGGCGGCACCATTTCTCTTGCGGTCGGTCGTGTCAAGATGGCCAGCGCTGGTAGAAGGCCTTGAATCGCTGCCGCCTGACAGGGTCCTCATCAGCCCACTGCGATGCGATCCTAAGCCCTGACTGGAGGACGGTCGGAGAAGCTCAACGGCCAGGTTGCTGTGGCCCTCACCTCGGCCAACAGCGTCCACCGGCGTAGGGGGCGTCATGGTAAGGTAAGACGGCATCTGTGGAAGGTTGTGCGTAGAGCCGCCTGTCAGATGGGACCTGCTGCTGGCAATGCTACTGCTGCGACTCGCAGATCGAGGGGCCGGGATGCCACTGCGGATGCTGCTGCGAGTGGACCGCGGCGGCGAGCGCGAGTAGTCAATCGGCGATGTACCGTACATACTGGCCGAGTCATCGCTGTCGTGTATGCTGGGCGCGTAATTCTGCGACAGGCTCGAGGCCATGGGCGAGATGAGGGCAGAGCTGCTCGCCAGCTCCCGCAGTCTGTTCCGCTGCTCTGCGTTGGGCTTGTGCTTTGAAAACTTGTTTCCGATAATGGCGCCCGTGTGCGAAATGAGGGCTCTCACGACAGCCTTCTTCAGAGCCAGAGCAAGATCCAGGTTAGACCACGTCTTGTTCTGCCATTCAATCGTCGGCAGGCGGAAGACAAAATTGTGCACGTCTTCGAAATTGCGCTGGTCCTTGCCCTTGTAGCTGAGACACAGCACAACCGACGGGATCTTGATGTGCGCAAACGTAATGTAGTTGTTGGCCCGCTCAATCATCTTGGTGAGATCGTCCGACATCTGCTTGTCTTCGGTGTTGTGCCGGCTCCTCAAGCCGAAGCGGGACGCCTTCTTGGAGTCCGAGTCGCGGCTGTCTCTCGACGAGAACCCAGTCGAGGACCGACCAATCACACCGGGTCGTGGAGTGGCCGTCATGGGTCGCAGCGATTCCACCGATGCTTTCTTGCCCAGCGTCCGCGTGGTCCCGGAACGGAACAGTCTGAAATGGCCGCCGCCGCCGCCGCCCTCGCCGTTGTTAACGCCAAGGGTCCTCTTCGAAGTCCTCTCGTCTGCGACGCTGGATGACAGAGTCGGCTTAAGACGCAGCTCGAGCGATCCCGGGCGCGTGGAGAAGGAAGACGATTCCAGTCCAGGCGTGCCAGGTGTGCCACGCCCGCTGATTGTGCTCTTGGGGGACTGGGACTCGTTGCCTTCTTCATCTGCCTCGGTCGAGGAGTCGCGCCGTACCACAATCGAAGGGTTCGTCTTGGCTTCCTCTTCCGCCTGGTCCATATCCATACCGGGGAAAATGTATTCGAACAAGCGTTTGCCGACTTCGCGTTCCAGCTGAATCTTGATGGGGAACAGCTCAATCTCGAACTGCTCCATCACGGGGATGCCCGCAATGGCCTCCAACATGTACCAGTAGACCCGGATCATGTCGGAATCGTCGCCATATCGAGTGCTGGGCCTCTCGCCGTCGTGATAGGGAGCTATTATCTCTGGGTACGTCGCGTCGGGCAGGAGGTTGAGGCCAAGCAGCTTCCCAACACGAACTAGGTTCATGTGGGAGCCGTCCGCGTTGTCGGTGCGGTCGTACTCCAAGTCCTTAAGCTGGAGTTCGACCAGCGGCTCGTTGGAGTCTTGCATGAGATGCCAGACGATATCTCGGACAGAAATGCTCCACTTCAACAGCGCGTTTGATTGCGTGTTCTTCTCAAACCTCCTCTGCGAGCTCATAATGGCCTTCATCATAAAGAAGAGCTCATCCTCGGATGCTGCCAGGTCGCGCTCGAGAGCCAGGCGATCTTCCCACCCCTTCTTGTCCAAGAACAAGGAATACGTCTGGAAGTGCGACTTGATCTCCTCCATCTGTCTGATCCGCTCCTGCAGCTTCATCACCATCTCCGGGATTCCGCTCAGGTCACTAAAGTCGGACCCGAGTATAATCTTCTCCAGACGCTCATTCCTCGTCTTCTCCAGCGGCTCGCTGTACATGAGCAGATCAAGCACAATGACATACATTGCGTAATACTGCGATGAGTTGCAGAGAGCGCGAGCCTGAGGGAACTCCACCCAGAGGTTGTCCACACGCCTCTCCGTGGGCTCCTGGGTGGCCTCGTCCGAGCACTCGCCATTGACCTCGTCGTTGGACTTTAGACGGAGCGTATTGTACTTGTCATACCGAAGCATGGCCGACGTCTTCTGCACAACGCGCTTGAAGCCGAACGGGTCGGTGCGGAAGTCAAACATGACCTCCATGGGGACCCACGGTGGCCATGAGGAGCCGGTAGGCGTGCCATACTTGCTTCCCGCATACATGGATACCAAGTTGGTAGTAAACCATTTCTGGTGCGTGACGAAGAACTGCGTGCTGTCCATGTTGACCAAGAACCGGCGTTGGACAAGACCGCTGACATTGTCTGCGATTCTCGACTTGTCCATGACTTCCACCACTTTGAGTTCCATTCCCTTCGAAGTCACCAGAACAACGTGCTTCTTGTTCTTTTCACTCTGCAGCTGGATTTGCGGAGCAATGAGTCGGACGTGATAGCTGCATTGCGGGTTATACTCATCGGATATGCCACTCTCCAGGTCTTCCAGTGAGCCTTCCACGACGCCATTGCTGTTGATTGTAAAGCCCGTGCTGGAGCGTTTGCGCCCATCGCCCAGTATTCCCTTGATTCGGTCTTCAAGATCTTTGGCGGCATCTCTTTCGAGAGGTGGAGCGTCTGGCGATGTGGGGGTTCCGTTGGCTGCCGACGACGCTGGCTCTGGATTCATGTTGCGCTCGTTCTTGGCCTTGGTCTGCTCCTCCACCATGTCCAAGATGAACTTGACCGCCGGTCTGGACAGGTAGTATATAAAGCCACGCCGCTGGCTGCTCTGGTGGACATATCGCAGCACAATATTACGCAGCAGGTTGTTCCATTTCAACTGCATATTGTGAATTACGAAACGGTTCTCGTATTCGCTTTCAAATTCCGCGTTGGACGGGATCGAAGGCATGTCCATGTGTTCGCTAGGTGCATCTACAGATGCGTCAGATCGATGAACGCTCGCTGCTCCGTTAAACGGTTGGCCGTTGGTCGGTACTCCGGCCTTCATTCGCTCCAGAGTGGTTTCCAAAAAGGCCCTCTTGTCACGAAGCACGTTGGAATGTTGACGAAGGATGTCAAAGTCTTCGAGCATCTCCTGGTCCTTGGAGTCGGTGCGTATCACTTTCAACTCGGCCTCGCCCACGTGTCGGATATGCGCCCGGATCTGCTCGTCCAGTTGTTCCAGGCGCTCCTTGATCAGCTGTGCTTGCACGCTCTTCGGGTCATTTTCTTCGCTCATGATGCAGAAATGCGTAGGCTCATCGCCGAACGGGCTTGTTCTCGTAGGATCGCCAGCAATGATGCCCCCAATGTCGGTCTGACGGAAGTATGTCAGTCGAGGGACATAGGCAAGGGGCAAAATCTTCGTCTCCGGATGAGCCTCGGTGGGGAGAATCCAATCCAACTCGACGAAATCGTCCATGTCGATCCAACTGTAATCTCCATCAGGTATCGTAAAGCGAGACACATCCGGCTTGTCGTCCTGATCAAGAGTAAGGTGCGAAATTGATGCCTTCCTGATGGCCTCTGTCGTCGTGCCATACAAGCTGGCGGAGACGGCTCGAAGGTCCGCGCATGCCAAGTCCAAGTGTGCTGCGTGAAGCTTGATCCCCGTGATTCGACTAGGTGAGTTCTTGGTCTTTGCAATCGTGTTGAACTCTTCTCGGCGCTGGTGGAGGTCAAGCATGAAGCTGTCGAACCGCACCTTCAGACCCGTGGCGGACACGGCGTTCTCAGAGTAGTCTTCAGCATCCTTGTGCTTATAGATGTGACTCAGGAACAGTGGAGCGAATAGGAGGTTATACTTGACAGTCGCCAGATGTCTTCCAAACTTCTTGCTGTTCTTCTCTCGTCCGGGGAACAGGCTGCCCTGCCGAATGGGGAGCGACATGGGCCCGCTGAAGAGGCCCCACCAGGCGAAGAAGTGCGTGAAGAATCGAGGAGTCAGATGGATCGTGTTATAGCTTCGTGATGGCTCGAGGCTCTGCGACATCCATTCGCGGTCCGCCGGAGCTCGAACAGCAATAGAGAGGTGGATGTGGCGACTCCTGAAGCCGCGCATAGCATCGTATGGCAATCCGTTCTCGTCTGGCTTAGCAAAAAGCGGGTTCTTGAGAACAACCTCGTAGTGAGGCTTGAAGTCAAAGCTTCGTCTACCATCCTCGATGGCACGCTCAAAGACGAGACCGGTCAACCACTGCACTCTTCCAGACAGCTTCATAACGACCTTCTTAAACTGAGCCGGACCACACCTCATATGGTCGTTGGCAAGACGGCTGCTATCGTCATCTCGGAGTCGGGCGGCCTCTCGGACTTGCATGCTGTAGTCTGGAATGGCAAGGACGTATTCGCCACTGTCCACCGTCATGAACTTCTTCGGGTTATCCTCTGCGTTGATGTTCCATCTAATGTCGTTTCGCCAGCACATGAGGAAGCCGGCGCCATGTCCAGTGACCTGGTAAGGATCGCGCGTGCCCTTCATCGCGAAATGCATATCGCCATCCTCTTTCCACGCAACGTGAATACGGGAATGGAAGTTGAGCCGAAGCTTATCCCAGAAACCGACGCGCTCAGAGGGGTCGATCTGCGGCTTAGTGAAGGACTCAACGACCATCATCATATCCTGGATTGCCGGCTGGTAACAGGGACCCCAGGTGATCCTCGTTGGGAGGGCCGTATTGATGTCCATGTAGACATCCGAGAATGATTTGACGGGGCCAAGGGTGCGCCTAACTTCAATGGCAAAGCTTCCTTCTTTGGACGCAGAAGGATCCGTGCTCTTGGGTGGGATAATGTTTACGGGAACTCGTCGTGACGATTCAAGGCCCCTGAATTCCTCGGCCAAGACAAAGTTTGTTCTCAGGGACACGGCTTGGAGCCTTGACGACTGTCCAGTCTTCAGTCCTGGAATGTGTAAAAGCGGCAGAGGATAGTCGCGGAGAGAGCACCGAGCTTCGCCCATGTCGACGGAAATGTGCATGGGCACCAAGAGACTGTACTGCATGTCCTTGGGCATACCTTTGCCGACCTTGTGTATGAAATCAGGGAGGTCCTGGAGGGGAAACGTGGGCTTATCAACAGAGATGTGGAGGTTGGATATGTAAGTAGCCATCAGCGCTGGTCTTGGGGGCACCTCCAGGATATTCTCCGTCTCCTCGATGTCGCTCGGCACCTCATTCTGCCCCCAAAACAGGCCGCGCAACTCTTTGACACCATCGCTGGATACCTGATAGGCTCGGTCGATCCTCTTCTTCCACGCTTGGGCGTTGAACATATCCAGGTGAAGGCGCGCCTCTTCCGCCGAAACTTTGGCGTTTCCATTGATGCCCAATGTTTCGTTTTCGGGGTCATATCTCGGCAAGGCGCTATGGCGACCCTCGCGGCCTCGTCCGTCTTGCTTCGTGCCGTCGGAGCTTCGGCTTCGGAACCACGCGGACGAGGAGTTGTCCGTCCTTCCACGAGAATAAGCAGACCGGGACCGAGTCTTGCCATTGTTGCCCCGTTTCAGCTCCTCTTCCCGCACTCGGTTCAACTTGAGACGGAACGCCTCGTCTCTGGTCAGCCTCTGTACCTGCTCCATACGCCCTGCCCGGTAAATCATGCCCAGCTTCCATTCGAACGCACCGTCCTCCATCTCGAAGAGGAAATTGCGCGATCGAATCGATACTTTGGGGACTGTTTTGGGCCCTTCGGGCTTCTTCTCTAGAATGTACTCGTTTGTTCCCGTCTTGAAGCGATGCTGCAGCTGCTGTACCGCTTTGATGACATTGATGATATTGTCAGTGATCCGATGGACAATGACCTCGTGCGGTATACCGATGCGGATCGCCTCAGCCGACACGTCTACAAGCTTTTCTTCCGTGGTGGTTCCTTGGGCGGACTTGTGTTTGGACTCTCGGAGGTCAAGACGTCCAGACTTGATGCTAACCATCCGCGACCATATGTTGCGCATGCGTGGAGATGCGACGTAAAGCCTGATAAGCTTGGATGTGAAATACGGCGTGGACCATCTCTGACGCCCGGCATCCAGACTGTAGATATGAAGCATAATCATCGGGTCATGGGGCATTTCCGCCTTGATCTGGACCAAGGCGACTTTGACATCGACGATTATAGAGTCTGAGACGGCAGAGCTCGAATCGGTGGATGGAACACCAGAGGTGGTAGGAGGGACAAGAAGATCTGACTTGGGCAAATCCTGCTGAGAAGCTCTCGGCGCATCACCGGTAGTCTTCATGAAGGCCTTTCTAAGAGTCTTCATAGCAACGCCCACAGCGTAGTGGCGGTAGAGAGAGTACTGCACCATGATGGAGCGGATCGAGAACTGAATATGGAACACCGGGCCATGGTTGTCGCTGGACGCAGAGAGCGAGAACTCCAGACGCGGCACGTTGATGAAAGGCTCCAGCTCAAGCTGGTCGGCAGTTTCAATAATTTGAGCTTCAATACCTTTGGCATTGAACACCAGACGACGACCATCGCCGATCGTGCGAGGAGGCTTCCTCGCTCTAGTAGGACTGGAAGACGCGAAATCCGAGTCTGACTGGGTGAGAGACCTACTGTGAGTCCGTCTTCTCAGCATCCGTCGTTCCAAGCCGTCCAACCTTTGAGCACGATACTCTGCCGACAGGCCGTCAATATGCAGGGATATGCCTTTGCTGTCGTCCGATATCTCCTCATCTACGCCAGCAATCTCAATGTTGACATCATTCGCCGTGACCTGATAGCGGAAGAGCCACTCGGGAAGCGCTCTCAGGAAGTTGGGATGCCGTCTGGACTTGGGTGTGGCTCGCTTAGTTGGCTCAACGTCGGTGCGCAGCTGGCGTACAATCTGACGAACGCCATCTGTAATCTCCGGCCGCACCATACTGACTGAGAACGACTGGACATTGCTCGTAGCGTCGACGGAAACTTCTGGGTTGGCTGCTAAGTGCACTTTGAGGTCGAATGACTCCGTTGTTATCAAGTCGAACCTCTCGCCGGAAACAGCTTGGTAGTATAGGTGGTGAGACTGTAGTCTCATTGCGCCATCCAGAGAATAGTGCAAGTCTTCGAGGGGTGAGTGAGATGATTCGGCATCAAGGGAGACGGATGAGATGGAGGAGATAATGAGACCGTAATCATCCGGGTCCTCCGTCTTGCCCAGCGGATTGAGCTTGATGCGCAGGACAGGTTCGTGCATGGTAAATTTGATGCTCGCCTTCGGAAGCAGTTGAGAGAGTAGATATTTCTGCTTCTTCCTCTGCTCCGTCTTGGGAGGCTTTGGCCGGGATCGCATCATAGCAATCAGGAGAGGAAGGTGTCGTGGGTCGAGGTCGATAGATGGGGAGGTAACAACAGAGTTGGCAAAGAGAATGTTGGCATTCTTTTCCTCAAAGCTGTCCACCCCGGAGAGCTGGATCGTCTTTGACGGTAAGGTGGTCCTGATGGTTGTGGTCGCCATTGGGATGTACACTATCCGCTGAGGCTTGCCGTGGCCATCGTCCATGCCAACCGAGATCGATAGAGCGGCCACGAGGGCTTCGTGGGCAATGTCCGTGGACGGGAAGTACATGCGATGCGCGGGAGACTTTGGATCCAGGCGGTGCAGGTCGACGCCAACCTCCTTCATGGAAGCGGTGAGATGCACGGGTTTGGCCGCCGGGTTGACAGACTCGACCTTTTTGACGAGCCCGACAAAGCTGACCGCAAACTGCACCTCTTTGATGCCGCGCAGGATGGAGCTGAAGAACTGCTTCGAGTCGGATACTGTCTTCATCAAGTGTTCGTTTGCATCGCCCAGAGGCTCATCCTGTACTTTGCTAACGAAGATATCCACCGGATCTTCCACATTTGCGACTTGTAACTTTTTGCGAGACAGCTTAAACTTGGTCGCACAGTGGTGCAGCTCATCGTAGGGGATCTGGACTCTGCCCAGCTTCAAAGCAACAGTCGCATCCCGGAGACCTTCCTGTGTTGGATATAAGAAGCCGTGAACGTTGAGCAGGGCGTGGTCGAGGATCTGGAGCGACTCGTTGCCGTCGACGGCGAGGAAGACACTGCGTATGGTCAAGATCCACTCGGCCTCGGCGTTTTCCTTTGCATGGTCGGGTCGGTGGAAGAAGAATCGAGCTCGATCGGCCATTTTGTGTCTCGTATCCACTGCAAGCGTCAAGCTGCCGACCTGAAGGCTCCCCACGTCGACCACGTCGATGACCGAGTTGGTCACCACTACATCCACCATGCGCAGCCACTTCACATTGTGATGCAGCTTCTTCACCTTTTCTTTGAGCTTGTGGAGGCGCGCCCAAGTCTCGGCCTCGGATCTGGCAATGGCTTGAGCCGGAGGAGGCACCCCCAGCAGCGGGTCTACCTCGTCGTCCTCGGCACTTTCTGTCTTGCGATGTGCATTTCGCGGCGACTCGTTCCTGGCAGTCTTGCGCTCGTCGAGTTTCTTGAAATCGGCGGTAACGGTCAGGTCGCTGAGGACGATGCTGAGCCACGTGGGTTGTGCAAAGGTCGGGCGGTGGATGTTGAGCCCCAGGCCGCGGACCTCGATGCGAATGCCGTCCCTGGGCGTGTAGGCAATGCGGCGGAGGGAGAAGTAGCCTATCCGCTGGATCGAGACTCCGGTGACGATTCGAAGGACGGCGAAGAGGACGAAGGAGGAGAGGTAGAGCAGGACGAGGACACCGATGACGAAGGTCGGGCTGAGAAGCGCCATGTTGGCGGCGCGCAATCAATTTACCTGGCTGAGCGGGCGAGACAGCTTCACGTTAGACCAAGTGCCACGAGGCATGCGCATGGAAGCTCAGCGCCGCGAGCTGGGTCGTACTTACAGGACACAGGCAGCAGGCAGACCATTCTCCCGCAGGGCAAACAAGCAATCAGTGGGAACAGACGGGGAACAGACGCGACATGACACTTGGGGAGAATGGAAGAAAAGAAGGAAAATGGAAGACCGGGAGGGATTCGACGAGGAGGGGCCCCGAAGCACCGGGACCTGGTAGGGGGGGCCTGGACAGTCGGGACGCCGGAACAAGCTCCTGAGATGCGCCCAGAACAGCGCAGGCCAGGTCGGTTCCGGCCCCGGCAACGACGATCGGAGCGAGGATGTGCCGCGAGAAAGTCCGGCAGGGTGCGGATCACGCTCTGCGAGGCCGTGTCGCACGAGAGACGCGCGGGTTTGCAGTGGTGGAAGGGTGAGGTCGCTGCTGAGAGTGAGCACTGACGAGGTACTAACATTACATGTAGTAGTAGGTATGTCAGAAGCACCTACAGCGGAGCCGATGCGGCAGACGGGGATGGTGCAAGATGAGATACTCGTACAGGCGCAGGTACAGGCGCGGGTACCGAGTACTTTGGCAGGCCCTGTCTGCGCCAGAGGATGGAAGCCACAGAGCACGGAGTCCGGACCGGGTCCAGGCTGGAATTCGTTTGACGGCGAAAAGGGGCGAATAGGGACTCTACGGGGTCGCAAATTTGTGGCAGAGTCGCGGCCAGGACTGCAGACGCCCACCCTGATTTTACCTGTGTGCATGCCCCGTATTCGAGATTAAAATGCGCAATCTAGCAGACGTTTATCGTGTGCCTGCTTACTGGATGCAGTTCGTTTGTCTCTAGTACGTAGTAGTGCCTATCAGCACCTAAAGATCTGGGATACTACCTACTCATCTTCGTGCACACATACTTGACCTGGAGCCGAGGATAGAGTGTGGGCTGGACCGCCCTGCCAGAGGTACTCAGTACGTCAAACGCATGGCCGCTGTACTCCCGTCTCTGGGCTGCTAAGCTTGAAACGGTCCGGCAGTGCCGCAACTGCTGTCCTTATCGCGATGCCTCGCCGACTAGCACGGCGGGCAAGCGGGCAGAGCCGCTAACCACTGCATCAAGCGTGAAATCTGCAGATGAGCTCTCCCAGTACAGCCTAGATAACGCAATTGACTACTACCTACTACCTACTACCTACTACCCAAGATAGTAGGCTACCTGCCAGCTGGTGATGGCATCAGAAAGTGTAGATGAGCATTATCATGATCAGAGAGCATTGGAGGGCAGCTGTATTATTCATGCGAACAATAGGAGCGCGCTGTAATTTGGATCTGCCCCCCAAGAGATTTGACTGTGCACGACATGTCCAATAGCCTCACGCGTCATCCCATTCATCCACTGGGCATCCTCGCAAAAGGAGACTCCATTCACTGCAAAAAGACGCACGGAGCCAACCGACATTACTACTACCACTATTCGGGTAGGTTTTGCACACGGCATGCTCGGGATCATAATCTTCGCTTGCCAGCATCGTTCGGCTCTGCCTGTCAATATCTCGGAATAGCATCGCGACTTCACGGCCTCGTACTCCGTGCTCCGTTACAATCCAGGGGTTTAAACAGGAGGAGCTTCCGCGTACCCTCGAGATTACAAACGGTGCTAACCAGTGTGGATCTGCGAGGAATCCCCCAAGTGCCTTGGCCGTTCCGACTGGCTGGGCTCAGGACATCAACCACGCGTATTCGCCGTGAATAAGGTTGATAACAAGTCTCGTACTCGCAGAACATTGCCGTTCAGCGTTACTCTAGGCTCAATAGCTTGTCGTCTCACTCGTATCTAAGCACCTTGGCTGCGGCTGTATCAGATCGGATGTGACAAGCCGGTGTTCTGTACCGACGGCAGTTCCTATTCGTTAGACAACGGCTGCTTCGTGATGATATAAGCATCGCCGTAGTGAGATACTGCCTGCAAACTCAGCTAACCTACAAAGTTCGGCAGGGGTATATGTGCAGTCTCCCGCCACGAGCTTCATGCTTTCTGTTCAGATATGCTAGCAACTTGAAATTGAAATATGACAAAATAATAGTACATGTTCCGCCCATTCCGTGGTCATACAGTATCATATTCCGCAAACGCCGATCCAAATGTCTATAGCCAACGACCATAGAACATGGGAGAAGCCTACCATGCCGTACATTACAAACAATGAAGAAAGCCCATGAACAATCCAACGCTGCAGGCTCTCATGTCCTGTCCTCGTCCTTGGCCCTCTGCTCAATAGCCTTCAGTTCGGCAATCCGGTCGTCAATGAGTGCAATGTCTGCGTCGACTCTGAGAATCTTTTCCTCCATCATGTCAATGTACTCCTGGTCTGTGAGCTTCTTCAGCGGACTCCATTTCGATCGAAACCAGCTATCGTTCTCGTCTTTGACCTTGGGCTTCCTGTTGCTCAGCCCGTTGGCGACCATCTGCCCGCCTGCGCCCAGCACTCCCCACATAACCATGGCAGGTAGAATCTTGCCAGGACCGCCTTGTCAAAGGTTAGTTGAAAAGCATCGATGCCAGAATTATCGTGTTAGATACTCACGTATCAACCCGGCCACTGCGCCGGCAGCTGACCCGCCGATGGTGCTGGCTATCGTTTTGTCAACAGGCCTCAACTGCCCGTCGCCTCCCATTGCCCTGACGGTGACAGATCTGGTGACTTGACGAGTTTAATAACGAGTCGCACGAGTGACAATCCATCAAGGAGAGTGAACTTACACCAGAAGCTTCCCCCCAGAGCAAACCATTGGACTCCGGTGACGGCGCCACTGGCCACGGGGCTGGTGTCTCTTGCAATAGCACCAGCAACACCGGCCATTACACCAGCAGCACCTTGGAATATGTTAGATATAAGAACAACTGCTTGCTCATTGCGATGAGGGGGAGCTAACCAGTCCACGTGCCAACCTTGACGGGGGCCACCATGAGATCAATGATCTCTGGAGGCAAGATGCCTCGCTTCTTCCGCTGCTGCTGCGCGGCGCTAGCTATAGTTTCGGGTTTGTCGCTCATGATGATTTTGGTCCTGGTGGTAACTGGTTTGCTGGAGTAGAAGAAAATGAAATCAATGGACGTCAATTATGACGAATTATTATGAGAAAGTAGACTGAAGATAGGGCGATATGAATACAAGGCTGTCATGGCAAGGCTGATAGAAGTTCATCCTGTGTTATCACCGCAGCGTCTACTACTAGTACGAGTAGTAGGTAATTCTCGCCTGTCGTGGTGGGGCCCTAGCTGGCCGCGGATACGGTAAGATGCGATATGCACAAAACGGGTCGGCGGCTACTGGCAGTGACTTGGAGGTACATCGCCCGCACAAGCGATGCGCAGGCACCGCAGGCAATGCAGCCCCTCGGCTGCGAGTACAGGTACCTCGCAAGCGCAGCAGGAATCGGCAGCGTCGCTCGCGGCTAGCCCCAACGCGGCCTAGCGCCTCCCACTCTTGGGCGGGCGAAAAATGGAAATGGAAAAGGCAGGCAAGAGCCAGCCCTCTCACGACGCCGCATCTTTTTTTTTCCTCGACGAGCAAATTTCACCTCGCTCAACCCCAGACCCGGCATCTGGGACTCGATAACTCGCACGTCCGACCGAACTCGCAGCCAATCCGCCCTCCGTGGTCGGCTCCTCCTGCGTCGACTCTCTCGGCCACCGCCTTTTCTCGTCCTCGTCCTCGCCCGCACCAGCTCGGCGTCTGCCCTTTCGCGCATCGGTTGCTGATATCGTTGCGCGAGCTCGCCCTTGTCAAACCGCCATCATGCGTATGTCACCGAGCCCGGCGCTGCTGCCGCCTCGAGAGTGCCCTGCTGACGATGATCCATAGCTCCCAAGAAGAAGGAACAGCAGAAAATGTCCCTCGGGGACTTTCTGGCTGATTCAGGTCCGTCGCCCCTCCCTTGATGCCCTCGTCGACAACTCTATACCGGGGTCGCATTGACACCCCGCCGGCACTATATACACAACGTCCGATCATCGGCATGCCTTATGCTGACTCTGGACGCAGGTTTTGGTGGAGGCTCCAACTGGGCTGATGAGGTTGAGGAAACCTATGGTATGTTGCTGCTCCTTGAATCTCGCCTGCTGGTCTCTTGCTAACATACTCACAGTTTCTGGTAAGTGCTGCATGGCATTTAGCAATCATCTACCCGGGGTACAAGGGAGAGAAGACGAGACAGGGGGAATGAGCCTGGGGAACCCAACTAGAGGAAGAGAATGGGAAAGGGAAGGAAGAACAGGAGCGAGACGACATATGGCGTGCTAGACTTTATAGCAGATGGCAACCTGATACTGACCAAATCCCATAGGCACCCAAGCCCTCCCCCCGGCTCGAGACACCGGCCGCTCCTTTGCTGCGTCCTCGTGGCAGGACCGAGGTATGCGCCCTCCTATTCCCGACTACTGCTTCTCGTCGCCCGTGTTAACGCTTGTCAAGGCTACTCCGTCCGCGAGTCCGTCCCCTCCAAGCTTCCCGAGAAGCCCCCGTATACCGCCCACCTGGGCAACCTCTCATATGACGCCACCAGCGAGTCTGTGACCGACTTTTTCACCGGCTGCGACGTTGTTAGTGTTCGAATCATCGAGGATCGTGAGCTGCAGCGCCCCAAGGGCTTTGGATACGTCGAGTTCGGCAACCTCGAAGGCCTGAAGAAGGCCCTGACCCTTGATGGACAGTCTTTCGAGGGCCGCATGATCAAGATCAAGATCGCTGATCCTCGTACGTCTCGCTCCCTCCATGCTACATCTGGCCCCTCGCAATCGGTATGCTAATTGATGATACAGCTCGTGGCGGCGAAGGCCGAGAGGGCCGTATTGGCGAGTCTGCCCGAGACTTGAGCGAGTGGACCCGCAAGGGCCCTCTGCCCGACCTTCCTTCATCGAGGGGTCCCCGGAATGACTTTGGCGAACGCCGCCCTCCTCGTGATCCCGCCTTTGAGAGCCGTGCTCCTCGCGAGATGACCTGGGAGCGACGCGGACCTCTGTCCCCTCTGTCCCCGCAGGAACCTGGATCCCGTGAAAGCAGCCGTGCTCGCGGACCTCAGGAGGGTTTGGGAGAGCGCAGCGACTCGTACCGTGGAAACCGCCGGGAGCCCGCGGCCTGGGGCGAGGGACGACAGGAAGGCCGCTCCCCTCGGCAATACAGCGAGCGTGCCGAGCGTCCTGAGCGCCCTGAGCGCACTGCCACCGCTGCTGAAAAGGATTTCCAATGGCGTGACCGCATGCGTCCCGACTCTGCCAACGCGCCCGCAACTGAGGCCCCGGCCTCTCCTGGTGCCGCACCTGCCACCCTCGCCCAAGGTGGTCGTCCTCGCCTGAACCTCCAGAAGCGAACCGTCTCGGAAGTTGCCGATACCGCCTCTACCAATGCTTCGGACTCCAAGGCCAGCCCCTTTGGAGCTGCTCGACCCATCGACACCGCCGCGAGGGAGAAGGAGATTGAAGAAAAGAGACTGCAGGCGATTCAAGAGAAGCGGGAAGCGGATGAGAAGGCCAAGGAAGAGAGGCGTCTGGCCAAGGAAGCTGCTGCTGCCAAGGCCGAGGCTGAGGCCGAGGCTGCAGCTAAGAAGGCTGCCGAGGCCGCTGAGTCTGCCGAGGCCGCCGAGGCTAAGACAGAGTCAAAGGCTGAGGGCGAGACGGCAACCAAGACTGAGGAAGAGCCCAGGACCGAGCAGGAGAAGCAGAACGGTGCTGCGGAGCAGAAGGTGCCTATTCGGACGCGTGACCAGCCCAAGGATTTCAATCAGGGACAGAAATCAAGAGCTACCGAGTCTGGAAACTGGAGATCGGCTTCGAATGAACAGCGAATCCCCCGGGGTCCATTCCGTGGAGGCCGTGGTGGCCGCGGTGACCGAGGAGAAGGCCCTCCCCGAGGACCTCGCAACGACAACCGGGCGCCTCGTGCCAACGGCCAGCAAGCTGCTGCTGCTGCTGCTCCCGCGGCCGAGGGCGACGCTCCGGCTCCGGCCCCGGCTCCGGCTGCTGATGATGACGGCTGGACAACCGTCGCGGCTGGTAAGAAGGGACGAATTGGACGAGTGTAAAAACCAAACCATAACGAAAACGAGGGATCACGAAAAGAGCGATTGTGAAAATTTGATGCCATTTCCTTTCGGTTTTCAATGACTAGAGATTGCCGTCGCAAGACTGCTGCCAGCGGATCCGGTCCTGCTATATCGTGTGCACAATGTTCCGATTCCCACTATTCTATCGATTTGCGGGCAGGCCCTTTTCCCCTACAGCCTGCGATCTCGCCCGTCTCCGGCCGCAAACCGCTTGGATATGGCTCATGACTTTTCGGCAAGGCTGGATGATGCCGTACGAATGCCAGAGGATGCATAGGTATGTATCTTTGGGCGCTCGGGCGTCGGCTGGCGTGGTTCGTTGCGACGGCTACTTTGTCCTACCATGTTTTGCCTGCTTCGGCTTCCAGAGAGGCCTATTTGCTTGCTATGTGGTGGACGGGATATAATGAAAGTTTGTCTAAAGTTGCACGTGGCCGCAACAATTTGTTCTGATACTTTTCGTTTTTTTCTTCTTCTTTTTCTTTTTTTCTTTTCTTTTTTCCTTTCTTTTTCCTTCTTTCATTTCTTCTTCTCAAATTACAACGGGGGTCGGGAGGGTTAGGAAACGGTCAAAATGATGCAGTTTTGCTTTTCCAGTTACGACATGCACTTACGCGGGAACAGACCAGATTGAAAAGGAGGGAGAGATGATTGCATGATCGAACTCTCTAATGATGATGACGATACCGGCTCACGCTTTACTCTGGTCTTGGGGAGCGGGGTGTGACTCTTCACCTGCGGATTACATGGGGACACAAAAAAGGGGGATATCTTTCTGCAGGCTGCCTTTGTTTGCTTTCCTCTCTTCCTGTTCTCTTCTTCTTCCGACACATTTGATCACTCGGTCGTTTGCAACGAGGCTGTAGCAGAGCGGGAAAACAGGGGGAGCAAAAAGGGGTAGAGTGGACGGGCTTCATGTTTAGTGATGAGCGAAAATCACAGACCTGGAGGCGCTGTGACTGGAGTTGAGGCACGAGCAGAGCAAAAGAGTAGCAGAAGAGAACAAAGCGGCTCCCAAGAGAGCAAAAAAAAAACCGACCTCGTCACGGCCGAAGGTAGCCGCTTTGAAGCGAGTTTGATAGAAGTTAAAACAAAATATATATATCTAAAATCAGTCCTGGGGTTGCCTCTGAAAAGTGACGAGGCTGATGAAAGGTTTGATGACGGTGTCTGTGAAATTGTGTTGCCTATTGCAGGCAGCGGAATTCAGCACAATGGATGCTGCCTGGTTGATGGTTGTTGAAGCGGTGATGATCGGATATATTATATTGCGCGCCCTTGCCCACTTATCGTGATTCCTCATTGACCCATTTGTTGTTCCTTGGTCAATATCGTCTCTATCGAGTCTTATAAGCTCACATCACCGCTTTTCGTATTCCCTATATCAAGCATCAACTAAGAATCTCAGCATTCCCATTTACACTTCTCTTATCAAGAACAAGGAAAAAAAAATATCAATCAGTTACAATGGCACCGCCGCCGTACACCTACACCCACTCCCCCTCCCTCTCCCCCCTATCCACCCAGCCCCCCCAATCCCTCTCCACCACGAGCAACCCTCCCATCGCCCACCTCATGACCAGCGTCCTCATCCTCCGCCAGCCCAAATCTCAATCTCAAAAGGACTCATCATCATCATCCTCTCAAAGTACCACCACCAAAGCCTCACCCCCGCCACCGGCAGAGATCCTCCTCCTCCGCCGCTCCCCCACAGACTCGTACCCCCTCAAGTGGGAAACCCCCGGCGGCTCCGTTGACCCCTCGGACCCGTCCGTGCTCGCCGCCGCCGCGCGCGAGCTCTACGAGGAAGCCCGCCTGGCGGACCCGCACTTCCTCGCGCACGTCGGCATGGCGCCGTCCATCAACGCCGACGAGGCCGCGCGGATGGGCGAATGGGGCATCCCGCCTGACCTCGAAGACGCAAAGGACGTGGACCTCGTCGCCGCTGCGGGCAGCATAGAGATGAAGGTGACGACGTTTATGGAGTCGGGCGAGGTCTGGGGCAAGATGAACTTTCTTGCTACCGTGGACGAGGAGGCGGGCGAGAGGGTGGTGACGGACCCGGAGGAGCATCTCGAGTGGGGGTGGTTTACGGAGGACGAGGTCCGCAGGGGACGGGCGTGGAGGAGGGTGGATGGGGTGGATGATGGGGAGAGGAGGGAGAAGGTGCTTGAGTTCACGAGCCAGGCTGTTTGGGGGTCGATTCTGGAGAGCTTTAGGGTGGGGAGGGAGCTGGGTGTGATTGTGTGATGGTGTGATGGATTTGTTCTGTTTCGTTGTGAGATGTAGATGGATGGATGGATAGATGCTTGCAGTCGTGACAAGATATTGATACATTGGCCAATAGAAGAGAAGCTAGAACAAAGACAAAACAGCCGTCCATTTCGTACATCAGGTCAACGCCACGCCGACATGAAAACAAACATCAGATGGAAATCAAAAGGAAAAGACAAAACGTCACGACCTCTTCGCCCCCATCTCCTCCATCCCGTACCCATCCAAATCCCAATCCACCTCGCTCCCACCCCCAATCTTGCCCCCCAGCCATATCCCCAGCGCCGTCACCACGCTCCCCAGCAAGAACCACCCCTCAAACCATCCGTCCACAAAGGCCGGCGTCAGCGCGCCCCTGAGCACCCCTCCCACCGCCGACCTCGCCTCGCTGGGCAGCTGGCTGCGCAGCAGCAGGCTCGCGGAGATGACATAGGTAGCCGCGACCTGGCCCACCGCCAGCGCGAGGTTCGCCTGCGCATGCCGCAGCAGGCCCGGCGTCCACTTGGCAAACAGGTGGAACGTCTGGATGGCGCTGTTGGCGCTCGCCACGAGGATCACGCCGCTCAGCGCAAAGCTGATGATGCGCGCCCACGCCATCTGGTCCAGCTTCGGGTCCCAGTGCCGCGCCAAGAGGCCCAGGAAGCGGTTGATGGGATCGCTCGACGCGAAGCTCGCCGACGGCGAGGACGCCCTCCGGATCGTCGTCAGCGCCGTCGCCAGGATGCGGTACACGCAGTACGCGCTGAAGACGTACGACGGCACCAGCAGGAGGCGGCCCAGAGTCGTGGAAGCCCGTGCCGACGCCGCGCGCTGGCTCTTCATCAGCACCAGGTTCGACGACAGATTGGCCTCGATGGCTTCCAGCCCGGCAATCTCCATCCGCAGCGTCTGCATCTCCGCCTCGTCGCCCGAAAGCCCGCGCATCGACCCCATCACCATCCCGACCAGTCCTTTACCCCCTTTGCCCCCCCTGCCCGCGTCCTGCGCCGCCGCGTTGCGCTGCAGCTGCTGCAGCCGATGCCGCTTCGTCGCCAACATCTCGCTCGTCGCATCCAGCCCCGCCTGCTTGCGGTTCAGGTCCGCGTCCGTCAGCGGCCTGCGCCGCCTCGCCTCCGCCCGGCCAAACGTGTGCCACGGCGCCGACACGGACGCAAAGCCCGACAGCAGCGCCATGAGCGAGATGCCCACGACGCCGATGCGCTCCAGACACGCCCTCGTCAGATGCTCGCCCGCACTGCCCAGCACAGCCCTCGCCTTGTCACCTCCGTGCTCAGCCGTCGGCGGCGGTACAGCACGAAGCAGAATCTCCGCCCGCGGCACCACGCTGCCCATGGCCCAAAAGACAAACAGCCAGCCTCCAAAGAGCGCCGCCTGCAGGCCCAGGGCAACCCGCGGCAGCTTGCCCCTGGCCGTGCGCTGGAAGCTCCAGCCGGCGCTGGCGACGAGGCTGCGGCACTCCAACCAGGGTATCAGCACGACCAGCATGAAGAGCAGCGCCGGCACCGTGACGGCCAGCGCCAGGTTCCTCGCGGCTGCGTCCACGGCGCCGACGATCTCGGCCATGATGAGGGCGCCCAGCGTCGCCGCCAACCCGACCGTGGTGCCAAACGCCCAGGCGGCGCCCCTCTGCCTCCAGCTCTTGCTGCCGTGCTCGGCGTGGGCCTGGCGCAGCGCGGCGGGCGCGTGGGACGGCAACACATGGTCCTCGCCGTCGCGAACGTCGTCGTGGGCGGCGCGGCTCAGCTTGGGGAAGATGTGGCGCACGGCGACGGTGTTGGCGGCCAGGAAGACGGCGGCGAAGGGCAGCGCCGACAGCAGCGAGGCGGCCGTGATGGCGTGCGGGCTGGGCGGAGCGCAGGCATCGAGGTCGCACGACGGGGGGGAGAATGGCCACATTTGCTTGTGTGCCTTGCTTGGGGTTGAGGCTGTGCGGTCGATTGGCTGGTTGTCGGTTGATGTTGGTTAGAACCGTGCTCTGCAGCTGGTTTCGAATTGGACGGCCAGTGTCGAGGTTCGAGTATTGAGATTATGATTCAATCACAATATCGTCGTCGTCGTCGTCGTCGTCGTACTCGATGTCGTCGTCCAATCTTCCCCGCCAAAGCCTTGTATCAGCTCCCAAGTAACGTAACTCAAGCCGCCACAGCAAACAAATCCGCCTGTCTCTCTTCCTTCCTCTTTTCGTATTCTCAAATGCAGAGACACCGATGCAGTCAATGCAGTGCAGTGCAGTCAAATCAAGCAGCGCGCGATAAACGAGTGTCGGCCAATGGAGCGCAAAGGCGGGAGTAAAGTAAGAGGTAGGTACGTATAATGAACGAGGCTCAAAGCAGGCTATTTAATCGCTAAGCCGCAAATTAAACAACCCCACGCTCATATCAAATTAGCCTGCTGGTCTGCCAAGGTAGGCAGAGAGAAAAATGCGGCGCGGATTGTGATTCTCAGCTGTTCGAAGAGAATAGTGCCGTGGCGTATATCGCGGGGAAACGGTATCGAATGAGCGCTGGTGTGTGTCACAGCTTGTAAATACTACACTTAAATATTAATGTAGAGTGAGGAAGGAATATCGAGAAACGTAAAGAGATGGAGCGAGAGTAAGAAAGAGTAAGAATGAAAGTAGAAGGTAATCACCGAGCCAGGGTCGAAAAAAGGACATGGAGAAACCACAAGAATGACGACGATCCTTCGCCTTTCTGCATCCGGGGTCGTTTCGCCTTGGGAGGCCCCACCAAGTGATTCAGCGAATAAACCGGCCAATGAGTTCCGCCCAATGGCATCACATCACTATCGTATAAGGCACCACGCAACACTTTCACCTCCCACACCATCTATTTTCAGCAACACCAGGATACTCTGCTGCATACAGTAGTAGACTATACAAGCTTCGTATCGTACATGCATACCATCATCACATGATTCCTTACTTCGTATTCAACTATCTATATGCTACTACTAGTAATTCTCTTCACTCGTCCATCGCTCTAGTCTATTTACAAGCCCTCGTATGGCTGCATCTTCGCCTCTCGTACAGTTCCAACTGCCTACGACAGCCTCCTCTTCCCCTCTCCCGAGCCGCGTCAACGACGACAGGGATCATACATATGCACCCCGATGGTTCGTCATCGTCTGCTTCACGGAATGCACGGCACGTTTCAACCCGCATCAAAACTCAATCGCTTTCTTCATCTGGCTGCCGCGGAGCTAAACCAATATCTATTTACCTGGTAGATGCCATGGTTGATACCACATCTCCTCTTGAGCAATCATGGCCCGACCCGCGCTATCATACATACACAATTCCCAGTCTTCCGATCATGGCTCACCGCTCTATGCATATCAACTGTTTCATTCAATCAACGCATCGCTCTTCTCCCCGCGCTTTGTTGTGCCGCGAAGCCCTCTTCAACCACCACAATCTCGTAACTTCGCCCAAACAGTAGTCAGAAAGTCTTCCCCGTTGATTTCCAAGGCGCTTATTCGCGCTTTGGAAGGACAATCGTCAGCTCCTTCACCAGGGGCATGCAGAAACCCTCTTGTTTCTCGGCGTCGGAGGCTGCATCTGCGTCTGCCTCGTCGTCATCTAATACATCGGGACGGACCCCACCTTCTGTAGACTGCGTGCTAGATGACTGGCTCCGTCGGCGAGACTCTTTTGAAGACGGCAATGTCTGCACAGCAAGCTGCGCCCCAGCCTGAGAAGGCGGTCGCAGATGCTCTTCATGGCGAGTGCCCGGCTGCCCCTGGAGCTGTCGCCGGCGTCGACGCTGGGAGCCTTGCGGTTGTCGCTGTGTTCGACGCTGAGAGCCTGGCTGCGGAAGCTCCAACTGATGCTGGGGGCCTTGCTGCTGTGGTAGTAAATGCTGCGGATAATCTTGCTGTGGCTGCCACTGATGCTGGTAAGCTTGCTGCTGCGGCTGCCACTGATGATGCCACTGATACGGCCACTGCTGCTGGAAGCTTTGCTGCTGTGGCTGCCATTGCTACTGGGAGGCTTGTTGCTGTGGTAGTGACATCAACTGATGCTGGTGGCCATCCCGCTGAAGCTCCGACTGATGCCAAAAGGCTTGCTCCTCTGGCTGCATTTGATGCTGGGAGCCTTGCCGCTGTAGCTGTAACTCTTGCTGGAAGGGTTGCTGCTGTGGCTGGAATCGACGCCGTTGCTGTTGCTGTGGTCGAGAAACGCGATGAGGCGGATCAAGCAACGTCCGCGCTTGAGACGGTCTGCAGGGCGGGTGGCATGGCGCCTGCAACTGAGGCAGATGGACCAGCGCCTGTGGCTGAGACTCTGCAAGGGGCGGATCTGTCAGCGTCTGTTGTCCAATCTGGACCTGAGACAATCGCAGCCGTAGTCGTTTCAATTGCTGTAGTAGTTCCAATTGCGCCGTGATCATCTGTCGTTCCAGTTCTTCCAGGCTTCCTTGCTGGGTCGACTGTTGCGAGAAAGAGGGCCGGTGCTGGGAATGGGAACGGCGAACCTCCTGAGAAGAGCGGTCCACACGAGAAGAGGGGTGGCGCTCAGAAGCTGAACGGCGGAGCTGACTGGAAGGGCCATGTTGAGAAGAAGAGCGGCTCACAGTAGGAGATTGATACACTGAAGGAGATTGATACACTGAAGGAGGGGGCTGCTATGCTCGCTCTGGGGTACCCTCCTCCGACTTGGCCCCCAATCTTGCCTTTAGCACATCAATTTCTCTGACGAGGTACACCTTGTCCTCGCCCGGTGGCCGCACATCCGCGGGACTGCCTGCCTTTGACTTTTGCTTGCCCGTCGGATACATGTTGGCAATATCAGCTGCCCTCGAAGCTTCTGCCGCCCAGCCATTAAGCCGCCTGAGTTCAGCATGTACGCCATGACGAGCACCCTCGCCGCCATCTAGCAACAGTGGAGATGGATATGAGGCCGTAGCTGCCCATGAACGCCGCTCCTTTCGAAGGTCGATTGCGGACTGCTCCGGCGATGACCCTCCGTCAACCGCCATGGGCCAGAGCAACGGCGCGTTTGGTCTGCGAGCCCTGGCTCCCTCATGGATGAGTTTGGCTCTAGAAGACGAGCCCCTTGCAGCTTGGCCCCAAGGTGATACACCTCTGTGGGAGCTTGAGTGTCTTGATGATGCGGGCCTCGGAGGTGTATCAATTGGCGGCCCGTGGGAGGGTTCCAAAACCGGCGACAAAGTAAGTGGAAGATCATGTACTGATCGTCTTCCCCGCCGCTTCCTTCCCCTCGAAGGACTATCCATAGTACTATCAACCGTATATGGACTACAAGGACTCATTGTGAAATAATCGTCCACAGATGTGTCCCGGCTAGAGGTGCCAGCCATGGAAAGAAAGGAACTGGGCGTAACATAGCCCGTTGTCGGTGGATCGTTCCTCCCACGGCTTCTCGTAGGAGTGGCGGCTTCAGAGGGCCCGTCGGTGTAGGGGCTCATCATGAAGGGACTCATCATGAAATGGCCGTCCGATACTGGAGCGGTCCCAGAAGCACCATTCGCAGGTGGTTGGATTGTCAACACCGACGCTCTCTAACCATACGGCCTTGACCTTGGCGGTGTCTGGGATGGCGCGTTGCCTTCAGACGGCTGCCCCGATGCTGGTGCTTCTCCGACCTCTGCCGACGGTTCTGAAGTTTCAGAAGGCGTTGAACTCGAAGCAGACGCTGATTGACCGGGACGACGCCCCCTTCGGCGATAGCGAGCGCGAAAGGTATTGGATTCGTCTCCATCTCCACCTCCTCTCATTGTAACCTCGGGTTCGACCTCGCCTGTGCCGCCGCCTTCCGCTGCTGGAACGACCGTGGGGGTATCGCTGGAGTCGTCCGAGTGCTGAGCCTGGGAGGCACGGCCTAGTCCGACGCGCATCTTCTAGGATGCGCCCCCAGAGTTCTGCGCCTGGGCTTCATCGGACTCGTCCTCCTCCTCTTCATTGATGCCCTGTCGAAGAGCGGCCGCCTCGCTGACCTCCATCTTGTGAAGCTGATCGAGCTTCTGCTGCTGGCTCAGAGCGTCCACCCCGGTCATGACCTCAAACTCCCCCTCCTCGTCATCTTCCTCATCCTCACTATTGGGGGCGCTGGGAGGCGAGGGGTCTGCGCTGACGCGGCGCGCGAGACTTGTTCGGGGGCCGGCCACAGGATCGGGGGATTTTGACCTCATCAAGACAGACTCGTGGAGCGGCTTGATTGTTGGATCAAACTTGGCGGGCAGGCCCAGTACCTTTGCTACCTGATGCGCCTCCTCCTCGCGCGGGATCTGCACCTCCAACTCATAGCTGCTGCTGGCTTCGCTGTCGGCCTCGTGCTTGCCATTAGTGGCGGCCAGCATGCTGACATATGTCTGTCGCGTACTGTCGTTGGTCCGCTTAGCCTTCTTCTTATTACGTTTCTCGCTAGGCCTAACGACGACGACGGGTATGGGGGAGTACTGCAGGCAGTACTTTGAGAACGAGTTGCGGTTGTTGACCAGGCCTTGGATGCCTCCGAGGGACCGTCCCCGAGTGCCCACAATGAGCATGGCCGGCTGGTACAGTTGAATCTGGTGTTTGAACAGATTAGTCTAGCCCTGCAATGGTAGGAGGAGCGGTGAAAGGCAAAGGCTATCCCAGCCACGTACCAGCGACTGAAAGGTAGCATGCAGCTTGCCGACTGCATACTCCAGGACAAATGCGACGGCCCGGTTCTCAGTGTTCTTTTCCAAGATGCTCTTCATGACCTGCTGCGCGTCGCTGTGGTACGACTTCTCGCTAAGGCGCACGTCCTTCTCAATGACGCGCACGCAGATGATCTCGTCGCCGTCGTCGACCAGTTCGTCGAGCAGCCACTGTATGGCATAGTCCGAATACGTGTGCTCGTCAATGCCGACCATGAAGGTGCGCGATCTCCGGCGCGGCTGATACCCAGCGTGTCTGACATTGAGCACGAGCGACGAGGGAATTTTCTTCGACGTCTCGCCGCTAGGGACGTTGTCAAAGCCAACATGACGCTGGAATCTGTCGCCCGGTTGCGAGGTTAGCGCCGTCATTCCGTTGCACAATTCGAAGTAGCCAGGGTCAAGAGAGAGTAGGAAATAAAAACGAGAGAAAACTAAGGTAGTTGGCCCAGACAACAAGACAAGGAAAGAATGAGTGAGGTAAATATCACAAGTGCCAAGGAGGAGGAGGAGGAGGAGGCATGTGAGAGCAAAATGACGGGAGGCTTGCGACTGCGGCGAGCTGGAGCGACGTCCGTCGAGTCGCACCGCAGGAAAGGGTGATGCCGGCGGGGTAGGCAAGAGAAAATATAGCCATAACGAGAAGCTCCCGGAGCGGTGGGGCCAATGGGCTGGTCGCCTCTTGCCAGGGATCATGGGAGAAGGGGTTTCGTCTGCTGGAGATTTGGGGAAGAGGCATCCAACCGCCAGTCAACGGGGCCTCGAGCCGGGGTTTTGGCGGCCTTGGAGGGAGTCTCCAGTCGCAATCTGTGCCGCCAGCTCCAGCCATATCCAGCCGCTGTGTGCTCGCAGGAGGTTGGAGATAGCTGCATCCTCGGCCCCCCAAGAACCAAATGGCCAGACACGACTGATGAACTCTGGATGCTCAAGGTGCCAAATAAGGAGTGCCGCTAGCGTGGGGATCGAAGCCATCCTCGGCCCACATGGACTTGACACTATCGCAGCTCTACCGCTGTACCCGACGACTCGATCGTACAAGGAAGACATATGTCGTGCTGGCAGGTCGAACGGCGACGGCAACAGACGTGATGCCAGGCAAGCTCGGGGGAAACGCATCATACATGCCTGGCCGGCAAAATTGTGCCGAGACCACGCGGTTGGAAGGCCTGGAGAAGCACAAACAGTGTCTCTTGTGGATTGGACACAGGCCGTTCCCGCCGAGCACAATGTCTTGGAGCGCCCTCGGATGCCCAAGACACAACTTGATATTTGCCGTATTGCCGTCCAGAGACACGCAGTGTCGATCATGGGAACACAAGAGAACGCACAAGGCCCAAGGCGGTGATTATAGGGAGGAGAGAGAGGACAAAACAAGAGTGTAGACAGAGTAGAGCAAGACGAAAATCCCAAGACTTACCTGCTATGCGGAGGAGATGGAGCTCGTCCTTTCACACCGTCTGAAGGTCGCTTCGGAATGCCTGTGGCCTTGCGTTTGCCGGCAGAAGAGGCCGATATGGTCTTACCCAGCGGGGCTCCATTGGGCTTTGCAAGCTCAGTGGCAAAGCTGATGCTTGAGTGACGCCGAGATGAAGTGTCGCTGGCATTCGAGGGCAACGGCGCCGAGTTTTGGCTGCCACTGGCATCAGACGACGGGAAGTACCCTTCTTGCGGCGGCGCCGTCGACGATGGAGAGATGTCCGAGTCGGAAGCCTGAGGCGTCTTGAGAGACTGCATGGCGAGTTGTGCGGTGCTGTCCATTCGTTAGGCTGCGTGGTCTGCACCGGCTGGCAAGGCTTGTTCAGGTTTCTCACCCGCTGTTGGTGCTGATAAAGAGCGGTTATAACGGGAGTCGGTTCAGAAGATCGACAGGGAGGCGTCCTTCAGGTGAAGATGAAGCCGATCAGGATGCGGCAAAAGATCCAGACGTATCAGAGCCTGACCTTCGGCTGCTAAAACAAGAGAACGAAAGACACGAGAGAGAGATGACGGAAAAAAGAAAGAAACTGTAGAAAAAAGATAGAAAAGAATACAGCCGGAGGAGAAAATGCTGCGTCTTTATGGATATCGCGTTTGCCGGTGAGGTTGAGAAACAGTCCAAGACACACGATCCAGAGCCCGGCAACAAGATGCCGAGCTGGCGCGACACGGCAGACGGGCAGTTCGGGAAGGTGCAGGCACGCTCCGGGCTTCCGAGGGTGAGAAGCGAGCGGGCAGGTTAAGAGATAAGGCGTGGGTGAGACTTGCTGAAGAAAGCAGAGGAAGATATAATGTGGGAGAGCGAGGTAGAATGAGGAGGAGAGAGAGAGAGGAGGAGGAAGGGAGGATGCGGCGGCGGGATAGGCAGAGCTGAGCAAGGGCCTCTTTCTGCTGGCCGTAAGGGATGAAGAGAGCAGAAAGAGAGACTGCCGTTGAAGGACAAAAAGAGTTTAGATGAGATTGAAGACAAAGGAAGATGACAGGTGGTCTTGTTTCTGGGTTATCTGATCCTTCTTAGGAGAGGCTTTCAAGCAGGTCGGCGTTCGAAAGGGGAAGCAACCGTGACGATGATGCAGAGAGAGAAAGACGAGACCAGCCGGAACACACACAGGCAGACACGGCAGTGCTAGGCCAGCAGCTTAGTATGCCGTCCTACTACTGGGTAGTAGCAGTCCAGAAGAGCCCGAGAAAAATGGAACAGATGTCTGCCGTCTCCTCTCCTCTTTGGCCCCAGACTCGACTCGACTCGACGCTTCGTTCGTACCTACTTGTACTCGCTTCCACCGCACCTTGTCTTGCCTTGCCCTGCTTGAACGGGCTTGTCCGCAGTCGAGCTCAGTTTCCCCTTCTCCACAGACCAGGAAATGCACGGATCGTCGACGTGTGTGCTGCAGCAGCCAAGAACAAGCATAAAAACAAGCAGCGCCTCTAATTTTCTCGGTCGGGATCCCGCGGCCTGTCCCTCTTTAGGGTTAGGGTGGTGTGCCTGTTCTCTGTTTTTCTTTGTCTTCTCTTTTCTCTTCTCCAGGTCCCTGTTCCGTTTCCGCTCCCGTTGCCCCCTTGCGCTGCCTAGCCGGACCTATGAGAGGTGGTAGTACTTGGTATATTATCACACGCCTCTCCTTAGACGTTGAAGCAGGAGGAAATTGAGATAAAAAACACCCCGCAGCTGCTGCCGGGATGGTGATCTGTGCAGAGCCACGAGGGGCCAGAGGTGGCAGTCGATTCGCTGGTGGGCACTCGTTTGGACGGGCAGCGGCGCTGAGTGATGATGCAAGAGGCGATGCAGAATGCGGTGATTGCTGATGCAACAAACAGCGGTTCCTCAGCTATCGTCTCTTTCGCATCAACCGACGGAC